TCGCCTGTCAAACCTCGTGGAATTTCTCCGGATCCTCCGGTTTCCTCCCACTGCTAAAGACCCTCTCTCTCTCTCTCTCTCTCTCTCTCTCTAAAGTAGTAATTTTATCAATATTTAATTGATCAATTTTAACTTGCATTGTGGCCCTTACACATTATATTGGTTTCTATTGATTTCACTTGATTTTGACAAAATGTAGTAACAAGAATTCTGCTATCTTCATTCTACAAGCCAACCCATTCTTCATGAAGGTTTTTTTTAATACTATGATGTGCTTAATTACACAATATTAAAGATGGGTTCCCAGAAAAGTATTTATCGGGTGGTTATTTCCAATAAAAGTATAGTAATTTTGGTATATGTGGAAAGTAGCGATATCCAATCTTACTAGAAAAATACTGGGTTCCCAAAAAAACACTCATGGAGCGTATACAAGACAAAAATGTAAGGGTTCCCCTAAGCTACAGCCCAACAATTAGGAATTTCTGCACGCGTGATGTCAAAGGTCACACGCGAACATTGAGCGCTTGATGTACAAGTTGATATAACTTATGAAGAGTTAGACATACAACACTTTCTGAGATAAAAATGACGTAAAAAGACGCGGGTAGTGGATAATCCGAGAATTTAATTAGGATTCGATATTTGTAATAAATAGTAAGCGATTAAAGACAACATCGTCTTATGTATGCAATGAATTCTCCTCTGACTTCCAAGATATGTAAGTCACGTGATGTAAACATGAACTGGTTTGATCAAATTTTTATAGCAGCACATTCCTTCGCAATTACAATGTTTGAGAAGGATTTGAAGCAAAGTTATCACAAATTTATTAGTTTGAATATGTTTTTAGTCCATATATACCATTAAATCACCCAGTTTGTACGCCGGAATTTAACCCATCTTTAACAGTCTTTACATTAAACATACATTATGCAAGAGCTAAATCTGCCTATTGCGGGCCTTTCTTTAGGTCTGAAATGTTATCTAAATTATTAATTAGACATTAATTAGCTTATCCAGACCATAATCAATACTCGATGTCATCGATAGCATGCAATATCTACTAGATTGGATCTGCTGCCCAGCGCTCATTCATGATTAAATCAAGAAATGGATAATCAAGACTATGTAGTACTGACTTCAGTAATGATGATCGAGGCTAGGCCTAAAATTCAATTGCTAAATTCTTGGTTCAGAGTGGATCAATTTGACTGAAATTTTCAGCAAATTCCCTTTACAGTATCTAGTTTTTAACTATTATTTGAGAACTGCCAGCTCTTTATCTAATCTCGCATAATGTATCTTTAAGATGGTATATATTTTTGACTTCTGAGATATTAGGATAAGAGATATCTCATTACCGGTATGTTTCTTATGATGCAATCAAAATCAATGGGTGATTAAATTCCCAAATCAAACACCCACAGCAGCAAAGTTAATCAAGCAGTCCATAAAGTTGTCGCTTTATATTTTTGTATAGTAGATTGAGTAAACATTTACAGACACCAAAAACTGATCAAAGGCAACAACCTATGAAGTAATTATCAGAAATAACTAAAATGTTTTCCTAACAAAAATAAAACATGAACTGGTAATCAGATGGCAACTGACAATCCAGTTAATGGAAATCAATTGGATGGTAAATTTAACTTATTAGAGTGTTGACTGTGAACAATTGACTGACAGGAGTAAGGACAATATACGACCACATTTAACTTCAGACATATAAAAATTATACTAATATGTTTGCTTAAAGAACCATAATTGGCATTCTCCTGATTTCTGACATTAGAAATTAAATTCTCCAAAGACAAATGAAATGAAATGAAATGAGATTTAACATCCTACTGTTTGCTCTGAACTGGGCTAATGAAGACAGGTATACCTCATACAGTGTGCTATGATGGAAATTTTGCCCGGACAGCAGCACTACCGCCTACTCTTATATCGAATTCCAACTGTCAAGGGATCTTTTACGTTCACGCCAATGTGTACACGGGACCTCAGTTTTTTCGTCCCATCTGAACAACTAGACAGCTGTCCTTGTCAGGCCCTCCGTCCTGTATTAATTGAGCCTGATCCTTGGACAGATGATTCGCATAGATGATCTTCATTTTCACCCTGTCATTTGATTTTCTTTCGAACACAGGTCCTTGAGTTTGACCATTTTCTGACCATGTAGTGCATGGAAGTACCAAAGTAATGGTCGACAGTCCAACCAAAGATAGCCTTTTAAAAATGTTACGGAGGCGGGGGGGGGGGGGGGTCTGGTCATAAGTTAAGGTCACTTGTCAAGTGGGTGACTTGTCCAGTAACATAAATGACCTTGACCCAACCAATTATCTTTTTTGAAGAGCCTTCTCTCCTTTCACCCCCAATATTAACTTCAATAATACAGCAAGAAATAAGGCCATAGCAATTTAAGGCCAAACACCACGACGCCTGAGTAATAACTGGGTCAAAGTCATATTCACAAGGAAAGTGGCTAATCCAATTCAACCGAAAATAAAAACTTTGTCATTTACTTTATTTCACTCATCCCATACATAGTAACCTCCCGCCCCCATATTTGTCTTTGAATTTGATGTATAGTTGAATACCTAGAAATCTTCCAGAACTAATTATACAGCTAAGTAAAGTATAGTCTAGCTAGCTGTTCCAATCTTGCTTGATAAGTTAGGATCAATTTTGCTTTACTTTTATGTGGATTAATAATGTGCCATTTCAACGGTAGGCCTACCTTTACTTCACCTTTATGGTGCCACTTAACTTTATTGCATAATCATTTTTTGTAAGTATGATAAAACCATGTTTCTTAAAATATTTCTGTGGTGAGTTGATTTTATCTAATTTTGTTCCTTTATTAATGTGAACCTTCTATATAGGCTTTGATATTTAAGGTAAATGGACAGCAATTAACGACAAATACAAGCTAAAAATGAACTGACCCTCCCTAAATCAACTCATATGACAAATAAGACTGCTTTAAAATAGATTTGTACAGCTTGGAGATAGTTAAAATTCTTGTGATTAGCATATTTTGAGAGGCATTAAATTTGAAGCAAAATTTTTATAAATAAATTTAGTTGGAATATGTTTTTATTACAAAATTGATCACTAAATCACACAGTTCGTACATAGGAAGGCATCTTTGGAAATGTCATTTTAATTTAAAAAAGACAATTTTGAATAGGAACGGTAGGGCCTATATTAAATAATAATGGATTTAGGTAGATTTGGGTAAATCAAAATCGTTCTCCGGTACGGGTCACTGTCCATGACATTTTAACTAATATTTATAGCTTAAGGGGGTGGACAGTAGAAAATTTCAGTTTTTTTAATAATTGAGGTAAAGTCACCATTCTTACACATCTAAGAACACATCCATTGAGTATTACAAAAACGGCCGAAAAATTTTCCTGGGGGTACCTGTTGCTATGGAAACGGCGGCCATCTTGGATTTCTGCGTATAATTTTAGTCATCCAGTTTCTCAGAAACTATTCAACAGAATGTTTTAAAATTAAGCAGAGAGGTTACTGACATGTTCCTTTGTGCAATAGGCAAGTTTCATTACAAAATAATAATTAGAAAGCAAGTTATACACATTTTAATGTTAACTTCAAAATTCTTTCACGTGTCACAGTTGCTATGGCAACAATATATCAGGAACTATTTTGCAGATTTCAATAAAATTCTCCTATTGCACAAAGTTATTATATAGGAAGTTATATTCCAAGTTTCAAGAAAATCTGACGATAACTTTCAGAGATATAGCATGACTAAAATTGGTAACTCTAGAAAAAAACTGTTTTGAGAAATCAACAACTGAAGTTGAAGTATTTCAGTAGAACAACTTACGCCGATCTTTTCAATTCATTTATTTAATATTAATAAACTGACTTTTAATATATATATTTTCTAATGTATTTCTTATCAATATACAGTATTTTCTTATTTTATTTCTTGTGTGTAAATTTATAACCGAACATTGACATAGGAATAGATGTTATTCAAAACAACCATAACTATATAATCACTGACAGCAGGCCTACCTGGTAATGGTATTGCAACCATACCACTACTAGGTCTAGCAGACGAATATTCATCATCATTTTGTTTATTATGAGTGTCTGTCATACTTATTTAGTCATCTAACAATTTCAAACGCATTTTATTTGAAAATCTTCAAAAATATTGATAAACAGTGACGTACGGTTCAGTAATATAGCAACCAGGATTGATTTGGGACATGAGCTTAGTGCGCATGCCTATTGACCTGACCTAGAGGATTGCCCGCTTCTGATTGGACACTTCACCATTGACCTATGTGACCGACCAATCAAATAACGTATTCTCGAAATAACCTCATTAGGTATGCAAAACTTGTTCTTGCTTGCCATTTTTATCTCAATACAGAAGAAAGGTTTCAAGACACCCCCATAAAACGTCATTTCCTTTCAATAGGGGGGATCCCAAGCTTTCTAACAGTATCCAACATGGCGACAGTTTACCGGTCGGAAGCCGAGTATTTCACGTATGAAATGCCTATTGTTTTTAGATTTATATCAATAGTTTTAGCGGAATTAGGGCAAAATAAAAAAGGGTGGGATCATTCAGAACCAAATTTTGTAGAAATAAAGAAGAATTTTGTAAAAAAAATGACTGGTATGTGTTCCTAAATAGTGTTACTCGCAGATGATCATAAAACCTCAAAAACGATTTTATTGTTAAAATTCACCAAATGAAGTGCGAACGACGGCCTTAAACAATTTTTAAAACAAAGTTCTCGCACCTACCGTTTACTGTCAACTATATCTATTGATTTTTCTTTATTGAATAATTTTTTTTTAAAGGCTCTTTAAATAAAACTTCATGTGGCTTTGACAACAATCTAGCTAATTACTGACGACGCATCTTGATTACATCCCAATGCTTACTCACTCACTTCTTCAGAGAACTGGATGATCTGGTCTGCAACTCGGTTTATCCGAGGTGCAATTGGACAGGAAATAACGAAGAGCGTAGAATGCCCTGTCGGTGGTGAACAGCAAAATGGCTGCACGGTCAGTTCAACAAACTGTAAAACAAGTTAAACCAATCCTTTCTGCTGACAGGGGTGAAGCAAGGCGACGTGTATTAAATCTTTATAAAGCATGGTATCGCCAACTTCCATTCATTGGTAAGATTATATCAATGTACTCATAATATCGACGAAAACATTCATTCTTTTTAGGAGCCGACAGAGGTCATTGCATTGCCAAACAAAATAATAATAATAAACTTTGTTAACAACAGTTGAAAGTTAGACCATGATACCTAACTTGTATTTTGTCATCATACTGGAAAACAGATGCATGATGATAATTAAAAAAGGCCGCACAAGCAATGTTGCCGCAATAATGTTGTCAAAATATGAATAGCATACATGTATTATAGACTAAATACTGTAGGCCTACGTGTAAAAAATGTAGGCCTGCTACAAAATGTATAATAATTTGGAGAGAAAAATGAATCTTTGTATTTGGACATGTACACCATAGTTTAGTGTGAATCACATGTACCTGTAGTAATAAGGTTGCAAAAATTATTTAGATTTGACGTGCGCTGCTCGTTTGGTACGCCTGCTGCCAACTGGGAAATTAAACATGGTATCGGGTGTTCTAAAACTGTAGCATTCCCCGAATTGTGCACACTTATAGTTACTTGGGGAGCATTTTCAGATGTTCACAGCTAGAAGTAGAATGTACACATGTACGGCTCAAGTCTTTTAACTTTTAAATTGCCAGCTCAGTAATGTACAGTTTATTGTAGTTCCCGATCAAGAGACCATTCCTAAAGGAACTAAATTTATCGGTGACCCTGTTCCTGTGAGATAAGCTAATACTCAGTGTTTCAGTTGACCATTGTACAAGTTTGTTGTTACCCAGCAAACTTATGCGATCAACTAAAGACCAGAACATATAAAGATGATAGTCTAAAAAGGAAAACATTTAAAGATGATACTGATAATACATATTTGGTTTGTAATGTTAATATAATGCCTAATCAAATATTTTTCTTTTTGTGTTTTAGTGAAAGATTATAACGTACCTGTAACACTAGAAACATACAAAGCAAAATTAAGAGAACAGTTCATGAAAAACAAACATTTAACAGACATCAGAACAATAGATCTTGTTGTGATTAAGGTATAAAATTTAAATACTAATCTGGTAGATTTATTTACTACTGAAAACATTACATTGGCAATCGGGACAGGAATTAATGATTTTAGTTGTAGCATACCCGACATTTTGTCAGGCACCACTGAACAACGGTAGTACTTGACATTTTCATACTCCTTGCAGTGTTTCGTTTGATTAGAGCTAATCCCACTTAACACTGCTGTAAAGGAAGATAATTTTTGTTCCAAATCATACCATAAATCACTGTCCAAAGTTTTAGGGAAGACCACAGATTAAACGATGGGCTGTCATGTTGCTGTACTTGGGATAGATTTGATTGAACAGGAAGAATAGACACACTTCCTCAAAAGCTCAAGTATCAGAAGTCAATCCAGCATTGGCCAGAGAGGGATTTCCCGGGCCATTGCTTCAGGAATGAATATGGACATTTTGAACTTTTTAATCTCTTGCAAACTAACATATTGAGTACATTTCAGCATGGATATTGTCTGAAAAATGCAATTGACGATTCATCTGATAATCAAACATTCCCTTTTTCTTTCAGGGTCAAATGGAGCTTGTAGAAACCATTAATATATGGAAACAAAGAAATCATATCATGATGTACTTTCATGATACAGAAACACCTAGGCCAACAGACTTTTTGTCCAAATTTTACGATGGTCATGAATAACAACGGAAAATAAGATATTGTACATTAACAGTTTGTGCAGTCTTTGCTATTGATACAGTGTTAGCATATTTATTAAAAAAGCAAAAAGAAATTATGCAGTGATTGTTTTCGTCTGTATTATTAGTGAAACAAGTGCTCAGTTCAGAATGTTGTATTTTTGCTATGGAGAATAAATAATTCAGACCTTGATCTTGAGTAAGTGTGAAAATTATGGTATTTAGATTTTAACTTCCTGATGTGCAGAGATGATAAGTACATCTATACAAGGACACCCTGTCTTTAAATCTGGTACAGATTACAATAATTATTGTACCGATTGTTGTCCTTTAATCTACTTCTAACTGGCTGATTACATTGAACTGGACATTCATCTGTGACCGTTCCTTAAGATATTGTAATGATGTAATGAATAGGAAAATAACTTGAAATACTTTTTTCCAGTCTTTGTTGTTTGTATTTTAGAGGAGAGTCGAAAAAGGCTCTCCTTAATCAACAAATTGAAAAAATCGCTCCCTTAAAATGCTCTCCTAGTTTCGATATAAAGAGGGATTTGATATTTAGGAGAGTGATTAGTTGTGTGTATGGGAAATGGTTCTGGATATCCATAACTCCATGTTGGGGTGTCATAAATGATAATACCCCCACCCCCTATGACTTTATAAAGGAGAGCGATTTTCAATTTTAACTCCCCTCGGTCATCATTCGAGAGTGATTACTCGCCTCAAAAAGCAATTCCGTCTTTTTCTTTGCTGACAGTAGGTAGTAGATTTGTGGGAATGGGTTAATAAATATTAAGAATAGTGAATGATAGATTGAACCACAATAAATATTGCCTCGCTTGAAGAATAGTTTATGATCTCAATTTTATTAAAGTTTCGGAATACATTATGCTAACAAAAATTGAGTAGGAACTGGAATGGCTGCAGTTCTATGGGCGTTGAGGTTCTGTTTGTCTATATTTTCAATACCGATATCTATATTTAAGCAACCAAAAATAGACAAGGAACTTTGTGAAGTATTATTTCTAGTTTATAAAAACGTTTTTGGGAGGCCAATACCGGGAGTGAATCCGAAACTTCCTGATAACCTTGCCACTGTGGCGCCGGGACAGGAGACAAAAACGAAAGTGAAATTTAAAAAAAAAATGTGTATAAACTGGTGTTGAATTAAGAAGCTCAGATTATGGCATAAAAATGAACTCCAGTTATAACACCACTGAAACACAATCCATAACTTGAATTGACCCATTCTTTAAATTTTAATATGCCGTTGAATGTTTTGTCATGTGACTCGACTGTCATGGAAACAAGTCAATATGAGGGTGGATACTGACATACTGGACACACTACAATTTGTGATTCACATAATTTAAATTAATGTGGACATATCAGCACCTAATTTGGTCACATGGATCAAATGGTTGGGTGGTCGAATGGTTTAATGGGTGCAGGCAATAATTATTGACCTAATTGGGTCACTAACTTGGAACAAAAAGAATAGGTGTCTCCTTATGCCTATGAAGCAAGTTTGTGAAGAGGATCAATAAAATTGAATGTTGGTGGATGGTGTTCATTAGTTTGATGTGACAAGGGAGGCAATTCATTAATTGGTAGCAGATTTTATGTACATTGCAGCCGTATGAGCATGAATGCAAGAATACATTTATTTGGCTCCATTCTGGTGAACCACATAAGATATGAGTCTGTGCTCTTATTATAGCTACACAGCGATAACTAATCTTATGGCCGGTGGGATTTTAAGAAATACATTGAACAAAAACAGCACTAAGATCTGAAAGGTCATCAATGTGTGGTTAACACGTCTCACATTCCTGGTAGTGAGAAAAATAGATTCACAAAAACACAGGACTTGGATCATTTTGCAACTAACAGACAGTTTAGTTATTTCTATGGTCACATGTGCATTGCTTAGGAGGTGAATTAGGCCCAGACAGCAGGGTTTCAGTAAAACACCACTAAATTCCAAGTGTCCAGATTTCTTTGATTTGCCCGCCGATGCATTGACAGGTGGACCATGACAATACTTTTCTTATCATTCCGACAGGTTTCAAACCTGGATTATGCTTGTAACAAAAGATATTCTTGAATAATAATTTTATTTGGTTTCCACCTAGAATCTTTCCTAAATGTACATACAAGCTCTGCTTTAATTTTCATAATTACAACATTATTCTTGTACAATAATTAAAATTAATACTGGGCACAGAAATTAAAACAGCCTAAACATACAATATATCCCTATACCATTTCATCTCCTCAATAAAATAAACAATAAAAAAGTAATTGAATTGTAACATTCCTAAGTTAGAGAGGAAATAGAAAGGCCTGATGGTTTTATCTGTTGAAATCATGAGTTGCACTGTGCACACATATTTTTATTCCGCCTTTTCTATACTGCCATTGTCGATTGCCCTGAAAAATAAAAGAGGAAAAAAAAATGACTATTTTAAAAACGAAAAATTATCATAAAATTTGTATGATATTAAAAACATTTTATGGAACAGTTCTCATTCTATTCAAGGCTCTTTTTCCCAGCTTGACATTTTCAGGGATTTATGTTCAAACAGACTGACTGTATTCTTTTACAGAAGACATGAGTATAATTCTTTAATAGTTATACTTACGCTTCTTTCTCCAATTCAGGGTCAGTTTTTTTTTCTTTAATATTGGGAGATGAGCTTTTCTTAGACCGACTTCTTGAACGTCTCCTACTTTTTTTACTGGATCGGCTGCGAGATCTAGATCGCCTCTTTCTATCTCGAGATCTTGAACGATGTCTACTATAATAAATGTATATATTTTTATACACAACAGTTCAGTAAAAAAATAGATTACCAGACAACAAAATGTACGCCCACAGCAGCTAAATTACCCAAGCGGTCGACAAGTGTTGTCGCATATTTATTCTTTTGTAAGCAATGGGTGCATTCACAAGATACTGATGTCAATTTAATACAGATCAGATGATCACTTTTGTCGTCAGAGCATTCACAAGGTTCAATAAAGTAAACCAAGGGCCATAACTTTAGAAGTTATATACCAAATTTGTTGAAGTTCTATAGGCTTCTTTGTTTTTCCAATCTAAATAATACATATTAATTTAATATAAATCAGGTACCTTTTGTCATAACCGTGTTCACGGGTGTGTGTGTGGGTGTGTGCGTGGGTGTGTGTGTGTCAACATAGTGAAGCAAGGACCATAACTCTAGCAGTAATTAATAGAAATTGCTGAAATTCAATAGTTTTTGTTTTAATTTGAATGATGCATATAATTTTTTAAAAAGGACCATAACTCTAGAAATAATTAACAGAATAGTGGCAATTAAATAGGTTTCTTCGTCTTACTAACGTAAACAACATACATAATTTATAAAATAATAAATGTAGCCTGTTCACAAAAAATTGTAGACGATGGACTGACATAGGGATGAAGGCAATATACAACAACATGTGGGCGTATAAAAATAAGAGAAATGAAACAGGGTTTAATGTCCTACTTTTCTGCTTCATTCAGGCTAATGAAGATAAGCACATACCATGCAGCGTCCCCTGGGGGACATTTTTCAGACAGCCGTGCTATGGCCTATTCTTATTTTAAGTGTTCTTTTACAAGCACATCAACATGTACATGAGACCTCAGTTTTTCATCCCATCTGAATGACTAGATGTTGCTCCTTGTGGGAATGAGAGGACAAACCCTATTAACATTGAACCAAAGCCTTCCTAAAAATTGAAAATTTCTGTATCAGACAAATGGAATATCTATCATACCTTCTTCTATTTCGGGAACGGGATCGGGAACGTCTTGAATGCTTCTTCCTGTCCCTAGATCGTGATCGGGACCTGAAAAACAATAAATGCATAGGATATCTGTAAATGTATGCAGTTTGATTTCTAATTCATCTTTTGATCAGTGAATGTTTAATGCGGCAATACACTCTTTTTCTGTTAATACAGCAATATTGTTCTATTCAAATACTGATTCTTATATAACAGATAACCATGTCTTTGGTGGTTGTTGCATTTGTCAGGTCACTCATTACATGTAAAGCAGTAGTTTAAACTTTTTTTTATCTGAGTTAAGTAATCACAGCACAAGCTATCTACTTACATATTGATGTTTGATTTGTATACCTAAACCCATGTACATCAACGGATGTCTTGTAAGATGTGTATGTGAGTTAATTGTATTATACGTCCGCTTCCACTGAGGTGATATCGCAGACAATCTTGTAAGATGTCGGATAGCACCTTTCAATGCTTTTCAAAGTAAATCATCATCTGAGATAAGTGAAAACTACAATACCTTCTGCTTTTACTCCTTGATCTACGACGTCGTTCTCTTTCCCTATCGCGATCTCGATCTCTATCCCTCTCTCTTTCATGCTCACGGCTTTTACTTCTTTTTTTACGACTTTCTTCCCTTTCTTTATCTCTTTCTTCACGGTTCTTTCTCATTTCTTCCCTTTCCTTTTCTCTTTGAATTCTCCTATCTGCTACAGATTTCTGAAAGGCAAAAACATATCAAACAAAAAAAAAAATAATGTTGTGCATAAGAACTTGCATAAAGGGGACATTCGGTTGTTAGACTGGAGCATTACGATTTACAGAATTGCAATTTAGTGACATGGAGTTCAGTCTTTTTGCTTTTGCTTTTAAATGATTTTCTATCCCTGGTAGTGTTAGTAAATGTTTCAGCTGCCATACTTGGTTGAAACATTATCTCAATAGGTACAAGGGTTGTAGCCTGAAATCATCTATTTCATTCGAGAGTCGCTTATAGTTACACATATATTTATTGATGTCACACACTAGAACAACCGGATTCAAAATCCTTTTTACTACAATTAAATAGAAGGCGGTTTCTACAATAATATTCACTATGATTTATATTACCTGAAGATCAGCTAGTTTTTCACGAATACTGATAAAACCTAGATGAAGTTTGCCGCCAAAATGATCTGCCAGTCGTCTGTCATTGTCATGGATACCAAGATAAGCACCACAAACCTCACATACACGAAGTTTCTGTTGTTGATAACTAGAAGCTGGCATTTGATTTCTATACTCTTGCTGGAAAATAAAACAATTATACAAGCCATGATTTTTAAACATTTGAAACTAATTTATATGTATTTTTTAAAGGGGCATTATGTTAGATTAGATAAAGAGCTGACAGTTCTCGCTAAAATAGTTTAAAAAAATAGATAACAAAAGCAAAATATGCTGAAAATTTTAGTCAAATTGCTTCACTCTGAACCAAGAGATTAGTCACTGGATTTTAGGCTAGCCTCGGTTGTCACTACTGAAGTTGGTATGATAAAGTCTTGATTATCCATTTTTACGTGAAATTATTCATCACAACAAGTATTCAAATCCAGTGAATATCACAGACTAGCGATGACATCGAGAGTTGATTATGGTCTGGATAAGTTATTTATTGTCTAATTAATAATCCAGATAACATTTCAGGTCCAAAGAAAGACCCACAATAGGCAGATTTAGCTCTTGCATAATACATGTTTAATTTTTGATAGTATTGGAAAAACTATAACCATCTAGTGTTCTATTGAGATTATGGGTAATGTTTAATGGAATTATTAACTGACCTCTTCACCATTCTTTTTAGCTTTTAGTTCCTCAACTTTTTGCATATAGATGAGGGATTCCTCCACATTACCTTGTGCACCCATTTCTTCAGCTTTGGCTAAAGTTATACCAATCTGTTCTCCTAACTGATGTATCTTCTCAGCCTGAAATAAATATATAATGTCATCATCTTGAGATTAACAAATAGATCATACAAAACTTAGGTTGTTTGTCTACAGTTAGCTCTGTTTCAGAACAGACACTAAACTAACTGACCAACATTTTAAGTCCTAAATCGATGATTTTAGTTGAAAACACGAAATATAATTTGTGAATTTTGTTAAGTATTGATTATGCTTCCATTTAATAAAATTGTATGACAGATGTGGAACAAAGTAGAAATAATACAAAACAGTATACCGATTATCATTTTTGTACATGGTGGCCATTTAGGGCAGAGATCTATTCTAGAAGTATGAAGTACGGTGCATGTAGATGATTTCTGTGTGCAGAATGCAATCAAACAGGTCTATCATCTTACTAACACTTTACTGATATTAATACCAGAAAACATAACATAAACCCACAGAAGCTAAGTTTTCCAAGCAGCTCATAACGGTTGTGGTTTTATAAATCTTAAGGCAAACCCCCAAAAATAAAAAATCTTTATAATGTAAAATATCGACTACAAGGACTCAAGTGGCGACCACATTTCAATATGTGTGTAAAAAATAAAAATCTATGATCTTTGTACGGTGTTGGGAGCCACGGTGACTCAGTAAGATGTTGGTCGCTAACCTGGAGGTCCTGTGTTCGATCCCTCTATTGACCGAGAAAGTACATCAGGATTTTTTTGGCGTGGTTCTCCCTTGTCAGTGGTTATAATAGCTTAAAACAACCTTGACAGCTAAATCTTAAATCATCCAGGGTTAGCATAAAATAACCTTGAAACCTAAATCTTAAATCAGTTTTAAGCCGAACTAGCTTTTTTTTTTTTTATCTATTCTTGTGTCCATCCGAGTTCCTTTATTCACAACCATGATATGTATCAATGATCTTTTCTGTGCATTTTTTGTTTAAATAACTAAAATAAGACATTTTTTTACTATGATTTTGTTATAACTACCTTGCTATTGGCGTCCTCACTCAGTTCTTCCTGTGTTTCCTTCAGTCTTCTCTTAGCCAATTCCATCTTTCTGTCACAGTCTGCTATGAAGTTCTGTAAATGTTCCATTGCCTGAAAAAAATGAAAAGTTTTTAAAATTTCACAAAATATTTATAGAGCGTTACATACAAAATAATTCATTTAAGACATTATTGTTCACACTGGTGGAATGATGTGCATCCTTGCATATGAAAAAAAAATCTTTTGCCATTTAATATTAGTTTCAAAATTTAATAAAGGTCATAACTTAAACTGCTTTTTATTCAAACAAATAATAGAAAGTACTTACATCTATGTCATAGTAGTAATCCTTTGTCAATGCAGCCTGTTCATAATCTGCTCTTAATGCCAATTCATGAATTCTTGAACATTCTCCCAGGTCCATTCTCTGTTTTAAAAGATTACAAGAACAAACAAAAAGACATTAGTCAATGGGTTAAACATACACACCCATACCACACCGATGATGAGTACGTACCCTATTTTCAACTTCTAGTCAGAAATTCTTCAGAAACATGGTGATGAATTGTTACTATCACTAAATGATGGAATTTTAAATATATACGTACCAAAACTCTTTAAAATATTGTTCTATAATGGCCTGCATTTCATTTATTCCCCAGAAAACCCTTTCATCACTTACAACAAATTATACTTTAAAGCTACTGTAAAAACTGATCAGATAGTATTTTTAGTATTAAAACGGCTTGGTTTGTATGAAATACATGTTACATATTTCAATATTTAACCTATAAGCTTACTCAAGCTATTCTGAAGTACATGTATGTGTGTCTCGGTAAATGTCATGTATATTTCTTCTACTTTCTCAAGATGCCTGAAAGTCTTGCAAGATGTAGCCAAAATGAAAATGTAGTAGAAAGTCTAAATTTGATAAATGTATGTTAACAATGAAACATCAGAATTATGATTATATGTATTGCCTTTCAGTTTACATAGTACGTACCAATATCCCCTGGAATGGATACTGCGTCAATCAAGCCCTTTTCAATGATTACTTACCGTACTTGCTAGTATATCATTCGGACAGCAGCCCAACAGGAAACTCTTACATACCCTAGGCCCATCAAACTTTTCTTTATGAAGTCCACCTTCGCCTATAATTATTCATCATAGCCATTTATATTAACTATAAACATTTTGCATTGAATGTGTAAAAATAAAAGTATTGTTTTTCCCACAACCCTATAAAGTCATCACTTCTTCATAGATTGATCTCTTGGAGATATTCCCCAAGTGACTACTACATGTACATAATGCATTTTTAAAAAAAAAATGATGTCTTTTGAATTTGCATTCTGCAATAAGTAAAAAGTCCAATGCCAAAATAGATGACACATATCAGTTAATTGCACAGTTAACTTTTTGTACAGCATGAAGCCATCAAGTATAAAGAAGAAAATGTTCATGGTTGAACTTAGTCATGGTTTTGCGGTACTGAAACTGCAAGTTTCATTAATCTCATCTGCTTAGAATCAAAGGTGTTGTGTCCCAAAGCATCCATCAATCAAATTGTTTATCATTGCTTAGCTTTCGCAAAAAATGCTAATCATCAAGTCAGGTCAAGACATTCACCTAATAAATACCTACACCAAGTTTAACATTCTAGCTCAATTAGAAGCAATTCTTTATTTTGTCCCAAAAGTCAAAGTGTGATAGACAGAGGGACGGACGAACCCATTTTAGCAATTCCCTGCTTACTTTGAAAGACAGGAGTTCAATTAATCTAATGGGTATTTTCTAGTTTTGAAAACTATTTTACATGTATGTTAACTTGTATCGTTTTTTTTTTTAAATAAAAATTACACCAACAATTACACAACCAATCCCAGTTTAATATCATTCATTACCATATTAAAAAAATAGTTTTAAAAATATAAACAAATTTATTATTAAGCATATCAGCTTTCAAATACATACATACAGCCATGTATTATTTCGGAGGCATACACAGTAAAAACATCTCAAGGGTTCCTGCAAATAGATGTACCAAGCCATTCCCCTACCATTTGTTGTTAAGAATCAAAAATATTCTTTTTTCACATGGTCATTAATACAGTAATTATTTATACATGTATAGTCTCTAAACATTCTTTAATCAAAACTTACCAAAACTTAAAACTATAAGAACAAATATTTAACATTATTATACATCTATTGAATTGAACTGAAGTTAATCTTGGGAAAAAAAAAATATTCAGGTCTGAATTCTGGACACTGAAATATAATTAAAATTTTTAACTCACGCCTTGGTCACTTCACCTCCTTTGTAAATAAGTCTGGAGAAACCAACATTACAAACCTCCCTTCAAAATAGGGATTAAAAATTCATTAAAGTTTCTTACCGTAAAAGAAAGAACCAGTGTTTTATTATGAAGAATTTAATTTTTAAAGAGGTTTGTTTTAACTTTACCTAAAGTGTTATTTATTTTCTGTAATCCATCATTAAAATTATACATTAATTATATTGTTGGAAGATTACCTGATATGTTACTTGTTAGTCAATACAAAATTAAATGAGGGTTTACTTAATTACTATGTATGACTGTACACTTAACAAAAAATAACAAGTCGAAATTTGTTTTAACTGAACTTATAAGCCAATAATATAATATTAGTTGGATAGTTTATAAAACTTCAACTTGGTGACACCAATTGTCCAATGACCAATACCCAAATACAAAACTCTTCTTCATCAGTCGTTTATTTTCAAGCTACAATTATTATTTTACTTTATTAACTTGATCTACATCTACTGGTAATTTAATGATAAAGATATAAACACCATCACCAAATTCCTTTAACTTTTAACTAATACTCATATTTTATTGAAGTTTTATTCAGAGTATAATTAACTGTTCAAACATTGAATTAACACAAGCAATCTTATAACCCTGAATTGTATATGTGATACGTAATACAGTAATAGATGGTGGTCCGAATCAAGATATAGGTACAGGTTGATAGAGATGTAAAAGTCATCGCAATCAAATTATAGCTAATCCTTCTGTACAGGAACTTCTAACTTTATTTTATAAGAAAAAGAACTCCCGATCAAGGAAGAAGCTTGTAAATTACATATGAAAACATAAATTCAACATAATTATAATAACACCATTTCAACAAAACCAGGGTTTGGTAGAATATTCTCTATTTTAGAATTTCTTTGAAGTCTAAGGTGATTCTGGGTCGAAACCCTGCATGCAAATGAAGTGGATTTTGTTGACTTAAAATTGAGATGCCAGCAACAGTGTTAAATGTGAAATTGCTGATGTTTCAGTACACTTTCTAGTGCCCAAGCCCTGCAAGATTAACTTCGACTAAGCCAGAATCAGATATTTTTTGTGTAGAAAAGACAAAAAGGACCAAGAAAAGGACAATTTACCCAGTACCAGCACAACACTTAAGGACGATGGGCAGTCTAAAATGCAAATTTTGAAGCTAGCACTGTAAGTTTTGTTCAAAAGATGACATTTTTTGTTATTTGAGGTGATAAACTACATATTAATATTAATCACCAAACTATATTCCAAACTTGTAACAAAAGCATGATAATAAAGGGTGCTGATGATGACAGATATGCATGGATTTCCATCAAATTTGGCATGAACAATGCCAATTACAAGTCCAAGAAAACCAAGGGACATTTTTTAGCTATGGTTTCTCTGATATCCATGGAAATGCAAAAAAAACAATGAGTTTTCTTGGAAATTCTATTAGTGTGTTAAAAAGAGATCAATAATCCCTCCCTTAGATCAAAGCAGATGTTATAAGCAACATTTCAACACCATAAACATTATATCAACTCAAATATTTATATAAGTGCACTACTTCGACCCTCTAAAAATCATTTTATACATTCAAAAATGGTAGAATTTGACCATCAAAAAAGAAAATTTGACAATTATGATTTTTATAAATCTTAGCTGACTGTAACGTGCAGACTTCGGTTTTAAAATTGGTACTATAGCAATTCTGAAGGGAAAATACCACTTATGACGTCACTTAGATATGACTGAAAGCACTTATTTTGGTGCCATTGGAGGCATTGACTGTATAGAGCATTTTTCTGTCATTTAAAATTCGGATCTGAAACCATTATAATGATTATAGAAATATATCCTATTAATATGACGGGTCTATTTACTATTTGCACTTTTTTTCAAACAAAATTAATCATACACTTTAGATCTAAATTAAAATAGATTAGGAAAAATGAAATTATTTAATATTATTTGTATCACTTGAGAAACTTAATTATGAAGGTTTTATATTAACAACAACATCTGCTTAGCCTGTTAGGGCCTAGTGTTACAATTACATATTAACTAGCTGCTAGGCCTTAGCCTATATAATAAATTATATGACGTATTATTTCGGTATTAATAATGGGTGCAGTGCCGCAGTGGTACTGGGTAAATCGTGCAGCCCAAATATAAAAAGACATCTAAAATTGACACAGAATAAATAAAGAATCTTAAATTGCAGAGCCTCTTAATAAACGACCACTTTGCACTGTGTAAAAAAATAAGAGATGTGTCGAAACAGGCTTTACAGGGTCATCATCAAATCGTAGCATAATAATGCCTTCAATGTCGAATTTCCGATAACTTACCATCCCTAGCTGTACCCATTAATTGGTCGAGCATAGCTCGCATTTGGTCATGGGCAGTCATGGTGAATTATTAAAAATTTCTTTATGATATATTAAATTTCCATCCAGTGCTTTTTCTGTGCTTCTAAAATTTTCCAAGATGGCGATCGAGAACAAAAGCCAAAGGACAAGCCAAGGGAGGCAACTCCTTTTTATTTGAAGCAAACAGTCTGGTTAATCTAACCCCACCCCGTCTCGGTCGGTCATTTTCGCTTGTTCTCGGTAGGCGGGTACACTGAGCCTTGGATCACGGATCTCTAATACACATCAGTGAACTTGATCACTTTTATTTAATACACCCACATTAATATGGTTGCTATTTTTCTGCCTTTTTGTTTATCTTTTGTTCAATCACTTTGAAATATGTTATGGCTGCTCCATCAATGGGATTGGGGAAGGCCTACGGTAGCCTATATTAACCTATTTTTCTCAGATTTTTGCCCCAACCGGGCAGTGTGCGACGAGGGAAATTTTTGCTCGGACAGAAAAGGAATTCCAACTTCTAAGAGTTATTTTACGTGTACGCCTAGGTGTACACGGAGACTGGAATTTGTCGCCCCATCTGAAGGACTGGACGCTCCACGGGCTCTTCACACTGACCATTGAAGATAAAAAAAAAACCCACACACACTAGAAAATATTTGGGGAACTTTCTCAAGTAACACCGAAATCGAACCTCGGACATACGATGACTTCGATCGAAGTGCAGACCTGTAATTCCTTTAGGAGCGCGGAGCAGAACAGAAGGACGTTAAACCCCATTTCATTTCCTTTAGGAGCGGTCTCTGATCGTACAGCTCATGATCGCCCCTGTTAAGCAGCAATATGAAATGAAATGGAGTTTAACGTCCTACTGTTCTGCTCCTAACCTGGGCTAATAAAGACGGGCATACGCCATACAGTGTGCTATGAGGGAAATTTTGCCTGGACAGCGGCACTACGGCCTACTCTTATATCGAATTCCAACTGCCAAGGGATCTTTAACGTGCACGCCAATGTGTACGCGGGACCTCGGTTTTTCGTCCCATCCGAACGACTAGACAGCTTTCCTTGTCAGTCCCTCCGTCCTGCATCACTGACAAGGGGGAACCACGCCGGCAAATCTGGATGAACTTTCTCGGCCAATGCAGGGATCGAACACCCGACCTCCAGTTTAGCGAGCTAGCGTCTTACCCACTTAGCCACGTGATCCCCAAGCAATATGAAAATGTCTCTCTATACCCCCACCTCTGTTCTAAGGCTATTTTGGTATCCTTACCTTCTATTTTTCACTGTGATTCTTTTATTTTTGCGAAAAAGGAATCATTTCTTGTCACGTGTGACACAAATTTATAATAATTCAAGTAGAATTTTGCCAGGGGGAATTTTTGGGAATATTTCGCACGAACGATTTTTATTAACCAACCAGAATACGGGGTCAAAAGGTATACTGTATACACAACCCGTCAATGGGTTAGTTTCATCGGCGAATTTAAAGGACAATATTGGTGCCAGTCACTATCACATATGTGATAGAGATGGTTAACACTTTCCAAATATAATTTTAACACAGAGATCATTGCTACGATAGATAAGTAATACAGGTTTCCTGAATCGGAAGTGACGAATGCCAAAGGAAAACACGGGTGATTCCTCTATATAACTGACTGATGTGACGAGTGATAACAGATACACGGCCGAATTTCTGCTCACTAATAATTCCCTCGAAGACCAAAAGTTGTTATATGGGACTTTAAGAGGATACCTGACAATTCAATAAAGTAATTGAATGTCATTAGATAAGAGAACACGAGAAAAATAGAAATAGTCCGTACACTCCCTTGTTTATATTCATTCTATACATTATAAAAACATGGTAATGCACGAACTTTTTCTGTTTTTCTGCCCCCCCCCCCAATTGTTTTTCTAGGGGGGGGGGGGGGTCTGATATCCCAATATGGTTTTCATTGCTAAAATAAAACACAGAGAAAATCATCCAGGAAACATGTGTGAAGTGAAAAGTAACTGTGTTCCATAAAATTGTGTCTAGTTAGCCTGTCCTCAAGCATGTAAAAGTCATGAAAAAAATATGAATACGGCACCCCCTGACTTAAACATGGTAAACATTGTATTGGTGTGATGTTTTAGTTTAAACCCGTAAAATATGCCAAAACAGTGTTTATAGAAGACTGAAACTTTAAAAAAAAATTATGGTGGTGCCCCCACCCCAGTGGGAGGGTAACCCACCCACACTCTCCCTATCGTGCTACATCGGCTTTTGCGCAGCCTCGTGCCTCCGGCGTCACAGATTGTCAACATTTTATATAGTTTCATTTGTGCCCCCCCCCCCCACAAATATATATATATTTCACGGCTACGCCTCTGATTGTGCTATAAGGGAAATTTTTCCCGGACAGTGGCACTACGGCCTACTCGAATTCCAACTGTCAAGGGATCTTTTAAGTGCATGCATAAGTTTACACGGGACCACGGATTACACGGGACCACGTCCTGCATCACTGACAAGGGGGAACCACTGTAGCACCATAGGTCTTTTGTCTGACGTGGAGAGCGGATTAGGGGAACCGGTCGCCACATCCTACGTACGAACCATGCATATTTTCTTACTACATATTTCTGTAGCCTTGTGATCGTCTAGAATTTGTCTTTATCTGTCTTTACTTCTGCTTCACGTTGTGTATTTACTTCTTACAGTTTCTTAAGATGTTTGTCTTACCAGGAATAACAATGCAACAGTTTGCTTCTACATTTTATATAGCATAGCCGAATACATATGGATACAAGCATAATAGATAACAATATTAGCTAAAACCATTTCTCTACCCTAGCCAGCCTCGCGGCTGTCTAGGAACTCAGATGAAGCCTCTCTGGAATCTAATGGAAGTCTGACTTACAAAGTTCCACGGTTTCTCTTATAACCATATGAATATCACGCACAATCAAGTGTGATCATGGCCCTGAACTTGTGTAATTAACGATATGATTGGTTACTTTAAGCTTAATGATGCAATTAGAATAATTCCACTCACGTGTAATCTCGGGGTATTTTATAGACACATGTTATGGTTCAATAACTCTTTTTTATATAACAATATGTCATTTATACCATAAGTTGATTTAGTACACACTACATATGTGAATATGTTTGAAATTACTAACTTGCCAAAGATATTAATTAATGAAATATAAAGCCATCTTATTTCTCTATTCCTTGTCTATAAATTTAAAAACAATGTCGCAACGTCGATAGTGCTACACCACGCCGAAAAATCTGGATTTACTTTCTCGAACACCCGACCTCCAGGCTAGCGAGCCAGCGTCTTACCACTTAGCACGTGATCCCCTCGTGAATAAAGTACACGGTTAACAGTCCATTTGCTGATTACACTATTTTGCCTATACCGTCACTCGACACAAACTAGGTCATTTCAGAACTAACATATATGGTTCATCTTATTTCAATAATTCGCTTGTGCGTAGGGGTCTTTAGCAGTGGGAGGAAACCGGAGAATCCGCAAAAAAACCCCATGAGGTTGGACAGACGACCCTACTCCTTGTCACGTACAACCGGGAATCAAATTCACGTCAGTTGACTCAATGACAGACCCTATGATACAGCGCGCACGTGCTAACCATTCCCCCCCCCCCCCCCCCCGTCTTCATTAGGCGAAATGAAATGAAATGGGGTTTAACTACTGTTCTGCTCCGAACTGGGCTAATGAAGACGGGCATACGCCATACAGTGTGCTATGAGGGGAATTTTGCCCGGACAGCGGCACACTCTTATATCGAATTCCAACTGTCAAGGGATCTTTTACGTGCACGCCAATGTGTACACGGGACCTCGGTTCATCGTTCCATCCGAACGACTAGACAGTCCTGCATCACTGACAAGGGGGAACCACGCCGGAAAATCTGGATGAACTTTCTCGGCCAATGCAGGGAACGAACACCCGACCTCCAGGCTAGCGACCCAGCGTCTTACCCACTTAGCCACGTGATCACGTGATCCCCACTTCATTAGGCAACTCGGTGTAGAAAAAGTAGGGTGTTAAAGTAACATTTCATTTCATTTAGACCAATAACAATAGTTTTTATAACCTATACCTGATAAAGATGAGAATATAATTTATCATCGATAAATTGTGGTATATAAACCAGAATTTGTTATTCCATTATCAGTTTTAGTGTGTTACTGTACTATATATGGTTGTACTGGTAATACAATGGGGTTTAGCGTCTTATTGTTCTGCTCCATACTGATACCTGGTAATAGAATCGGGACATAGAAATAATATTCCTATTAAATTGGACTAGAAAGGGATTTTGTATTAATTTTGTTTTTTCTTCCTTATATATTAATCATAGCAAAGTAAATATGTGGTGATCTGTCATATAGAACGACCCCACTGAAGATACCAGTGCTTGCCTTATAGACTCTGTGCCGGATTAACCATTAGGCAAATATAAAAATCCAGGTCACAATAAATAAGTAAAAGAAAGTTGTAATCTAGCTGCTGCAATCTTATAGTAATTACAGTACTGTCAAAACAATTGTTTCTGATTTTTTTTGTAATAAATTTTCTATACAGGATGCGAAGTGCCCAGAACCTTTCGAGCTTCAGCTCCGCTTCTGCCCATATGTAGGCCCTGTCCATATGTAGCCCCCCCCCCCCCTCCTCCCGACCCCCGGTAAGGTGAGTTAATTGTTAATTGCCTTAGAGCCTGTCTCACGATCAACTATTATCCGTCCTAACTCTTAATGGGAAATACTCTCCCCTACTGTTTGGATTAACCCACTCTGCATGCTACACGATATCCAATTATAAAATTAAATACTCTTTATATTTTTGCCATTGTTGCATATTGAGGGTAGCATGACAATAAACCCAACAAGTTTTGTTTTGTTTGTTTGGCCAGGAGGTTATTTAGCTCGATTTTAAATACGATGATTTATACCCGTGTCAGGTAGGATTATATGCTTTATTGTAGTTGGATGTGGCAGAAATATTATAAATAACAATAATCAATCGTTTTGATGTATATAGCACCATCTCTTATCTCGAAACACGGAAGGTTGAGAGATGAGGTTTGTTATCTAGAGGTTATCCCGAACTGTAATTGAACGGAGAAAGTGCGAATCCGAGTTTGTGCTATAATAAGATAGCAGCCACGCTATAGCTTATTGAGTAAGACGTCAAGGTTAGCTAACACGGAGTCCCTGTGTTCATTTCCGGTGTTGGCCGAGAGACTTCATCGGATTTTTCTGGCGTGATTTCCCCTTGTTAGCGAGCGGTGCAAAATGGAGAGCCTGACAAGGAGAGAGAGAGAGAGAAATGGGGTTTAACGTCCACTCGACACAAACTAGGTCATTTCGGGATTAACACATGGTTTAATTTTATTTCAATAATTCGCTTGCGCGTAGGGGTCTTTAGCAGTGGGAGGAAACCGGAGAAAACCCACGAGGTTGGACAGGCGACCCTACTCCTTGCCACGTACAACCGGGGATTCGAAACCACGCCAGTTGACTCAATAACAGACTTTATGGTACAGCGCGCACGTGCTAACCATTCAGCCACCCAACCCCCCTGCCTGACAAGGAACAACGTATGTTCGGATATGGGACGAAAAACCAAGGTCCCGTGTACCATTGACGTGCACATTAAAGAACCTCTGACAGCTGGAATTTGACCGTAGTGCCATTGTCCGGGCAATATTTCCATCACATCACACTGTATGGCGTATGCCCGTCTTCATTAGCCCAGTCGGAGCAGAACAGTAGGACGTTAAACTCCATATCAATGTAATTCGATATAATAAGATAAACTTTAAACAAGAAACACGCGGTAAAAGAATGCACTATATGCCGTTACATTTAGGTTTTGCTTTAGAAAGACCCCCTTTCCTTTTCACGGTCAACTCTATTTATATTTTACTCTACATACGTAATCTATGTAAACACATTTTTAAAATCATATTTATCATATAAACATAAAAACAACTGTAATCATTTTATACACAATCCATGAATGATTGGCAATCATTATCAGCTATAGACCACGGTGAAGAAGTGTAATTGAAGAGGTGATAACTTCAAATGTGGGCCGTTTACACACAAAACGTTCCCCCCCTATAGGTTTAATTGGGCTATTTACCTATATAAGTCTTCGATCTGGATTACTTTCTATGTACGGAATATACACATCGAAAGCTAATACAAATGTGGCAACAGTAAAAAAAAGATCGCTATAATACACACATATCTCGAAAGCATATTAGGATGTTGAACAAATTTGATAAGGATCCTTTAAGCCTGATCTATTGACGTAATCAAAGTTGACCCGCTTTTCCATGTACGCGTTTTCGCGCGCGATTTTTGGTATTTCTATGTGTAGCCTATTGAAAAAATCGCCTAAACAATTTAGGAAACCGCGGTTTACTTAGTAGAAGATAAACATAAACACCCGATTGTACAGGCATCCTCATGCAGACGCGAGAGAAAAGCAACGAAAAAATCGCTCATCGAGCAAGGATTTGTTCGTGCGCGTTTTAAAGAAAAAGCACTATGCCCCATGACTCAGTACCTTTGGGTCCAAAGGGTCCTAAAACGTTGTTGCTATATTGGTCATTTTATAAACAAAAACAACTGCTATAGACATTTGCCTAGAAAAGTAAGAAAAGGCAAAAGTTTATTATAGGCCTACCTAGCAGTCACTTTTGCTTGATGAGCATAGCCCAGCAACTTTCTATAATCTTTTCTTGGAAACAGAAACTAATTTTTATAAATCCCACCCAACCTCTTTAAAATGTCTTTATATAAATGTGTGCATTTTATATCAGGGTCAGTGGATAACCTAAAGCCAGGCGCAGACGGGCAACTTTTTCGAGCAACTTTCAGGCAACAGTGAAATCGCTGGTCGTTGAAAGAAAAAATCGCAAGTCTGCGCCAACGGGCAACAATAGTTGCCTGCTGTTGCTCCGAGTTGCTTCTCGTTGCCAAGTATCAAACATGTTTGATATTCGACAACAGAAAATCGCTCGTTTCCGAGAAATTGTTCATCTGTTGCTTCAAAATTGCTCGTCTGCGGCGGTAGGCGACAACAGGCAACAAGCAACTGGTTAACTGTCCAATCAGCGAGCGCTCTACTGTAATGTGATATATGTTGTTGAATGTACGGTGCCATTTTGAATGATCACGTGATATCGGCATTCCGGATACATCCGGGGGAAAATTGCTTCTCGTTGCCAGCATAGATAATACCGTGTTATCTATGTTGCCAGTCAGTGCACACGGGAGACCTCGAGTTGCCAATTGCTCGGAGTTGCCAGTAGTTGCCTATTGCAGCAACAAGCGACGAAAAGTTGACCGTCTGCGCCAAGCTTTAGCTATCAAAATAATGTGCAGCAGTTGTGTGTCCCGATAGTGTGATATTATCTGTTTAATTGGCTTGATTATAAATAATACCGCGGCCCTTTCTTTGGCAATGCAGGCGACGAACTATGCGCATACCATTTTAATGTATTTTTTTTACTTAAAATAATTATGTCAACAATAATTTATAAAGGCTCAATGCAAGACAGGTCCCCTTTCTTATTTTTCAACCCTGGCCAAACCCTTATTTTAAACCCTTAATAAAAGCAATCTATTTTTTATTAATATTATCATACTAATTTTCATTCATCGTATGTTGCTGTGACGTATTAATTTAGAAAAAATGTTACGATCCATTTCATTGGTTCATTTTTCGTGGTCCCATATCTGACGATTATTTGCAATCACACGACTTAGATTCTTTGACTACGATAATTTCAGGATTCATCATTATTTATTAAGAAATTCACGAAGCGATTTTTAATTTTTCTTCATCATTTCCACAGGTATGTATATTGTTATTATTATAAACAATAATTTGGCTAACGCTTGTCGCAGTGCGTTAAGATTTATCGAGGCAGACTTTGGACCCAATGTTACTATTTATAATTTGTATAACGGCAATACGCTCAAATGTCTGGATAACCGTACATTTTCCGATGGATGAGGAAAAAATATCGATTTATTTCACTAGGCTACTGATATCTTTCCAAATTATTCCACGGTTTCAGATTTAAAAAAAGCTTTGTAATATACATGTCATTGTAGATTAAATAGGTCTTTCATTAATATAAATCAAATTCAAAAGCGCAAAGCAGATGAGTGGTGGTGGTGGACCAGGAAACAAGATAGATCAAGGGCGCGGACCCAAACCCCCGGGTCAAATTTCGCCTATCCAGGGGGTAAATTAGCTGATTTGAGATAGGCTACATACATGTATTTCTTTCAATTTTGAAAGGCCTACGTTATTGTGAAAAAATAATTGAAAGCCGTCTTTCAAAGAAAGCAAAGGATTAGTGTTGGTACGTTTGTCTCGTGTCTGTCCGTCACACGTTTTGGGACACAAAACTGAATAACACCCTGCTTCTAAGTTCTAAATCAACAGCAGCAGATTGTGATTTTCAGATCATTGTAGACCCCATTTTTAATCATGTATTATTATTAGTAATGAAGCGAAATATATAGTTTGAACTCATTGGATTTAAAACCAGTTGTTATAATATGTATAGGCCTACCTATAGGTAACAAATCTGATGAGCCTTTAGCCTTAGGTAGAACTCCTTGGATTTAAAAATACTATTCTTTACGCATTATTCATATCCTATTATATTACTTTAGGAGATATTTTAAAGGATAATCGTACCATATACTATAGCACTACTAATAAATGCATAATGGTATAGGATTTCTTAACTGGGTGCGCCATATTATCGATTTATTTATGTCTCGCCCTATTTGAAATTTTAAAAAAAAACAACAAAAAACTAGGACTAGGATGTAGTAAAATGGACTATTATATGAAATAGTTTTTCTTCTGTGCAGCATGCATTTGAGCTTCTTGAATTCTTACTTAATTAATTTGGTGGATAAATAAATGAATTGAAAAGATGAATTGTTGGTTAACCTTTTCCCTGTTCTTGATTAACAACACAGCAACCTTGGGCTAGATATTTATAACTTTTGTTTGTTTGTCGAATACGCAAACTAGCTGAGCCTTTTTAAATGACTAAAATATCACGTGTTGAAAGGTCCGCATTCACAACAACCACCCCACTTCAAGATCATAACTGACTAAATTCAAGAACTCTTCGTACATTTTATCGCTATATTTTCTCTCCTTTCTAAATGATTTTTTTGTTTGTTTTTTTTTTTGGTGGTGGTGAGGGGCTTCTTCCTTTGGTCGATAATTGTTATTATACCTTTCAATTTATATTTCGTCGCACCGCATAGGGGTTTTGGAGTTGTTTTATTTTTTTTCGTTTGGCGGTTCGGCCGATTTTTTGCAGTTGGTGTTTTAATCGGGGTTTGTTATGAGCTAACTGTTTCCAAATGACAATATATGTTATAACGACAGAGAGATTATTATTTGTATTCTGTCGCATCGCATGGGGGTTTTGGAATTGTTTTTTTTCCATTAAATTGAGAGAGAGAGAGGGAGGAGGGGGGCGTTAACGTCCACTTGACACAAACTATAGGTCATTTCGGGACAAACATGGTTCAATTTTATTTCAGTAATCGCTTCCGCGTAAGGTATCTTTAGCAGTGGGGGGAAACCGGAGAACCTGGAGAAAACCCACGAGGCTGGACAGGCGACCCTACTCCTTGTCACGTTCAACGGGGTATCGAAACCCCGCCAGTTAATTGACTCAATGACAGACCTTATGATACAGCGCGTATGCGCTAACCCCGATTTTTTTGTACTTGATTTTTCGCCAGACTATATGTTTTAATCGGGGTTTGTTACGTTTTAATCGGGTTTTTTTTTTCTTCTTTTTTTTTCGTTTGTCGGTTCGGCCGATTTTTTGTAATTGATTTTTCGCTTATATTTTATTAATTTTATTCGGGATTTGTTATGAGCTGACCCTTTCTATATGAAAAAATATATATGTTATACGTTCGTACATTATTGACCGAGTGAGGCACAACCGCATGCAAAAATATTGAGATTTTTTACAAATAAAAAAAAACAAAAAACGCCACCAATATTAATTTCAGGCTACAATACGGTTTTTGATTATTCGTATATCATTGATGTAATTGGCCTAATCTTCTGTTTAAATGATGAGCGCCAATGACCTTTATCCTCAATTGTCAAAAAAACAAAACACCAACCTGTAGCAGACGATGGCCTCCAGTGCACGCTTTTTGCCAGCAAAACTGCGTCTGGTGACATGACTTAACCACGTGGGCGTTTGCAAAATGGGCTGTATCGTAGATAAAACCAAATCTATTTTATATTTACGATCAGATTGGTGGGGTACTTGTTCCAATTTAGGCATAGCTATAAAATTTAGCTACAAGATACATCATTAGATTGGAATAAATTTCATCGTATACTTTTGTCATTTGATAGGATAATATTTAAAGGTAAACGACAATAATTTGAGATTTTAGACGGCGCATTGCAAATTTGATAGGCAAACCAATTTGATACGAAGGATTGATCTTTAAACTAGCATCATATTACCTCGGTTAGCACTTGATTATGAATAGTTTGTTCACTGAATTTTCTGTAGTCCAATAAATTGACAGCGATCATTCGATGTGATCTGGGTGTATGCGTATGGCGTGATCTATTATTTCAATATTTGTCTTGTTCTGCATTGCAAGTATGACGATCGTTTCGGATGAATAGTTTTCGTGCACGAGAATACTTAATACTTTGAATCTTCGTGTCATTGTTTATCCAATATTTTGTCTTATAGATCAATAAATTTTACGATGCCGTCCAGAATTCTTGAAAATGGATCGGGAGATGTATTTACTACAAATGGACATGCAGATACCGAAGACGTTGTTATTAGTGGAATATCTTGCAGATTGCCAGAATCGGACAATATGGAAGAATTCCGTCAACATCTTATACTAGGAGAAGATATGGTTACAGCAGACGACAGAAGATGGGAACCTGGTAAACGAGGAATTTCATATATTTATTCTATTTATTTAATTACATTTTTAGATTCACTTTGTTGGATATCATTTTTATACGCCCACATTTTCATTGTGGACACACTACAGGTTACAATTCTTATCCTATTTTGATGAAACTTGAAATATAGGTTTATCTTCAAAAGATCTTGGTTCCTTTCGATATTGGCATGTATCAGATTGAAATTTCATGGATTATGGCCCCTGATTGTTCCCGGGCTGACGGGTAAAGTGAAAACAAAAATGATTATTTCATCTTGTTGGCAAAATGAAGTGCCCGAAATTTAATAAAACACTAATTTTACAAATTTGTACTGAATTGACTATGGATTAAAACATTTTGTCTGGAGCAACTCTACATGTTGCGTATCGATTATTATTTGTGAATGCAGCTGCAACAGTCCGATTGGATGTTTGGAGTTCAGGTTGGCTTAGTGGGATTTTGGTTACAAAACGATTTGGAAACTTTGAAGTTAACTCACGGGCTAGAATAGCAGAAAAACGCATTTGCGGCGGTTAAATTTTCAAAATTTTATTGGAGCCTGGTGCCCCCATCCCTCGCGATGATTGATTGGTTATTTGGGTTTCAAGTAAGTCACCCAAGTTCAGGCCCGTAACCAGCTTGCTAGCTTCGGAGGGGCCTACAGTAGGTATTTTAGAGCTATGGTCGGCCAATTTTTTTTCGGGCCGGCCCAAGTTAGGCTATATTGGACCACATTGAATTTACTGTATTCTCCATGGACTGTAAACAATTGAATGGTTAATTGGAATTCAAGAGAGAGAAATGGGGTTTAACGTCCACTCGACACAAACTAGGTCATTTCGGGACCAACATATGGTTTAATTTTATTTACATAATTCGCTTGCGCGTAGGGGTCTTTAGCAGTGGGAGGAAACCGGAGGACCCGGAGAAAACCCACGAGGTTGGACAGGCGACCCTACCCCTTGCCACCTACAACCGGGGATTCGAAACCACGCCAGTCGACTCAATGACAGACTTTATGATACAGCGCGCACGCTAACCATTCAGCCATCCAACCCCCCCAATTGGAATTCGAGTCAGCCACCTAAGTTAGGCTATATTACACCGCTGGTTGTATTCAGAGACTGAAATAGCAAGAAAACACGTTTGTGGCCGTTAGATTTTCTCAATTTTCTTTGGGGGCGGGATGTCTGTAACCTAGAATTTTATCGGGCATTTCAGGTTCTGCTCCCTCAACATTTATTGAACCCATGCGCCTGTGAGAACTGGAGAAAGATTTTCAAAATTGTTTATTTTTTAGGATTACATGGCTTGCCCACAAGAAATGGTAAACTAAAAGACATATCAAAATTTGATGCTACATTCTTTGGTGTTCACCCAAAACAAGCAGACGCAATGGATCCACAACTGAGAATGCTGTTAGAAGTAACACAAGAAACCTTGGTTGATGCAGGTTAGATCATTAAAAATGTCTGAACAGGAAAAAAATGAATTTCATCATTTCTTTGCATGTTTCTGATGAAAAATTAGTGCATGTAGAATTTGTTTGCAGCTAAATCATTTCATTCAGTAATTGACTTCAGGGGAAATGAACTGATATACTTAAAAAAAAAAAAAATAAAAAAATAAAGGTTCAGGGCTGATAAGATTAATACATTCAAATATAGGTACAAGAAATCTAAAGTAGAAAAACACAGCACACTTTTGATTGCTAATCATAATAATGTAGTTAAGTGTGGGCTTACATAGATAACAATTTCTTGTATCGACATAGATAATAATTTTATCATATCGGATAACAATTCTGTTTTTAAATGCCCATTTCTGATAACTTCTAGAATTATTGCCATTAATTTACTTATCATTATTTAAATTGCTGAGGTGCAAAAGTTATGATCCAATTTAAATTTGTCTCGACTATTGTGAATAATAAATTGATTACAATAGTTTCTGATAATTCCGAAAGAGTTATTGCACTTTGTTTCATAGAATCTTATTGTCCATGCAGTAATATTTTAGTGTTTAAAGATTTTGCTCACAATAATGCAACCAGATTTATGTTGGAGTCAAACGTTTCGTTGCATGGCAACCTATCTATCTTAAGGCAATTGAATCTGCTTGTGCATTCAGAAGGTGATTTAAAGTTCAATAATATTTCTATTGTCTGCAGGTGTTAATCCTACATCAGTTCGAGGTTCCCGTACCGGTGTTTTTATTGGTGTAAGTTCATCTGATGCTGGAGAGGCATGGGCTGCAGATCCAGAAAAATTAGTTGGCTACAGTATGACAGGATGTTGTAGGGCAATGTTTGCAAATAGACTTTCGTATTTCTTTGATTTTAAAGGTATAATATTGGTATATTGTTAGGGTAGTCATTTAGAGGTTTATTACACTCTGACAGAAAGTACATATCATTTCAGACATTTATTCAACTACATATTACAGCAATCAACAACATATTGTGATAATTAACAAAAATTAACTCAGGTATACATTACCAACACTATATTACAATCTATAAAATCTAGACATTTACAGCAATTAATTATTCATAATGTTCAGTCTCCTCGATAAGTGTTAATTGTAAGGTTGGCCTATTGTTTCTAATTGTCTTCAATTAGTCAATATCTATGTACCCCCAGTCTGTATCTTATATGTACCCCCAGTCTGTATCTTAAAATGCATCCCCCAGTCAATATCTCGTATACCCTCTGTCAATATCTTGTTATCTCCCCGGTCAATATATCTTAAGTTTAGGGTCAATGTGACATGTGTTGGGAATAACTGCCCAATATTTTTTTTTATCCCAGTCAATATCTGATATGTGTCCCTGTCAGTATCTGATAATGTAGTCCAGTCAATATACACAAGTAAATAAATATCTGATAGACTTTAGTCAAGATTTATACCCAACATGATATGCACAACTTATAGCTGTTTGGATGGGACGAAAAACTGAGGTCCTGTGTACTACACTGGCATACATGTAAAAGATTCCTTGGCAGTTGGAATTTGATATAAGAGTAGGCTGTGGCACTGCTGTCCAGGCAAAATTTCCTTAGTAGCACACATGGCATATGCCCATCTTCATTAACCCAGTTGGTGCAGAACAGTAGGACGTTTAACCCCATTTCATTTCTGACTTTAGAATCAAAACTAGCGATAATGAGGAATGAGGATTTGAAAAGTGTATTTTATTTCCAGGTCCAAGTTATGCCATCGACACTGCATGCTCTTCCAGCTTGCTAGCGTTAGATCAAGCCTTACACAATATTAGAATGGGACATTGTGATGCTGCCATAGTCGGTGGTTCCAATTTATGTTTAAAACCAACATCAGCTCTACAGTTCTTAAAACTAGGAATGTTATCACCTGAAGGTTCCTGTAAATCATTTGATGAATCCGGTAAGTTCTTTTAATTTCTGAGGAGGGGGGATGGCCGAATGGTTAGCACGTGCGCTGTATCATAAGGTTTGTCATTGAGTCAACTGGTGTGGTTTCGATTCCCTGGTTGTACGTGACAAGGAGTAGGGTCACCTGTCCAACCTCATGGGTTTTCTCCGGGTCCTCCCACTGCTACGCGCAAGCGAATTATTTAGATATATTATTGAACCATGTGTTAGTCCCAAAATGATCTAGTTTGTATCGAATGGATGTTGAACCCCATTTCTCTCTATAATTTATGAATTCAGTAATTGACAATTATGTCTTGTTACACAACTTGAAATAGTCAACTTTTAAACTTATTTTGGCTAACTGCCTATCTACTTTTAAAAGTAACCATGACAAAATACAAGATATTAATTTAGAGATCGTTTCTGTTGCTGGATATTTTCACAGGAAAATAATTTTTTTTTTGTATTAGGTAATGGTTATTGCAGGAGTGAGGGTATTGTAGTAATTTATTTACAGAAGAGATCAGTAGCTCATAGAGTATTATCTACACTAGTACATTCAAAAAGTAATTCTGATGGTAATAAAGAGCAAGGTGAGACATTTATAGGAATGGTAAAACATGCATTTTCTGTGAGCTTCTTGATTAAACTTACATTATGCAAGAGCTAAATCTGCCTATTGCAGGTCTTTCTTTAGGCCTGAAATATTATATAAACTATAAGACATTAATTAACTTATCCAGACCATAATCAACTCTTGATGTCATCGGATACTCGAGATTTTAACTATATTAGAATGGTTCGCCATTTAAAAATGGAATTTAAAAATGGGAAAGTGAGGCTAAGACTCGAATATACCAGTGCCCTGGTTACCACAATGCACACATCTTGTCAAAACTACAGTGATAACTTGGCTCAGAATGAAGTAATTTGATTGAAATTTTCATTTTACATTATCTATTTTTGAGCTATTATACCAAGAATAGTCTGCTCTTTATATAAATCTTACATAATGTATCTTTAACTGATCTCTCTTCCAACTACAAATGTCGATTCAACCTCTTCTATTGGTCTTTATTCAGTCACGAGTCAGTATTTTAACTGCCGATTGACAGGATACACAAATAACCACAAAGTAGATAAAAGAAAAAGAAATACTTCTTGATAAATCGTTGAAGTTTCCATATTGATTAATAACTAAATGAAAGATGGGGCAACTTGAACATTTTAGCCTGGTTATCCTATAATGGCGTCTCTCTGTAAATAGTAAATGTTTACAAAGTTGTACTTTATATTCTAATAAAGGAAATCCACAAAATAATTGAAATTTAAATTTCTAGGAATAACATTTCCATCTGGTGCAGTTCAAAAACAACTGTTGTCAGATGTATATCATGAGGCTGGGTTATCTCCATCGAAAGTTAGTTTTGTGGAAGCTCATGGTACTGGTACTAAGGTTGGTGACCCTCAAGAAGTCAACAGTATAACGGATGTATTCTGTAAAGATAGGAAAGAACCCTTATTAATTGGATCAACTAAATCTAACATGGGACATCCTGAACCAGCTTCAGGTATATATTTAAAACCAGATTTATTATTATTCATTTATAAAAGAGCTGCATTTTTATGGCAAACAGTAAATTATAAACAATAGCTGTAGTGAAATAGGTAACTGAGTAAGTTTTGTTTTGTTCTTAGTGCAGATTTTTTGTCATACTGTGCTATGACATGGTTTGAAATAAACTATTTTGAGGGATAGTCCACATTAATGTAATTTTATTATTCTGGAGAAGCAATCATTCTGAAATTTTGACGGTAAGATGAACTAAATTTAAACACCCCAGTTAGAGCCTTGTATGATTAGTAAATGAATTATTATTTTTATACGCCCACATTTTCATGTGGACAGATATTGTCGTCGCCCCCGTCCGTCTGTCCACAATTGTTTGTGAACAGTCTACAGGTCACAATTTTTATCCGATTTCAACGAAACTTGAAATATAGGTTTATCACCCTAAGATCTCGGTTCCTTTTGATATTGGCATGTATCGGACTGTAACTTCATGGATTATGGCCCCTGATTGTACGAAAAATCACGTTTTTAGCTTGTGAACACTGTAGAGGTCACAATTTTTATCTAATTTGGTTTAAACTTGAAATGTATGCTTATAACCCAAAGATCTCGGTTCCTTTCGATATTCGTGCATATCGGAACGCAACTACCTAAATTATGGCCCCTGATTGTACGAAAAATCGTGTTTTCAGCTTGTGGACCCTATAATTTTTATCCGATTTAAAAAAACGTATTATTATATCACCGTTACACCCCAAGAATGACTGAGTTCGAAATTCGTGAAAATCGGACCAAAACTGACAGACAAAATTGCTGCCGTTCATTCTCAAATAGCATAAAAATATGGTATATCAAGGTTGTGGACCTTATAGAGGTCACAATTTTTATTCGATTTTGTTGAAACTTGAAATGTAAGTTTATAACCCAAAGATCTCGGTTCCTTTCGATATTTGCGCATATCGAATTGTAATTTCCTGAATTATGGCCCTTGATTGTAGGAAAAATCACTTTCTTTTTAGCTTGTTCTCTATCCATCTCTCGAAAATGTGGTTTTATATTGAAGTGTTCTGCTCCAGTGTTTGTGGAATAACTATGTTTAAAGCTTTATAGATATTTTTACTTTGCATTCTTTCAAGAAGATTGACATGACATTGAATTGTTTTGATTTACCAAATTTGTAGCATGAATGTTTTATATTAATTTAATCAAAATACAGGATTAGCAGCTGTTGCCAAGGTGATTGTTGCTATGGAAGATGGAATGATTCCTGCTAATTTACATTTTAAAAATCCAAATCCTGATATACCTGGCCTTTGGGATGGACGATTGAAAGTTGTAACCGAAAGAACAAGATGGAACGGAGGCTATGTTGGAGTCAACTCGTTTGGTTTTGGAGGTGCTAATGTACATTCTGTACTAAAATCAAACAACATCGAAAAGACGCGCGTTCATCCGGCTTCTAAAGCAAAAAGACTTTTGACCTATGCCTCACGAACAGAGGAAGGACTTAAACATATTTTTACTGAAGTTAAGAAACATTCTGAGGACGTAGAGTTTAATGCTTTGTTAAGTGAAAGTGCCGAATCTTCCACCCATTCACATCCTATTAGAGGTTATACGGTATTAAATACAGATAATGAAGTTGAAGAAATCCAGGTATGAATAAATTTTCTACTCTGAATTTCAAGATTGTTTACTATTTATTATCGAAAGGTCGGTTTCCACAAATTTTACGATAAGTGCAAATACAACTTAACAGTGTTCTTAAAGATATGCCCAAACCACCAATCGCAGAGATATAGTAATTCATGACATCATGCAAAGCATAGCAATCTGCATGAAAACCGAGAAAAAATGTTAATCACAATCGGTCAGTTTGGATGCTTTGGATCTCTAAAACGGACTAATTTAGTCAATTCATAAAAATTTTCAAAGCAATTCGTTAGGCGTAGTTTACACTGTTCCATTATAGTGAACCACAATGGACTACAGACATTGACTTAAACATGACCACCCAAATCTGCAGTCCTTTGCATAGTGTTAAATATTGCCGATTTTATTGATGTGCTTAAATTACTATTTCCAGTGCAGAAATTGCCATTGTCGGTCTTGGGTACATTGATCTCAAGGAAGAAAACTTTGGTTTTTCATTCTTCTGAATGAATTCCAGCCACATCTCTAAATTGACAAGTTTGCTAGACTGTACATGGTATCACACATTCATATTTTATGTATATGAAATCCTGCAGATAATATTTCTTTTGTAGAAATCTAGTGGGGATAATCGTCCAGTATGGTTTGTATTTGCTGGTATGGGAACCCAGTGGTTTGGTATGGGTAAAACTATGATGGAATTAGAAATATTTAAACGTTCCATACTTCAATCTGATGCTGTATTAAAACAACATGGCATCAATCTTCATGATCTCATTATGCATGGTGATGATAAAACATTTGAAAATACTTTACATTCCTTTGTTGGTATAGCAGCTATCCAGGTAACTATCTTTATTTGTACAATTTTGAATTATTAATAATAGGTTTTCTCAATGGGCCTGAAGTGCCACTGACATTTTTATCTTGTTAACTGTGATTTATGAAGCGTAACTTTGTTCTGGTCCTGAACATTGAATTTGAGTTTTATCTCTTGATGTCTGATTTTGGCATATTTTGTTAGATCATTGTCAGATCTGGACATGTGGGTGCTCCAGACATAAACAAAAACTTATCGGTTTTGAGTTTGGATGTTATGACCTTAACCTTTTTTAAGATAACATTCTCAATTAAATTATTACAGGTTGCCTTAGTTGATCTTTTACATAAAATGGATATTAAAGCTGATGGTATTGTTGGACATTCTGTTGGAGAATTGGGTTGTGCTTATGCAGACGGCTCACTAACAGCAGCAGAAACTGTGTTAGCAGCATATTGGAGAGGAAAATGTATACAAGAAGCCAAGCTTCCTGCTGGTGGCATGGCTGCTGTTGGTATGTTCTTAAATTTACAATTTTAACAAAAGTTATAGTAACTTTGTAGTGCATTTTTGAAATGGATAAATAATTATCCGGTCTTAAATTCCTGGAGTTGTATGATCTGTGACGTAGCAACTTGATATAAAGTTTCCCATATACAACTGCTCATAATTTTAAAGAAAAAAAAAAACAAAAAAAAACTTAGTGCTCTAACTGTGAGGGTAGTTGTCTGGTTCACCATGGATTGCATGGATTAAAGTTTATTAAATCTAAAACCCGCATGCGAGATAGGCCATGTTTTATTCAACCTCTCAAAGTACATATGTACAATGTTTTATTTAACCTCTCTAAGTACCAAAGAGTCCACATATGGGAGATAACTCCCAAAGACTCCAATAAAGAACAAAGGGGAGAGAACTCTTCCATAAAAGGTGGCATTACTATATAACATTACATATGTAACTCATTTCACAGATAAAATGTAATTCATATTAAATAGATGCTTAGATGTGTAACTCATTCAAAGATCAAATCTTTAATATTATAAAGATGCTTACTCATTACATATATTTCTATTGAGACAAAAATTTATTTTTAGGTTTGACGTGGGAGGAAGCTAAACGGCGATCACCAGAGGGTGTTGTTCCAGCTTGTCACAATTCAGAAGATACAGTAACTATATCAGGTCCAGCAGATAAAATCGCTACATTTGTACAAGAACTAAAAGCTGATGGTATATTCGCTAAAGAAGTCAACAGCAATGGGGTAGCATTCCATTCCTATTATATGGCAGACATAGCTCCTTCGCTTAAGGCAGCTTTGTCAAAGGTAAAAATTTATATTAACTTATATAATGAAAAATATAAAATAATTAGATTATTTTGCATCAGAGAATTATATTAAGATTTAACCAGGGGCAAAGGTTAGCCAAGATTCACTTCTCCAGGGGCAAAGTTTAGCCAAGATTCACTTCTCCAACGGCAAAGTTTAGCCAAGATTTCACTTCTCTGGTGGCCAAAGTTTAGCAAAGATTCACTCCGGGGCCAAAGTTTAGCCAAGATTTACTCTGCATACAAAGTTTAGTTAAGATTCCATGATTACGAAAATGAACCGACTTTGTGGAATTTATTACAGGTCATTACTCCTAAACCAAGGTCAAATCGCTGGATAAGTTCTTCAATACCAGAAACAAAATGGAACACAGATTTAGCTAAATTTTCGTCTGCAGATTATCATGTAAATAACCTTGTAAGCCCGGTTCTCTTTCAAGAAGCTCTTCAACATGTTCCAAAAAATGCTATTGTAATGGAAATAGCTCCCCATTGTCTCCTACAAGCCATATTAAAAAGATCATTAGATGTAAACTGTTGTATGGTTGGTTTAATGAGTAGAAAAAGTACCAGCAACGTAGAATACTTCTATTCTAGTCTTGGCAAGTAAGTCAGATGTTCCGTTTCCTCTTAAAAAAATTTTTTTTTTTTTTTAAAACAATAGTTATTTAACCCGTTAAGCGTGACACTTTTAAAATGTTAACTACCCCTTATTGTGTAATTAATTTGACAAGGTTGGGGAAAAATACCTCCAAGGCGTTAAATTACGCCCTACACACAGTGAGTGGCAGTTGTCCAGGACGTTATATAACGACCTATGCACTTAACGGGTTAAAGCTAAAAGCACAACACAATTTTTATGGAATACAATCAGTGGTTTGTTGCAGATATAGCACAATTATTTGACAAGTGTTCTCTTTCCGTTCGGGGGGTTGGATGGCTGAATGGTTAGCGTGCGCGCGCTGTATCATAAAGTCTGTCATTGAGTCGACTGGCGTGGTTTCGAATCCCCGGTTGTACGTGACAAGGAGTAGGGTCGCCTGTCCAACCTCGTGGGTTTTCTACGGTTTCCTCCCACTGCTAAAGACCCCTACGCGCATTTGAATTATTGAAATAAAATTAAACCATATGTTAGTCCTGAAATGCCCTGGTTTGTGTCGAGTGGACGTTAAACCCCATTTTTCTCTCTCTCTCTCCTTCTCATGCACTAATGTTTCGATGAGATTAATTTTCGAAAAGTCGTGATACTTCTGAAATATTCCAGTGATTGTATTATGTATAGATTGTGTTTGTTTCTAATGTTCTCAATTGATCAAGGTTTATGTTTAAAACGAATAATTGTCTCTAAGACTAATTTATTGAATAGTATATGGAAATTCTTTTTCAGGTGTTATATAAATGGTCTAAACTTCCGCCCTTTAAATATTTTCCCCCCTGTACAGTACCCCGTGTCACGAGGCACACCACTAATCTCGCCAATCATCAAATGGGACCATTCTCAATCTTGGGCTGTACCTAAAGTAGACGAGTTTCTCAGTGGAGGGAGTGGCATGAATTCTGATGTTACTTTTGAAATTGATGCCTCTCCAGAATCGCCTGATCACTATCTAGTTGGACATGCCATTGATGGACGTGTTCTTTATCCAGCTACAGGCTATTTATGTCTAGCCTGGAAAACTCTTGCTAAGTCAAAAGGAAAGTTCTTTGAACAGATGCCTGTAAAATTTGAAAATGTCAACATCCATCGAGCCACTATTTTACCAAAAACTGGTGAGTTGATACCTTTTGTAATATAACATTTTAGATGCACAGAAATCCAAATTCAATCATTGCTGCACAACAGGTGCCATGCACAAAGAGGGGTGTACGGTTTCCAGAACACACCATACCCACTTGGCTCATCTAATGGTCATGGATGTAGGTCATATTTAACTTGTACAAACCATGATGCAATTATCTTAAAGATAAATTATGGGAGATTAGGTAAACGGCTGGCAGTGCTCACTATAATAGATAAAACTAGATAATATAAATGGAATATACTAAAAATTTCAAATTGCTCCACTCCGAACAGAGATATCGGCGATTAAATTTTAGGCCAAGCATTGATCATCATTACTAAAATCGGTACGATTATCCATTTTTGGATTTAATCATCAATGAGCGTTGAGAAGCGATCGATTTCAAATCCAGTGAAAATCTGACGCATAAGATGACATCGAGAATTGATTAAGGTCTATTCATGTTTATAAATGTTTAATTATTTGTATAACCATTCAGGCCTAAAAAAAAGACATGTAACAGGCAGATTTAGCTTTTGCATAATGTATGTTTAAATAACCATTTTTTGACTCTGAAATTTCTAATACTAAAATCTTAATAGTAAGTACAAAACAAAACCGTTAAGACAAACCTGCGGACAAGACTAAGTACACAAGACATTGCAAGCAATAAATAGAATTTCTATAGAATGTTGTGTATGATGTTTCAGGTACTGTTAAACTTGATGTCAGTGTTACATCTACTGGAGATTTTGAAATCTGTGAAAGTGGAAACCTGTCTGTTAGTGGAAATATTCAAATAATGGAAGACCCTGGTCAAAACTCAGAATACTTTGATAGTGAAGCTGCAGAAGATACTAAAGTTGGGATAGATCTATCCAAATCGGACATATATAAAGAGCTGAGGTTAAGAGGCTATGATTATGGACCAACATTCCAGGGTATATTAATGGCCAATAATGAAGGTAACTTTGTTTTAAGTATGGAAAGCAACTTTTATTTTTTTTCTTTTGAACATCTTGTGGTGAAAATTAAAGTTTTAAAATCTGTAGTACATATTAGGCTTCTTTCAAATAACCCCCAAGTCCACGTCTAATTAGAACTCTTTGGATCAACTACATCTCAATTTCTGTAACAATTGACCTTTTTTGAACTCATACTTTTCTCAACATCCAATACATTTGAATTGACTATTTAGAGTGGAACCTCGACTGTCCCGCACATTTCCGATGTAAAAAATAAACTTTGCATGCTATGTTTGTGTAATGCGTAGGCTTTTAACCGACAAGATATGTGAACGGGAACCCATAAAAAAATAATGCTATGGATTATGTTACGGCTATTGTTAAACTAAACGTTTTATTTTTACAGGAAACCGTGGTCAGTTAATATGGAATGGTAATTGGGTGTCGTTTTTAGACACAATGTTACAGATACAAGTATTAGGTTTATCAGGTCATGGGTTACGATTACCAACAAGAATTAAATCTATTTATATTGATCCTACCACACATGTAGATACAGCGGTAGAATTTTCACCTACTGAACAAGGTTAGTTATATTCAATAGCCATTTTTGCTGATCTATTAACAGGGAAATTCTGTTATTGGGACCAGTCGTAGTACTAATATAAAATTGGTTTATTAATAGTATGGTCTTATACTGATCTGGAATCCCAGGATACAGAGATAGATAGGGGTTTTTAGCAGTGGAAGGAAACCCGGGCGACCATTTGACCAATGATTTACCTTATGTTGGTTAGCCAAATGACCTTAACATTGGATTGTGATATCCAATTTCACGATCCTTGATTTTACATTACTTGAATTTGAAAGACCAAACTATTTCTCTTAGGAGCAGTAGGCCCATGTGTAGTGGCTGGTGGGGGGGTTGGATGGCTGAATGGTTAGTTCATGACGAGGAGTAGGGTCGCCTGTCAAATCTCGTGGATTTTCTCTGGGTCCTCCGGTTTCCTCCTACTTCTAAAGACCCCTACGTGCAAGTGAATTAACGAAATAAAATTGAACCATATTTTAGTCCCAAAATTACCTAGTTTGTGTCGAGTGGACATTAAACCCCATCTCTCTCTTTCTCTCTCCCCCCTCCCCCCAATGTAGTGGTGCATACGTTGACTGTGGAATACCAAGTACCACTTTTATCTAGTACACGTACGTAGCTCACTAATTTTACTATACATTTGCGTTACAATTTCTCTGTAGTTATATTGGGATTGCCCACTTCAATATTTCATCATGTATTTCTTTATCTCAGTGATTGATGTTAAAGTTGATAAGGTATTAGATGTCTGCTTTGCTGGATCTGTAAGAATTCATGGTCTCCATGCAACTGTGGCACCAAAACGCCAACAACAAAATTCTCCAACAATAGAAGAATATAAGTTCATTCCTAACATAGAAAATCTTCAATTGGAACACAGCAATGAGTTACAGAACTATGCCAAATATTGCATAAACATGGCATCACATAACTTAAAAAAAATCTGTGACAGTGTTATTCACAATAAAGACACACTAAAGATAGCCACAGCAAATGCCCATAATGGTGCAGATTCCAAAACTGATCCAAATTATTCAAAAGAGCCATCATGTGGACTTGCTCAAGTGTTGCAGAAAATATTCACCACATCTTTATCATCTAATTTCTCTGAAAACGTAAACAATATTCTACACGCATTTAAACCAGAGTTGGCAGCAGATCAACTCTTATTTTTTCTCACCCAGCCCAGAGCTCTAAAACCATGTTTAGATATTGTGTTGGAGAACCTGACCACACGTAAAATAAAAGTTGTAGAGATAAACGCCACCAAAAGTCCACTTCATGATAGAATAGTTCCACAATTAAACACCCAGCCATTGCTTCAAATAGACTATACAACAGCAGAAACGGAACAAGTTGACACTTCGGAATTAGAATCGAAAGGAGTAAATAGTGTCTCCTTTGATTTTACGAAGAATTCTGTGAATGGAATGCATTTGGCCGTAGTCAACAATGTTTTACATCAGCAACTGAACATTTGTGAAGCTCTTGAAGCAGTTTCTGCTTGTGTGGTTGATAATGGTTTTATTTTGGTGAAAGAAGTGACACAAAATTTCCCTTTAGCACTTTCAATAGATGCTCTGTATAAAACATTGCCCACGGTCACCGATAGCAGAACGTGTGGACTTTACCTAAATGAATCTTCTTGGATTCGGGAGTTTGAAAAACAAAACCTCAAAGTGGTTTGTCAGAAAACGGATGGATTCATGTCAACGTTGTTCTTATTGCGCAAAAAATCAAACTTGAGTGAAGAACAGATCATTTTAAATGTTGATGATTTGGAGTGCAATTGGGCAGAACATTTGATAAAGAATATGGCCGACATTCAGACAAAAGCAGATGGTGAAAATTTGTGGTTATATTCTGCGAATAAGAAGAATGGGTTAGTTGGTCTAGCTAACTGTTTAAGACAAGAAGGTGGTGGAGAAAGATTAAGGTATGTATGAAATTAAATATTTTATGTACAGTATTGTGAAGCCAGTAACTGAAATCAGCGAGGGACATTTTTTTATTATTAACAAAATGTATTATTCTTGGGTAATTTGGATTCGGGACAAGTGGGGTTTAAACGTCTGCTTGCCACAAACTAGGTCATTTTGGGACTAACATCTGGTACAATTTGATTTTAATAGAGTTCTTTAGCTGCTATAGGAAACTGGAGAAAACCCACAAGGTTGGACAGACAACCCTACTCCTTGTCACAGTCTTGGAATCAAAACCATCACTTGGTTCAAGAACAGACATTAGGATCTAAAATGCACAAATTATTTTTTTTTTTTTTTTTTTTTCCAGGTTCATCTATAATTATGATAACTCTTTGAAAGATTTCTCTGTTAAAAGTAAAGAATTTTTAGTAATGAAAGAGCTTGATCTAGTCAGTAATGTTTACAGTAACGGAAATTTGGGTTCCCTAAGACATCTTCCCACTGAAGGTAAGATAAAGGAAAAGAATTCTTAAAATTTGAATGATCTAATCCATAAGATTATGTTCCAAAGATATAGTATCAAGTTAGCATTTTGTTACTTAAAGATACATTATGGGAGATTAGATAGAGTTGGCAGTTCTCACTATACTATAATAGTTAAAAACTACATAATGTTACGCAGCATATAGGATTCTAATCCAGAAAATATCACAGGCGAGCGATACCATCGAGAGTTGATTATGGTCTGGATAAATTAATTAATGTCTAATTAATAATTTAGATAACATTTCATAATGTATGTTTAAAATAACCAATAATACATGCAAATGGTTCAAATATTAAGAAAAATATTGATAATTTAAAAAAAATTTTTTTTATTAAAATGGACTTGTGTTAATCTATTGGCTTGCTTCTAATTTTAGGTAACTCGATGAAACCTGTTGACCATGCCTATGTTAATGTCCTAACTCGTGGTGATCTGTCCAGTTTAAAATGGATTGAGTCTCCCTTGAAATATTTTGAACCAGCTAAATACAAGGAAAAAAGTTTGTGTAGTGTATACTATGCTTCTTTGAATTTCCGTGATATAATGCTGGCTACAGGCAAGCTGCCTCCTGATGCTATTCCAGGGGATATGGCTCTACAAGATTGTATTTTAGGCATGGAATTTTCGGGTCGAAATTACTGTGGAAAGAAAGTCATGGGCTTACTTTCTGCCAAGGTAAATATAGCTTATATTTTGTGGGGAATCTTGGAAATGATTAAAATATTGTGAACTAAGTGAAATTTTTGAAATGGATACATACATTTGAGACCTATAGTGTAAATTGAGGAAGATTAGAAAACTTAAGATTTTAGCATTTTCAATAGAATGTTATACATCGTTAATTTACAGTTAAACGGTTAGAGGGTGTCACAGTGGCTAAGTTGGTAAGACGCTGGCTCGCTAGCCTGGAAGTCTGGTGTTTGATCCCTGGATTGGCCGAGAAAGTCCATCCAGATTTCCCGGCGTGGTTCCCCCTTGTCAGTGATGCAGGATGGAGGGCATGACGGGACAGCTGTCTAGTTGTTCGTATGGGAAAAAAACCAAGGTCCCATGTACACATTAGCGTGCACGTAAAAGATCCCTTGGCAGTTGGAATTCGATATAAGAGTAGGCTGTAGTGCCGCTATCCGGGAAAAATTTCCCTCATAGCACACTGTATGGCATATGCCCGTCCTCATTGTAGGACGTTAAACCCCATTTCATTTCAGTTAAACGGTTAGAGATATCAATATAAATATTCTATTGTTTTTTTTTATTATAAAGGGACTGGCAACAACAGTTGATGCTGATAACCGGTTCTTATGGGAGATTCCAGATCATTGGTCAATGGAGGAAGCTGCGACAGTACCTGTAGTCTATTCTACTGTTTATTATGCTCTGGTTGTACGAGGTGGTATAAAGAAAGGTGATAAAGTTCTAATTCATTCTGGTTCAGGTGGTGTTGGTCAGGCAGCCATTTCTGTAGCATTACATCATGGCTGTGAGGTTTTCACTACTTGTGGTTCTATGGAGAAGAGAGAATTCTTGAAGAAAATGTTTCCACAACTAAAAGACAACCATTTCAGTAATTCCAGAAGTACAGCATTTGAATTTGATTTCTTAAGAGCAACAAAGGGAAAAGGTAAGTTAGTTCCAACCAAAACAATTTAGATATGAGGTTAGCACATAAAACATACCTTGATTGTGGACATTTTTCTAGGATGATCCATTGGCAATGAACGTTTTGAGCCCTAGAACATGAAGTTTAACTTCAAAACCAAAAGATATTTATGGATATTTCATGGCCTGTGGTAAAATTCAGTTGCATTGCTATGAAAAGGTGATTTAAGGGTTTTTCAAGGACAGATAAGTAGATTCATTGATGGTAAACCAAGACAAACCTATTCAGTTGTATAACTTTATTTTATCCTTCTTTCAGGTGTGGATGTTGTATTGAATTCATTGGCAGAAGAAAAGTTACAAGCCAGTATTCGACTTCTTGCCCCACATGGAAGATTTTTGGAAATAGGAAAATTTGATCTCTCCAACAACACGCCATTAGGTAGGAACATTTTGTAAATTTGTCCATGAGCTATTCAACTGACAAAATAAATTTGCATACAATTAAGATGTGGATAGATTTCATTTTCCTGAAAATTATACAGACTTAATCAATGTAATCGATTTGGAAATTTAAAGAATGTACTCGTATAAAATTAATCAGTGAAATTATACAGAAAAAATTAATGGAGTATGAAATTATAAGAAATAATTGAATTTGAGTATGAAATTATAAAAAATTGAACTCGAGTATGAAATTATAAGAAATTGAACTCTGTGAACTTGGAGATCACTGACCATTTTTATGCGTGACACTGTTATCTTTAGTTTTTTTAATACCATAATCCTGATTGTAAATGTCTTTTAGAATCACAGTATTGATTGCAATGATTATTCAGTGTTTTAATGCGATATATAATTTCAGGAATGTCCATCTTTTTGAAGAATATAAGTTTCCATGGTATTTTACTGGATGCATTGTTTGATGAGGGTAATTCTGATTGGTCGAATGTGGCTAATCTTGTAACTGAAGGTATTAAATCGGGAGCTGTGAAGCCTCTACAGAGTACAGTATTTGAGAAAAATGAAATTGAAGAAGCCTTTAGATTTATGGCACAAGGAAAACACATTGGAAAAGTTGTAGTCAAGGTATGGACTTAAAATTTACAGTAAAGATTTTTTTCAAAATTATTCATATTTTTATTCCCCATCCTTTCACAGAAAGCAGGGCACTATTAAAATGAGTTCGGCTGTGACCTTTTTGGACACTTGTTCATTAGTTGAATGCTTTGACTTCATGATGAGCATTTCTTATTAGGCAAAGCAGAGATACACAATTTCAATGGTTAAAACTTTGGGACCCAGTAACTCTGCTTTTAAATGAGGTAGAGTGTTCAAACTTGGTATAGATTTCCTGCTTCAGAGAATTCTGTTGGTTCCTGACCTTAAGAACAAGAAGTAATAAGGAGAATATATTCTCATTTCCTGCCAGACATTTTCCATTTCAACAGAAGTTGGACGTACCCAATTTATAAAATTGTATTGTAACAAGAATCTCATTGTAAAAATATTTACTTTACTTTAGGTACGAGATGAGGAAACCTTAAAAGTAGTAAAACCAGTGACTATTAAAACCACTGCTGTGGCCAGAACAGCAGCTCATCCTAATAAAACTTACATCATAGTAGGTGGTCTTGGAGGATTTGGTTTAGAATTATCTCAATGGCTGATTGACAGAGGTGCCAAGAAATTGGTTCTAACATCTAGATCTGGTATTAAATCGGGTTATCAGTCGCGTAAACTGCGTCTGTGGAAGAAAAGTGGAATACAGGTTGAAGTTTCGTCTAGAGATGTTAAAACGGAAGCAGAAGCTAAACAGTTAATAACAGAATCTAGTCAGTTAGGACAAATTGGTGGAATATTTAATTTAGCCATGGTAAATACATTCTCAAATATCCTATTCATAAATCTACTTAAAATTGCTGTAGCAGAAATTTTGAGGCAGTGTTCTGACACCCATACCTTGGATTGTCTGTCATTGATGCAAGTGTTGATGGTCACATGTCCTCTCAATGACCACTGTGCAGAAAGGAATTTTTGAGATCGAGGTATGTTGGTCCTGAAATTATGTAGTTGGCCAAATGCCCAAAAAGAATTGTCCATTCCCACAAAAAGCATTCTCACACATTTTACCATGTTAGTCTTAAGAATTATCTGAGTAAAATGAGACTTTTGCATTTCTTTATATTCCATTATCACAACACATGTTTATTTTTATTTTCTGGTAGGTTTTAAGAGATGGGTTTATTGAAAACCAAACCGTGGAGAATTTTCAGAAAGTTTGTGAACCAAAAGTTAAAGGCACAGCTAACTTGGATAAAGTGTCGAGAGAATTGTGTAAAGATAGTTTAGATTGGTTTGTTGTATTCTCATCTGTTAGTTGTGGAAGAGGTAATGCTGGGCAAGCTAATTATGGTTTTGCCAATTCCTTCATGGAGAGAATATGTGAATGCAGGAAAGCAGATGGTTTACCAGGTAATATGTGTGTAATGTAACTACTAGAGTATATCAGCAATTTATTCAGCTGATATCCAAGCACCTTATAATTCAACTATTGAGTATTAAAGTTGCAATTGCAAATTTTCAAGTTATATTTTTAAAGCCTTAAAGAATAATCCTATTAATCCTATAATTCGCTATTGCCAGCTGAGAAATTGGCAAAAATATCATTTTTAACTTCAAATTCCAACGTTGGAAAATGGCTGCCCCATGTTGTCAATAGCAAAACAGGGGAGGTAATTGTGTTGTTATTTCCTGTGTCATAGATTTTTTAAGGTTGGGAAATAATGCCCATGATCGTATAATAGTGATTTGATAACCTATTGAGCAAAAGACATAGAAATAATTATGTTTTGACTTTTCTTAGAAAATTTGAAATTCTCGCTTTAACTATACTTGTTTATCAGGAAGGGGTCACGTTGGCTAGCCTGGAGGTCGGGTGTTTGATCCCTGCATTGGCTGAGAAAGTTCATCCAGATTTTCTGGTGTGGTACCCATGTAAGTGACGGAGGGCTTGACAAGGACAGCCGTCTAGTCGTTTGGATGGGACGAAAAACAGCGGTCCCGTGTACACATTGGCGTGCACGTAAAAGATCCCTTGACAGAATTCGATATAAAAGTAGGACGTAGTGTCGCTGTCCGGTCCAAATGTCCCTCATGTATAGCACACTATATAGCGTATGCCGGTATTCATTAGCCCAGAACAGTAGGATGTTAAACCCCATTTCATTGCAGATTTATCGGAGAACCAGAATGTTTTTTTGAATGGCCTTACTATTATTTCAAGATGTAAAGATTTAACAATGACCAAATTAGCCTTTATGAAAGGATACTTTGTTTTTATCTATGTGTGTAAGGAATTATTTGTAATGAATATTTATGAAATGTTTATGTAATATTTTAGGTCTTGCTATACAGTGGGGTGCAATTGGTGATGTGGGTATTGTATTAGAAACGATGGGTGATAATGATACAGTTATTGGTGGAACTTTACCTCAAAGAATAACATCCTGTCTTTCTGTGTTGGATCAGTTCTTAAATCAGCCCCAACCAGTTATGTCTAGTTTTGTCATGGCTGAAAAGAATACAGGATCCAAAGACCAAGGTTTGGGTAAACCAGATTTAGTGGAATCTGTTGCAAGAATTTTAGGTACATTTATTTTAAATTGCATTCAATTAGTGGTTCTACTATAAAATTGGTTCATACGGTCTGTCATTGAGTCAACTGGCGGGGTTTTGATTCCCAGGTTGTACGTGACAAGGAGTAGGGTCGCCTGTCCAACCTCATGGGTTTTCTCTGGGTCCTCCGGTTTCCTCCCACTGCTAAAGACCCCTATGCGCAAGCGAATTATTGAAATAAAATCGAACCATGTGTTAGTCCCGAAATGGTCTAGTTTGTGTCGAGAGGACATTAAACCTCATTTCTCTCTATAAAATTGGTGATTTCATTGGATTTTATTTTCGTTTTTGTAGTGACAACAGTCTTTGTTAAATCTTTAACAGAACTTTTGTTAAGAATTGTCCATTTGCTGTTCCAATGTTGAAATGTTAACCAACCTCAAATATAAAATGAGTAAAGACTTATGCTTAATCTTTTGAGCATAAATTTAATAATGCATAGCACTTGCCCCATCACTAGTCGAGGTTACACATTAGGCCAATCCAATTTAATAATGCCAATATTTTGTTATGATGTAAATGACATCACAAAGAGAATATGAATGATGTGTATCGGCATATGTTTCACAATTGTCCATAAGCAGTTTCACAAACTGATAAATCAAACTATTTTGGACCTTTTCACAAGGATTTTTGTTGAATTGACAATCACTGGACCCAAAGATTTTAAAGTTTTTTTTGTTTAATTTAGGTGTGAAAGATGTATCCAGTATTAATGCAGATTCAAGTTTAGCCGATCTTGGTTTAGATTCTTTAATGGGAGTGGAAGTGAAACAAACCTTAGAAAGAGACTTTGAAATGAGTTTATCGATGCGTGAAATTCGTCAATTGAGTATAACAAAATTACGAGACATTGGTGGTAGTTCATCCAAAGATAAAAAAGAAACAGAATCTGATAAATCTATAACAGACGTGCCATCTAATTTAGATGACAGTGGAGTTTCAATTCGTTACGACTTTGACCATCTTATCCCAACTACAACTATCATTCATTTGAATAATATTAAAAATACAGTTACTCCATTATTTGTCGTCCATCCTATTGAAGGTATGTTGACCGTAATTAAAGCTTAAAAGACCATATTTCTATTTCAATTTGTAAAAACTTTTGGCAATATAGATAATGTGAATACAGCACATGTTCAATTTTCATCATGGGGTATTTATCGCCTTGGTAATGGAGGGAGTAAAGTTAAGGAACTTTAGTTAATTCATTTTGTTACACGTTTGTTGCTTGTCCTTGCTATGTTAAGAGTATTACTGGCTATATGTAATTTTCTATCCCATGGCCCATTTCTTTACAACAGCCAGTGCTTTGATATATCCCCTTACTATCGGTATTAAACAATGGTTATTCTCTGCACCTGCTTCCAGATTTCTGATTAAATTATTTTCAAGTGTTAGCGGGAGGGATGAAATAAAAGATTTTGAAAAATTTCTCACTGGTGAACCAAATATTTCTTAAACTGTATGAACAACAAAAAAGAAAATTCTTTGTGAAAATATTTCATAAATTAAGTAGTTAGCATAACAGTTTTTGATGGGTATTATTTTTAGTAAAGGTATTTTCTTGATTAAGAGAGAATATTAATTTTGAAAGATACCTATAATTCTCCTGTATTAAATTTTCAGGTGTAACCATCATGTTAGAGAATATGGCCTCGCAGTTATCTTGTCCAGTTTATGGTATACAGTGTACACAAGAGGCACCATTATCATCTGTAGAAGCTTTAGCTGGTTTCTATTTACAGGTATTCTATAAATTAATAGTATATCATTGTTTCAATTATATTTGTGGATTAACATTACTTGCCAAATGAATTCCCTAAAAGTCAATATCCTGGATTTCTTGCAAAACTGGCAGAAAGTCGCACATTAAAGATAAAAATGTTATCACAGATTTTGGTTTATAAATTGAAAATTACTTTTAATAATGGCTGTGTCTACATAAATTGATCACCTTTTTGTCCCACTAACTTGAATTCGCAGTAGCCATCAGTATATAAAAATAGGACGTTAAACTTCATTTCATTTCATTTGTATATAAAAATGTTGATTTTGAGTTATCGCTTGATTTTCTTGGTTTGAGGAGCATGTTGGATATTCTGAGAGTGTTTTATACTTGTTTTTCAGCAAATTGATAACATTCAACCAAATGGTCCATATCGATTGGCTGGCTATTCTTTTGGAGCATGTGTTGCTATGGAGATGGCAATACAGTTACAAAAACATCACCCAGAAAATCCAGACATTGTGCAATCATTAATACTACTGGATGGATCTCACAAATATGTTGCAGCTCACATACAGCCATATTTAGATAAAATAGAACCCGGTAATACTGCACAAGCTGAAACATATGGCATGATGGCCTTCATACAACAGTTTATGCCAATTGACTTCAAAGAGGTATGATTTATAAATGTGTTTTTTGCTACAGATTTGTTTCCAAGTAGAATCTACACGCAACTTTATTATGAACCATTATTAAATTTAATTTACTATTTTCAACAAACTTAGCTAGAATCTAATTTATCGTAGGGTTAATTCCCTAGATGACCGTTGACCAATATTGGTACCATGGCAGCTCAGGGTTTCTAATTAGAACTGTAAAATAGTCATAAAATAAATAAGCTTGAAATGAGTCTGTGAACAATGAAATCCAATATAAGAACAAAACCTTTCAAGAAAGTAGCCATTTTCATTATTTTTCATGAAGTCAAAACTCTGAACCGTGGTGGGGGGTAGGTGACTGAATGGTAAGCGCATGCGCATTGTATGTAAGGTCTGTCATTGAGTCAGCTGACCTGGTTTCGATTCTCCAGTTGTATGTAACAAGGAGTAGGGTCGCCTGTCCAACCTTGTGGGTTTTCTCCGGGTCCTTTGATTTCCTCAGACTGCGAAAGACCCCTAAGTGCAATAATTGAACCATGTTAGTCCCAAAACGACCTAGTGTTTTAAAATGACAATTAAAATTGATTTTACTTGTAGATTTACGTAGAGTTATTAGAAAAACCAGATTTTGCCAGTAGAATAACTTGTGCTATAGATAAACTGATGTCTTTAAGAATCTTCCAACACAGAACTGAACTGGAAATAACCGCCAAATCATTCTACGAAAAAGTTCTAATTGGTGGAAACTATAAACCAAAAACCATTTATAAAGGAGATATGCATTTACTGAAAGCTAAACAGTGTACACATGAATCGGGTGTACTTGGTGCTGACCTGGGATTATCACAAGTAAGAACTATATATTTATGATTGTAGGGTATATTTTGCAGGGTTTTAAATGGTTGTAATTTTAAATTTTTGTATTCTTTGCCTACAGGTTGTTTTTTTTTTTTTGGGGGGGGGGGGGGGGGTGTATGAAATATCCATTAATATTAAGTCTACATAATAAAACTTAAATTTGGATCTTTTCTATTTTTTAGATTTGCTCTGGAAAAGTTCATACATATGTCATTGAAGGAGACCATGAGAATTTTATATTGGGAGAAAATGCCAAGAAAATTGGAGTCGTTTTAAATCCTATGTGGTGAATTTATGACAAGCAAAAAACACACTATCCTTGTTAAAAAAAAAAAAAAAAAAAAAGAAAACAAAGAAAAAAAGCAAAAAGAAAAAAAAAATTGAGAAAATCAGTAATGAGTTTAGAATTGAAAATATGTTAAATCTATTTTATTTTTTTTTGGTAGTCTTATGACATCTATTTATTCTATTTATTGATATTTTTTGTATGTTTTCTTAGTGGATCTTAGATGTTGTCTAATTCTATATGGATCAAAGATCATTCCCGGTGAACTTATAAACCAAATGTTATGTTAGTGTAATTTGTCAAATTGTTAAAGCCAATGTCAATCCCAGTGAATTTGTCTTGTTAGTCCCATTTGTTGAAATTTTACAGTGCTACATCATCATGTCAAGATTTTTCTTTCCTTGAAATAAAAGATTTTGAAGAGAATTTGTTTTCAATGGCCCATCAGTTAACTGGACTACTAAAATGACTTGCGGCCTACATGTTCCTTTGACCAGGACGAGCAAAAATTGTAATGGTCAACATTCGACCCCTTTCAATATTTTTATCTGATTGTGACGTACTGAGCACTTTGTGGTTGTGATGGACAGAGAACAAGCTAAAGCGATTTTTCGTACATTTGTCAACATCAAAGGAACCAAGATCTTTAGGGGATATAAACATTTAAGTTCCATCAAAATTGGATAAAAATTGACCTATAGCTAGAGGGTCCATAACCATGGTATTACATGCTTGTTATGCTATTTGTGTAATGGGGAGCAACCATTTTGTCAGATTATTTTCAATTGTCACAAAATTTGAACCCAACCGCAATTATGGTGTAATGGTGATATAAAGGGTTTTTTTAAAAAACAAATAAAAATTTTAATAAAATCGGCAGGGCCATAATGTTAAGGCCCGATATGTGTTTAATATCACAATGGAACCCAGATCTTTTGGATATAAACCTATATTTCAAGTTTCATCAGGATAAAAATTATGACCTCTAGAGGATCCACAAACTTGGTATTGCATGCTCTTTTACTATTTGCAGCCATATTGACAGGAAGTTTAGGAAGGATTTTTGCGAAATTCGATATCAACCATAATTACATGAATGGTTTTAAAATCCAAAAAAAAAAATTATGACCTTGAGGATCCATAAGCGAAAAACCTGAATTCATTAAAAAAAAAAAAAAAAGCCATCGATTTCATGTGTAAAGAACCTCAGTCAGCCCTTCTGATTGCAGTCTTTCATAGCATTTTGAGTGGTAATATTCACTGGTTCTGATTTCAATTCAGGTGTTGGCCAGCAAAAGTTACTCTAGATTTGATTTTCCAGCCTTGTTTCACCTTGTCAGTGATGGCTTGGCAACTGTGATTATGCTTCCAATTCTAATTTTGTTACCGGTTTTGCCAGCCTGAAGTTTTTTATTGTTTAAGAATTGGCTTTAGACCCCTGCCCCCCCCCCCCCCCCCACGTTGAAGGGTCCATCGAGGTGTAGATAAACGAATGGGGTTTCACATCAACTAATTTAGTACATGTTGGAGCACTTGATCTGAAATTACATTTAAATGAAATGGGTTTTAACGTCATGTTCCGACTGAGCTAATGAAGACGGGCATACGCCCGCACAGTGTGCTATGAGGGAAATTTTGCCCGGGCGGCGGCACTATGGCTAACTCTTATATCTAATTCCAACTGCCAAGGGATCCTTTATGTTCACGCCAATGTGTACACAGGACCCTGGTTTTTTGTCCCAACCGAAAGAGTAGACAGCTGTCTGTGTAAGGCTCGCTGTCCTGGGCCCTTATTCACGAAAACTTAAACTAAGATAAAATCGAAATTTTAAGAAATACTGCAACTTCATTGGATATATGCAAATTGATTTTACTGGTCAGCCAATCGAATTGCAGTATTTCTTAAAATTTCGATTTTATCTTAGTTTAAGTTTTCGTGAATAAGGGCCCTGTATCAGAAATTATAATGAACATGCAACTATACAGAATGGCATGGAATTTCACTAAGGCGATATTGATACTTGAGGGATCTTCTATAGATAACCAATTTGGAAAACCAAAGTCATAGACAGACTGAAGTTTTATCAAAAAGAAACTTGGTTAATGAAGGTTTATGCCTTAAAGAAATCTAATCTCCATTGTGTTCTTATGCTTTTTTTTTTTTTTTTTAAAAAATAACCTTTTCTGCATCCAGAACATTTTTGGAAAAGTAGGGTAATTCACAACAAAGTTGAATATCGATGTTTTCGTCCTTTTGTGGCCCCAATGCTTGTCAGCAAATTTGAATAGAATCTGTTTCAAAGCTGTAGCGTCTATCGCATTTACAGAATGCCTCCTGAAAGGAAATTTACTAAATGCAGAGTTCATGCTTTCAAGACCACAATACTTCACATCAAATTTGAAATAAATCTGTTACAAACTGTAGCGGCTATCACGTTTACAGAATAACTCCTGGAAAAGGTCACTATAAACTTTGAATATAATTAGTTCACCCTCTCTAGACCACAAGGGGGGGGGGTGGATGGCTGAATGGTTAGCATGCGCGCGCTGTATCATAAAGTCTGTCATTGAGTCGACTGGCGTGGTTTCGAATCCCCAGTTGTAATTGACAAGGAGTAGGGTCGCCTGTCCAACCTCAGGGTTTTCTCCCACTGCTAAAGACACCTATGCGCAAGCGAATTATTGAAATAAATTAAACCATATGTTAGTCCCGAAATGACCTAGTTTGTGTCAAGTGGACGTTAATCTCTCTCTAGACCACAATGCTCAACACCAAATTTGAAATAAATCCTGTTAAAAATTACAGCCTCTATCAGGTTTACAATATTTTCAAGAAATTTGAACAAAGAGCTCAGACAGAAAATCATGGGCCATAAAAATATTACCCTAAAACTGAGCCCTCTATAATGCTGACAAGGACAGCTGTCTAGTCCTTCGGATGATACGAAAAACCGAGGTCCCGTGTATACATTGGAATGCACGTAAAAGATCCCTTGGCAGTTGAAATCCGATATAAGAGTAGGCGTTAGTGCCGCTGCCCGGGCAAAATTTCCCTCATTGCACACTGTATGGCATATGCCCCTCTTCATTAGCCTAGTATAGGAGCAGAACAGTAGGACGTTAAACCCCATTTCATTTCATTTGTTTAGATAGTGTTATGCAAAAAAGGGAGATAACTCTAAATATATTATCTGGAGGCAGACCACCATTAATTTCCCCATCGACTTCAATGTTAATTCTGGCCTCTTTGCCCACCTCCAACTTTTCCCCAAATTCTCGTTGGGCTGAATGCTTTTCACTACAGACAGAGGAACAAATGGTCATGTCTTTGCACTAAAATTTGTATGAGGTTGACCACCAAAATTTTGAGATACACAAACTTGAAGAATACTAAAAACATGTAACTAGTTGCCGCACATATCGCAGTAGCCAACCTGATAACCCTGTTATCCTTCCGCCTCAAAATCATGAATATTTACCAAAACCTGGCAGAAAATGTTAATTCAAACCCTCTTGGTCCATTCTAGACCAAAAAATCAACAAAAATGGGCATGCAAAAGGGGAGAAAAGAGAGAGAGAGAGAGAGAGAATTGCTATAAAAAGACAAACTACAATTCGTGGGTACCGAGATGGTGAAATTTAATGGTGGTCTGCCTCCATCTGATTTTCTCAAAATACATATTCCCTTAATGGAAAGGTGATTCCAATATATGTCCACATGTAGGCACATAAAATAAACCCACTAATATAGTCTACAACTAGACATATTTCATAAGTTTTATTGCACAGACAACATCTGTTAAGACAAAAGCACATTTTTAATGAACTCAATACCTTTATCAAAACAAACATAGGAATGTATATTATCACAAACTACAAGTACACTGGACTGAGTACAATTCAACAAATATATAATAATTTATAACAACATACATAATATTATTGAATATCTTTATCATATATGGTATATTCTATATACCATTGTAAGATATAGTAGGATTTATCTTGTGTACTACTGAGATTCAGATATCTTTTTGAATTGGAATAAATAATCAGATGTCTTTTTGAATTAGAATTATATTATCAATAGGATATCTTTTTAAATTGGAATAATCAATAGGATATCTTTTTCAATAGGATATCTTTTTAAATTAAAATAATCAATAGGATATCTTTTTTGGATATCTTTTCAAATTGGAATAATTAATTGGATACCTTTTTAAATTTGAATAATTGGATATCTTTTTAAATTGGAATAATCAAAATGATATCTTTTTTGGATATCTGTTTAAATTTGGATAATTAATTGGATATCTTTTTAAATTTGAATAATTAATTGTATATCTTTTTAAATTGGAATAATTAATTGGATATCTTTTTAAATTGGAATAATTAATTGTATATCTTTTTAAATTGGAATAATTAATTGGATATCTTTTTAAATTGGAATAATCAATTGGATATCTTTTTAAATGGAATAATGTACACACTTCTCTAAGGTGAAAAAAAAAACGAAATTATAATAGTTATATTACATAAACAGTTTAGTTTATACAAATGAATGATTGGGCGAATAAGGTGTTTTCTGTCTCAAAGACTAGTAAAAAAAAAAAGAAAAAAAAGTTAATCAGTACTGATTAGATCTCCACATTCTGTAATGGTATTATCACTTTCCGTTACAGCTCGAACTGTCTCATCATCATCATCATCTTCTTCTTCTTCCTCCTCATCTTCATCTTCATCAAATTGATTTGATGTGTCATATGTGAAGGTGCCACGAGACAGGTCTACTTCAATAGGAAATACTACAGCCTCTTTCATAACACCATGACACTCATTATGATACTTGGACATTGCCGACACAAATTTCTGTAGTTGAAAAACGATGTCTTGAACTGTAAGAAGACAATCAAATTTTTTAAAGGATTTGTATGTAGAAAAAAAAAGGCAAATATCCATTCAAAATATTAATGTAGAATAATCTAAAAATGTGGAGATACTGCTTAGAAGAGAAATGTACAAAACATTTCCAGAAGAATTTGATTCTTACCCCCCACCCCACTTTTTGAAGAGAGCAGGAGACTATTAAAATTGGTCTGTCTGTCACGCTTTTGCGGAAACAGTAAATCTGCTTCTAATAGAGCTAGAATGTTTGAACTTGGTGTAGGTGTTCATTTGTCTTGATGATGAGCATTTTCTGTTAAGGTCAAACAAAGCTAAGCAATTTGATTGTTCAATGCTTTGGGACTTGAACTTTGATTTTAATTGAGTTAAGAGTGATGAAAGTTGGTGTGTAGTTCCACTACATTAAAACCTTGACTAAATTCAAGAATTAGCACTTTCTGCTTCAGTATTAATAAGTTGTTTGATTGCACGATACTTTCCAAAAGATAAATGTGCAAATAATTAATACATTTATTTCAGTTGGCTTTTTTTTCCCCATCAACTCAATGATATACTCATCATTGACTTTAGAAATACAGGAAAAGTACAGAATTTCAATTACTTACCATGTTTTTGGTCTAATAATTCCATTTTCACCATAACATCGGATCGCATCTTAGCAAATCTAGTCCTAGCTTCTTGTCGACATCTTAGAACTAACCTACAAATTTAACAATATTTGTTAAGACTATTGTATTTTTACTGTTGATTTATTAAGAATTGATTTTTTTTAAAAAAAAAGGAACACAATCCATTTTTCAACATATTTTCAGAATGGATAAAAGTTGTTAGTTATAAGACAAACCTGTATTCATAGTTTCCTGTTTCTACTCTATATAAAGGTTCTTGTAAAGCAGCATAACTGTATTCTTCATCATCCATTTCTTTTACTTTCAGACAATATGACTAAAAAAAAACAAGTGACAAGTCAGTTACTGCAAAAAAAAAGGTTCAAAAATAGATAACTGGTGATTTTGTCCATTTATTCGCCCTCAAATTAGTTTTACAGATGCATTGTGTAAGATTTAAATAAAGCTGATCGTTCTTGCTATAATAGTTTAAAAACAGATGATTCAAAATGGATATATTGGAAATTCCATTCAAATTAATTTCATCTAAACAAAGTTATGACTGTTTGACGTTTGAGTGTTTGACAAGATGTGACATATAGTAGCGACGGCACTTGTTAATCGAAATCAAGCCTTGATCAACTATTTATAAATTAAATCATTAAATGGTGATCTTGTTTCAATCCGTTTAGATATCTGCCATCTAATGGTCTAGAGAGTTTATGATTGGTTTGTCATGTGAATAAATGTCTAAATAATAGTTTATCCACATTTGTAGCCCACCTCATCCATTTCAAATAATAGGAAATAACAGCCCCTCCCACTTTAAATTTAGTTAGAATGAAATACATTTACATAAATAAGTGAGAACTCACCAAATATTCAAATTTAGCATCTAAGTATTTTTTAACTGTTAATCTTGTGTCTGGAACAGCTTTATGTAAAAATGTATTCAAATCGGAGATCATCTAAAGAATAAATAAAAGACATCAATATTAGATCAACTAATAACCTAATTTAACTTAAAATCATCATCTTCATACAAATGAAATGAAATGGGGTTTAACGTCCTACTGTTCTGCTCCGAACTGGGCTAATGAAGACGGGTATACGCCATACAGTGTGCTATGAGTATGACGGAAATTTTGCCCGGACAGCGGCACTTTAGCCTATGCTTATATCGAATTCCAACTATCAAGGGATCTTTTACGTGCACGCCAATGTGTACACGGGACCTCGGTTTTTCGTGTCATCTAAACTACTAGACAGCTGTCCTTGTCACATCTACATACAAATTTTCAGGTAAACCTATACGAGAATAAAGTTATTCATGCAAAGGTGTATTAATCTTTCCTGAAATGGGCCCACTAAAGGATTTGTGTCCCCTGAAAAAGTTAAGTTAGTCCCAATAATCTGATGTTTTTCTAAACTTCAAAGATTTTTGTCACCGGAAAAAGTTATGTTGTTGTCGCAATTACCTTTATTTTGTTCTCTAAAATTTGAAATAAAAATTGACAGTAGGTTGCATAAATAAATCCATGAAATTATACACGATATAAAATTAAATTTGAAATAAAAACTGACAGTAGGTTGCGTAAATAAATCCATGAAATTATACACGATATAAAATTAAATTTGAAATAAAAATTGAAATAAACTCGATATAAAAATTAAATAGATGACACACTTACAGGTTTTACTGTTTTTAACATTTTGATTGCAAATTTCTCCATACTTCTATGAGCTTCACCAAACATAGAAAATGCTTCACTGGCGGCCGGCTGTGGTTCTCTTACTCCAATACAATTGAACACTTCACCAAAAGCTGAAATTAAAACAAATCTTCACACATTTTCAAAAGACAAAGTAGTTACATGTGGTTGGACAGGTTTCGTCTTTTCACAAAATACAAATTATTGGTTTGTATATACTGACTAGAAAAGCTTAGTCGAAACGTCGCTCAGTAATAATTGTATTCCATAGAATTGTGACCTGTATATTCCAGTTCAATTACTAAATGCCATTGAAACAATTTATTGATTTGTAGGCTAAGAGAAAATTTGTGTTAGATGTTTCCTGTCTGGATTAGATCAACTACAAACTTGATATTCATCAGAATTTTCCAGCGTGGTTTCCCTTGTCAGTGGTGCAGGATGGATGGCCTGACAAAATGAAATGAAATGAAATGGGGTTTAACGTCCTACTGTTCTGCTCCTAACCTGGGCTAATGAAGACGGGCATACGCCATACAGTGTGCTATGAGGGAAATTTTGCCCGGGCAGCGGCACTATCGCCTACTCTTATATCGAATTCCAACTGCCAAGGGATCTTTTACGTGCATTCCAATGTATACACGGGACCTCGGTTTGGATGGCCTGACAAGGACAGCTGTCTAGTTGTTTGGATGGGATGAAAAACAATGTACCGTGTACACATTGGTATGCACATAAAAGATCCCTTGGCAGTTAGAATTCTATATAAGAGAGGCCATAGCACCGCTGCCTGGGCAAAATTTCTCTCATCGCACACTGGAAGGTGTATGCCCGTCTTCATTAACCCAGTCGAAGCAGACAGGAGGACGTTAAACGCCATTTCATTTCATTTCCCAGAAAACAACAACAAAACACTTTGTTTACAACTAACCTTTATGTGATTGTGATAGTTCAAATGTAGCACGTAATAATTTCTTAGTTTGATCAATTAGAGCTTGATACATATTAGCACAACCCTCTAATTCTTCTAATTTCTTTAACAAACCATCTGGAAGAGATAATATATATATTTAAATAGGTTAAAAAGAGTTTGGAACAAAACTAATTTTACACAATAACTTCTAAAGCTCTTTTGTGTTTGTATTGATTATCATTTAGCCATTTTCCATGAATATAAAAAATACACCCATTTTTATGTGTATTTGTGAAAAATATGAAATTAGAATGAATAGAAATTTAATTGATCTGTCACACATCATAACTTGTGAAATAGCTACTATTTCAACAAATTATTATAAAACATTAAATTCTATAATAACTGGCTGTGTACCTACCATTACAAAGTATAGCTCTACTTAAACCTAAAGCATCTGCTGTATTTGAACTCATAGACTCCACAACTTTATGTTTGATTTTCTTTAATACTGGAAAAGAATTTTAAAATAGGCTTTAATGTTTTGGGATAATAGGTGAATCCATATGTGATCTACATTTGAATATGAGTTGCTTATTGCACTCCTGCATTAGATAGACTAACATGCACCACTGGAATAAGAGAGAAAGAGAGAGAGAGAGAGAGAGAGAGAGAGAGAGATGGGGGTTTTCCCTTAATGTCCCACTGGACACAAACTAGGTCATTTTGGGATTAACAATGAGAGAGAGAGAGAGAGAGAGTTTAGTTTAACCTCCACTTGATACAAACTAGGTCATTTCGAGACTAACATATCGTTCAATTTTATTTCATTAATTCGCTTGCGTCTAGGGGTCTTTAGCAGTAGGAGGAAACTGGATCACCCAGAGAAACCCCATGCGGTTGGACAGGTGACCCAACTCCTTGTCACGTTACAAGCTGGGAATCAAAACCATGCCACTTGACTCAATGACAGACCTTATGATGCAAAGCCCAGGAAAAATGAAGTTTAATGTCCTAAATGCAAAGTCCTAAAGGAAGTAATTGATAGTGATTTTAAAAAAAAAAACCTGTTTGAAAAATATTTAACAATGTAGGAATAAATACAATGTTATTATGAGGACATACAGTGCAAAAAAAGAAAAAGAAATTAAAAGGAGAGGATATATAAATTTAATTTACCTATATCAAGTGATTTGCCTTGTCGTGGATCAGCATGTAATTTATTATAGTTTATTGTTACTTCACTCTATAAAAGAAATATAGTAGAGAATTATAGATAGAGTAAAAATCTAACTAAAATACATGTAGATGATAAAAAGTCAACAGTGAGGCATCCAACTAGACTAGATGATAACAAGTCAACAGTGAGGCTAATGTCCCCTGCCAAATTAAAAAAATAAATAGATGACACACATACTTTAATTGCATATTTATCTGTTTGCAAAGCATCAATCATTTTGCTTAAAGAGACAATAACACTCTTGCTGGCTTAACAGCCCCAGAAAATAAATAATAGCCTTATTCTAAGTACTAGATGTTTAAGTGGCCTACCTGTTGTGTAAATTATCCATTACATCCTATTTTACTTGTCAAGAGGATTCGAAAATATTTTTAAATCCAAGTCACATTTGAAATGGTTTACGTTAGGCTTTTCAAATCATTTAGTTGAATTTTTCCAATTTTTTTAAATTAGGTGTGTTAAGATGAAATTTGTATCACCAATTAATTGGAATATTGTAATATAGTCAAATTTGTTGACCAGAATAAAGATTGGGACATATTATTCAGTTACAACAAGAGTGGTATTGAGCCTTTAACGGTGTTTAATTTGAGAACAAAATGTTCATTATTGAAACAGTCATGTCTTAACCAAGCAAATTAGCCTGTTTAGCCCTAGCAGAACATTTGGATCATCAGTAAATGAGAATCTACACCAAAACTGAACATTCTACCTGAATTGAAAGTAGAGGTATTGTGTTCCAAAGTTATGACCAATCAAATCACCTATTGCTACTTAGTCTGATCTGAAAATTCTCATCATCGAACTTAATCAAGGAATTGATGTACTCCAAGTTTCACACTCTCAATTAGAATCAGGGTTATCATGTCTCAAAACATTGAAGCAGAAATTGGTCATTACTGAACTTAGTCAAGGTACTGATGTAATGAAACTATAGGAAATGTGCAGTATCAAACTTAATCATGTTATTGATGTAATGATATATGCCAAGTTTCACCATTCTCAATTAATTAGAATCAAAGTTGTTAAGCTTCAAAGTCTCGACCAATCAAATTGCACATCATGGAACTTAGTCAAGGTATTGATGTAATGATATAAGCCAAGTTTCACCATTCTCACTCAATTAGAATCAAAGTTGTTGAGCTGCAATGTCTTGACCAATCAAATTGCTCATCATGTAATTAAACTATAGGAAATGTGCATCATTGAATTTAGTCAAGGTATTGATGTAATGATATATGTAAAGTTTCACCATTCTCACTCAATTAGAATCAAAGTTGTCCAGTTTTAAAGTCTCAACCAATCAAATTGCTTACCACTCTGCTTAATCTCAGCCAAAAATGATCATTATCGAATTTAGTCAAAGTATTGATGTAATGAAACTATACACCAAGTTTCATCACTTTGCTCTAATTAAAAGCAAAGTTATCACGTCCCAAAGTATCGACCAATCAAATTGTGTATCTGTGCTTAGTCTATTAGTCTAATGCTCATCCTCGAACTCAGTCAAGGCTTCACCTAATAAACACATACACCAAGTTTGAAGATTTTTGCTCAATTAGAAGCAGAGTTATTGTGCCCCAAAAAGTGGGAAGGACAGACAGATAGATGTATTTTAATAGTCCCCTGCTTTCTTTGAAAAGCGGGGGGACAATAAGGTGAATATGTTATTTGTGTGAGCGTTCTAAAAGACAACAAACAGCTCAATGAGACATTGATTGCAAAAATTAAGATTTTGATATTTAAAAATGAAATATTTCCAGAGAAGATTTTTTTGTTCATTCAGCAGAAATCGCATCATCAATATACCACACCAGTATATTGTTACATGCATGATGCTTCATTTGCACCAATGATGCAACAGATACATTATGTTCAATGGTATCAAAATCAATTGTGCATGTATAAAATTTATATTTCTGTCAACATAGAGATGTACTCATAATTTACTTAGCTAATAATAGTTACTGGACAGAATAGGTTTATTCAATACAAACCCTATGAGTCATCAAACAATCATTATTCTAGTTTAACATGTTCTATTTATTTCAATAAATGCAGAGAAAATCAATAAAAACTGGATTACTAACAGTATATTTTATCTATTAATATATATTATGGTATAAATAACTGTAGCAATTTACATATAAGAATTATTTGAACCCTAGATAATGAACTGATACATACTCTCACCTTAATAGACTGAATGGCTCTAGCCACCTCTACTTTGGTTCTACCTTTAACTGATTGACCATTTACACCAACAATTTCATCTCCTGCAGCCAAAGAACCTTCTTTAGCTGCTGGGGTATTGTCAAATACTTGTACAACATAGAGACAAGGACACAGAGGTGCACCACCCCCTATACTGATACCAATCAAATTCTGGCCATCTTTCTTTAAATTTACATGACCAGATGACACTGTCATACCCCTATAACAAAAAAAAAACCAATGTTCTTATAAATAACAACAAATTAAAAACTGTTAAACATTGCATGCATTGATAAAACAAATAGTATGTATATGGATGTATTCCCGCACAATCTACTTCATCAAAACTTAATTGGTATACATAGATTTACAGAAACAATTTCTACATTTATATGTCTTAAAGGAACAACACTGATAATTTCTTTGTGAAAGTAAAAAGCCAATACAACCATCATTAGCTTTTTGGTCAATGGCTTTCAAGTTGTTATGGTCATGAGTAAAACAACTACACATAATTGATTGGCAAGTCTGATTTCCGATAGCATTGTGGATGGATGGATGGGCATGTGTAATGACAATATATTCCCACAAATTGTGAAAACCTAATCAATGGTAAGATGAATATAAAACTGCCACAAGACAACATCTCTCTCACAGGTTGTGTTCAGCATGCCCTGTCTCAAGTACAGCACCTAACAATTTGTACATATAGCTCTACTTCAGTAAATGTGATCACTTCGAGAGCCAAATGACACTGATCAGATTTACTTTATAATGAGTAGATCAGTAGTCAAAACGTTGCATAGAACTAGTGCCCCAAGATATCTTACTCTACATGTATCATCCATCGTTAGTAGAAATAAGCTCATAATTGTAATTAAAAAGATCAATGTTTTATCTTCTAAAATTTATTTGGAATAAATTGACTTATTTGCATAATTACTACATTATGTTGCGTAACTTATGATAAATCTGATTTTAATTTCAACATCGACCACCCTCTATCTATGGGCGTCTATGGCCAAAAGTTTTATGTACTGAAAACTATTGGTATTATAGATTGAATTATAAGTTTGGTATAAATTATAACTATTTTCTAAGTTTAAGTATACTCACATGGGGTCTTCCCATGGCAAAAGGTGGTGTTTATTTTTATCAATAAAATAATCCTCGATATCATTCTCTGGCACAAGTGAATATTCCTGATACCCAGAACTCATATTTTAAATATCTAACACTCATCAAATGCAGACCCAATGTATAAAACATAACTTATATAAATTGAGAAATTATTATTCACTCATTGTGAAGAGCTTTTTATAAGCCCATATCAATGAAAATGTCCAAAACTGATGTGAATGCCCAACTTCATCTAGATCAATTTCGAGGTAAAAATGACTGGAAATAAAGGTCATGTATAAGTGTAGCGATTATAGGCAATTTGTTGACACGTAAATACCCAATTCATATGGCGACAGCTGTTGATATGCAACCACAACCAGTGAGTTAGGATCACGTGATTGCCTCTTACAGGGAGACAATTAAATCATCAGAGCGTCAATTTAACAACGCATGAGATGTTTATATGCAGATTCATTTCGATATCTAGATTATTGGCGAGTAAATTTCGAGAAATTAAGTCGATTTGCGGCGTTTGACGACAGACACAGACAGACGTCACGATGAAATATTTTCATTTTTGGATAAAAACACCAATTAACTGGACAAATTTTGAAATGAAAATAACCCAATAATTTGCAGTCGGGTGTTAATACAGCTTCGTGAACTAAGGACTTACAATTTATCCTCTTCGATTTCATAGTCCATCATCCTAATTTCTTTCTTTTCAAGCGTCAAATTATTAAATTAATATTTTTCGAGCTTCCAACACCATCATCATAACAAGTCGAAGCGGAAGTTGAGAAGAAATATATTACACATGCGCTAACGTTAAGCACCGACCCGCATCAACCTATCTACTGTTATCGCTCGAGAGCGTTGAGCCACCATTTAGTTCAAGAGACCCACTTTGGTTAAATCTGAATAATACTTATTCTAGCTTTATTTATTTGAACTTTACAGTTCACGTCATGGATGAAAAAACCTAAATAAAATCAAAAACGCGGAACAGCAGGACATTTATCCCATTTCATTTCATCAAATACGTACTGATAAACAAATTAAAAATTGACCGACTTACTTGTGGGGGTGTGACACTTTCTAACCAATCATTTTAGACTTACAGTGAATTTTGCTGTTCCAATAGGTGTTGTCAACTGTATATACAAGGACAACGATAACTGATACTTTTAAAATCAAATAAATAATTCAAATATTTCTTATCCAGTTTAATTTTGAAAATTATTTTTTGCCAAATAAACTGTTCATAACAATGTTACCCTCATAAATGTCAGTTTGGTGGTATATATTTTTATCATTTACCAGGGAGTAGGACAAAACACAACACGCACCGTAAATAAACAAACCCGTACAAATCAAAAATAAACGATAGTAATCCATTATTGTTCCAAATTAATTGCATTAAAGCAACCATAAGCATAATTTACAATTTGGGACGAAAAGTGGTGTCATTATGTGTGCGGATTTTAATAACAGAATACTTAAAATCGTAGTGCAAAGATACCCTATGTTCAAGATTTCTTTGAAGCAAGGCCATTCGTCCCCGGGAAGTAAGTGAAGGCTGTCCAATTTGCATTTCCCTAATATGGTGGTAATAATTGTTTGGACTACGTGTCGGGGAACAGACCGTCATTTGCTTTACATGTACTCGAGGATTAAGTTTAAATACGGTTAGTGTTTTAATCGCTGCGATACACGTTCTAGCCTGTTTGGTTTTTTATGTGCTTGATTTTAATCAAGTCAATTGTGATCTTGCCGCATTTATTTTCCACACGTGGTTTAAAGTGTGTTTGTTTTGATATAGATAAAATATGTACGAAATTCTTTAACAAGGACAGCTTTTAAAACATTTTTATCACTGATAACCGGTTTATTCCAGATCCACAGAATATAAAATTTAAAAAAGAAAACAGTTAAAACATATGGGTAAGTGTGTCTATTATATACTATATAATATTTCATATTCACCGCAAAATATAGAATTATTATTCAAGCAATTATATATTATGTATTATATGAGAGAGAGAGAGAGAGGGGGGGGGGTATGGTTAAATTTTATTTCAATAATTCGCTTGCGTCTAGGGGTCTTTAGCAGTGGGAGGAAATCTGGGGACCCGGAGAAAACCAACAACGTTGGACAGGCGACTCTACTCCTTAATGACAGACCTTATGATGCAGCGCGCACCATTCGGCCATCCAACCATCCTCAGTTTGAATTATATTTGAGGTTAAGCAGGTCATACATAAAACACCCCTAGATTAAATATAGTCCTTCATATATTTCCTTAAATTTAAAGAAAAAAATATATATATTAATATGAATAATTTGTCAATTAGCTATTCAATATTTATTGTCTGTTGTGCTAAAATATTTATTTGTATTGCTTAATAATAAAGAAACCGTTTTGTTTTCTCAGAAATTTTCAAGTACCAACGGGGACCCATACTGAGTGAATTTTATGCAAATAACTGGGTGTGGGATTATCAAAATAAATCCTCCGATGTCCATTTATCAAATGATAAGAAGTCGGCATATTTCTACACGGACCCGGTGGATCTTAGCACAGGAACTGCAGGTGAATAATTATTAAAATATAAATATCAAGGTACGGTATCAGTTGGGCGGTGACAGCTGCTGGAAACCACTGCAAATAACAATATAATATTATATTTTGTCGTATTTGTAGGAGGGAAGGAGCTACATTGGTTGTCAATATTTTTATATGTAACACCTGTCAGTGTCATTAAGTCGGCAACTACATAGTTATGTGCTACAAAAGTTTAGGAACTAATTAAAAGGGCTTTTTTTTTTGACGAATTCAAAGTAAACGCACTTTATATTTTAAGATATATTATTATTGATAATGACATCTTATAGTTCCAATATGGCCAGAAAGGTTGCATCATGTGGATCATAAATCATATTTTAAGTAAATTTAATATTAAATCTATTGCAGGGGTGAGAGGAAATAAAGCTTTAAATGACGGTGAACATTATTGGGAAATCGTATTTTTAGAACCCCCTTGTGGAACATCAGTTATGATGGGGGTTGGAACAGAAAATTCTAAATTACAAACAAATAACTACAAATATGTCAATCTTATAGGTTTGTATATTTTATACATTTAACAACACTATTGAGGGTTTTAATTGTGTTTAGAAATGGGGTTTAACGTCCACTAGGTGATAGCGCGTAGGGGTCATACTAGTGGGAGGAAACCTGAGGTCCCGGATAAAAACCGAGGTTGGACAGGCGACCCTACTCCTTGTCACGTACAACCCGGGGAATCGAAACCACGCCAGTTGACTCAATGACCGACGGTATGATACAGCGCGCACGTGCTAACCATTCGCACTCCCCCCCCCCACACACACACCCTGAAATCAATTAGAAACACCACGTATAGATCACTACCGTCAACAGCGCATCTAGACAATGTTTGGTTTCTTACTTCATAATTTGTGAAGCTCCGTTATCGGTAGTTACTTTAGTAACGGATTATTATCGGACTCTTCCCGATAAGAATCCGTTACTAAAGTACACTAAAAGTAACTATGTTTCCGGCAGACAAGTTTCGAGAAAAGCCCCCCCCCCCCCCCATTCAAACATGCCTAATGACTATTATTTTTTTTCTTAAAAGTCGATCTATGTATTTGATATATTATTCCAAGCATAATTGTATCAAGGATTCAATAACCAATCACACAAATTATATCTATGCCGAACTATTTATAACTATGGTCGTATAACGTTATAGGCTAATCAGACAGCATATTAATGGGCTTATAAAATGCCCGAATGGATTATCGTATTAGATTAAAGACAGTTTATAATTAGTTAAGCTTTCAAAATTATCCCAATTTAGCACCATTTAAATGATTATAATTATTATTATTTCTTAAGGCATTAATTACGTGTTTTGGGTTGTGTTTTTTTTTTATAGGAATCGATCAAGAGAGTTGGGGTTTATCGTATAAAGGTCGTATTTATCATAATGGTGAATCGTGGAAATATTGTGATCCAATCTATGATGAAGGAACGATTATTGGTTGTCATCTGAATACCTATTTAGGGACACTGACATTCTATAGAAATGGTGTAAATATGGGCGTGGCTTTCTATGATCGACGATTACAACAAGGACAGTTATATCCCATTGTCAGCTCGACAGCAACAGAAACTGAATTAGGTATTGGACGATCATATTGTCGACGTATTTCTTTACGTGAGAAGTGTTGTAGTATTATTAGAAATAATTTATCTTGCAACGACATGGTTGACACCCTTCCATTACCTAATATAGTCAAAAGTCAAATAAAAATGGCGTAATATTAATCTACGTAAACGTAGCTGCCGATAATTCATAACTTTAGATGATGATTTTAGGAGAATACTTATCAACGAAAAAGAAATCAAAAAAGTGATCTACTATATTAAGATTTCTAGTCATTAACCTATACTAGTTAGTATAAAGGAAAGGGTAGACTGAATAATCCAGCCTCTTGACAGCTCCAGTTCAGTGAACGGGGGCTATCAGAGGCTGGATTATTCAATCCAAGAAAAGGGCAATTAATAGTGTTTTGATATTTGTAAATGTATGTAAATGAATGAAATGAAATGGGGTTTAACGTCCTACTGTTCTGCTCCTATACTGAGCTTATGAAGACGTGTTTATGTAAATACCTCAACACAAACTGTTTATAATGGCACATATGAAGATATTGGGTTATTAGTTCCCAGCAGAAATGTTATCTGTATATAGTTTATTGATGTATATAACATTGTATAAAACTGTAATCTATTTCCCATAACCTATTGTTACCGTGTGTGTATTAATAATTTAAGTAAATAGTATTATGTATAAATAGATCATATCAATCATCTTATCATTGTAATCAGTATTTTCTATAATAAAATCTTCAAAATATTGATACACAGGTGGCTTAGTTCTGTTTTTAGTACATTGAACCTTTAAGAAGACCTTTAAGGCAATCAGACATTTATTTTTAGATTCCAAGTGGAGTAGTAATTTCAGATTGTTTTTATGGTGGGTGTACATTTGCCAGGTTTTGGCCACAGAATTAAATGGTTATTATGCTCAATAATTATATTTGTGCTGTCAGTACAATGGAGGTTGATGTTGTCCTAAGATGAAATTATTCCTAAAAAAAAATAAAGTTGTTGTTCTGGCTGACCCGCATAATTTTTGAAAGTAATTTTCCCAGGCTATTTGTAAAAGCAGAAGCTACTAAGATATAGTAACAAATCTGACCTTTTTAACACTCTTCTTGCAGAGACAGCTACACTAATTTTGATTGAATTTATTTTATCATTTGATCAAATGGAAATGTCTAATGTAACATTAATTAGGATTTGTCACATCGTTCGTCAAAACTGGATTGTGTTTTATGCTAAGAATCATTCTGTCACGTATTTATAGGATTTGTTAAATTTACTAATTATTGGATTATTTTTACAGTATTTGATTTAAATGACTTCCAACTGAATATATTTGCAATCGTAACATGGTCTTAAATTTGGTTGCCATGTCAACAAGATATTACATATTTCAAAAGAAATGAACAAATTCTATTTTAAATTTTCAAACTAGTGTAGGAAATACGGTTGCAGTCTAGTTTAAACATCAATATCAATACCAATATGATGGTTACTGGGGGACTTAATGAGCATATTATTTGTCACTTTCAGTTCTAAATTATATATTTTTCTAACATATCAGTTCCCATTTTTATTAGTAAACTAAAACATCAATATTTGAGAAAGGAAAACATTAGGTGTCATATTAAAGGTTACTGTCACTGCTATCACCATAACTTAAATACTGATTTTAACTATTAATCTGGTGCAATGATTGCAATGGGTTACAGAAGTTTCTCTTTTAAACCAGTCAAAAGACGAGTCTTAAATTGGTTTCTCCTCCAATTCTCTTTCTTTGTTCTACATAATACAATTTTGTTCACCCACAATATTGGTAATTTATTTCTATACAATAAAAATGATAATGATATAATAAATAAACAATGATAAATACAATAATACAACTATTATACACAAAATATAATAACAAAGCTATAATAGGACGGCTGATGATTATTATTCTCATTTCTTTAAGTACAAGTATTGGTAATATATATAATTAAGAGAAGCAACCAAGACAGAACTTATTTAACTCCACATTATTATTATAAAAGGCACAACAAACAGATGCATAAATTATACTATAATCTTTAACTCTCTGAAGAAGGTATAAAAGTCAATTACTTTGGTATTGCTAAGAACATGTCAATGTAAGTATTTTTTTTTTTAAATTGTGGAGTTACATTAGATATGTACAGATTGATTTTCATTTTTCTGATTTTATGATATTTCTCAAGCATTTTTATGTTCTACAGTATTTGCAAAATTAACATAAATTTTATAAACCGAGCAGCTTTATATAAGTCTAGGCAAGAATTTGAATATTACTACCGTTTCAAAGGTCTAGAGCTCAAATTCTGACAGACTATTATTATTAAATATACGCACACCTCGTAATTATACATATAAATATGAAGATAGTTGTATACTGTGATATACGAGATATGTGAGGACAGATAATAATGCTATGTATGATACAGCTTACAAGAATTTAATATATTTTCTTTCTTTATTCTATAAATTTGATATTATGTAAACTGAATAACATAATTTATACAACAAATTATTGAACTAAATATCCAAACATCTGTCAATGAAATTCAATCTTATTCAAATTCTTTGATAAATTTCTGTTTGATTCTGTTGATATGAGAGTATATGGCTGGATTTTTATTAAGAGATTCTTATTGTAAAATAAAAAATATATTTGGTGTTTCCATATTTAATAAACTTCGTCTAAAATATATATCTAGTAATGGACGGAGACATTTATGACTGCGGTATGTTTTCAAACGAACGATAAATAAGACACAATAAATAAAATATTATACACATACAACAGATAAATTGGAAATAAATATTTTGCAAGGTAAATTTGTATTTACTTCTTTTACATTTTTATATCTGAACAACTTAAATGAGAGAGAGAGAATTGGGGTTTAATTTTATTTCAATAATTTGCTTGCACGTAAGGGACTTTAGCAGTGGGAGGAAACCGGGGAATCGAAACCATATCAGTTGACTCAATGAAAGACCTTATGATGCAACGCACACACGCTAACCATTCAGCCATCCACCCCATCCCAGCCCCCCACCCCCCTAAATGAAGGAGATAAATGTTGCAATAATTAAACCTATTTAAACCTATAAATTATTAACATTGTAATAAATATATTAAAAAAAACTTGATCTATAATTTGGCTCAACGAATAAGTAATTAAGGTAATTATTAATTCTATTTTTTAATGCTTAATAATTAACATGTTCAGGTCTGCATGTTTCATTAATATCTTAGAACTACATTACTCAGACACTGCAGAAAAAAATCTAGCAGAACTATTTGACTGAATAACAAAACAAAGTCTTGTGTTTGACTAAAAAATATAACAAGAAAAACTGGTCACCTACACAGCATGTAAAATGGTTGTTAATTATATTTTTTTTTTTATCTGAGGAAATGACCCCAACAGTTGCGATTGGAATGAACGTGTATGTATGACAAATTTATATCTTTCTTCATCATCCGAACGAATAGACTATTTATGAAATTTTGGAATGATAAAGTGATAAGTATTGGAATAAATTATTATATAATTCATTGAAGATCACAGATAAATATATTATCACACTCCATTAACTAATTCTTCTGCTACTTCTTCGTCCAAAATCTCCCCATCTTCTTCTTCTGGAGATTTGCGGAATCCATTCAGTCTGTCTGTATTTATCGTGCGACTAAGAGGAATGTCTAAGGCTCGATGAATTGCTTCAATAGTTTTCATCTCCACATAATAGGCAGGATTGACTACAGGCATCTTGCTCTTCAGTTCTTCTAATGTAGAGTAAGCCTGAAGTATATAATTCATATTGAAAATAAACCATGTACAAGATTTATACATATTCTTTGAGTGGCATTTAGCGATCGGTAAACACATTAACAGAACACAGTTTTTATGGGATACCATCACTAGTTTTATTCTAAAAGCATGGTGTTTCGACAAGTATCCTCTTATCGTTATCAAGCACAATGGCATTTAGTAAACTTGAGGTCAATATATACGAAATTCATAGTGAAACCATCAACATGGATTAAAATAACAATAACAAAAAAGAATCAAAGAGGTAAAGGATATGTAACAAAAATAACAAGCACAACAAGGTAATTAGCTTACTGAATAAACTCTAATACACGAGCAGGGGGTTATTGACTAGTATGAATTTCGTATATATTAACCTCAAGTTTACTAAATGTCATTGTGCTTGATAACGATAAGACGATACTTGTCGAAACGTGGTGCTTTTAGAATAGAACTAGTGATGGTATCCCATAAAAACTGTGTTCTGTTTAGATTTATACAGTACTAGGAAATAAAACAGGGTATAACATCCTACTTAAACGTCCTATTGTTCTGCACCAACTAGGTTAATGAAGACAGTAATTTCTCATGATGTGTGCTATGATGGAATTTCTCCCTACTCTTCATCAAATTGCAACTAAAGGATTTCTTTTAGTGCATGCCAATGTTTACAAGGGACCATAGTTTTTCATCCTATCCGAATGACTAGACACAGGTCCTTGACAGTTGAAAAGAAAAAAAGCTTATTAAAATTAAATCTTGGAATTGTACACACCTCTCTTTACAAGCACAAAAAGTACTAAAATGTTATAACCCCCACACTTTTTAATCATTATGATATCAGTATATGAAACTTACAGCCTTCCATCGTTCTTTTTTAGCATAATGTTCAATCATAAAACCATATACATCTCCTAATCTTAAAGAACCTTCTTGATCTGTTTCTGCTAATATTACTTGACACTGTTTTATGGCATCTTCTGGATCATCTTCATATGCTCTGTAATATAATTTATAGAATATATATAAACCACTGAATTAACAAGAGAGAGAAATGGAGTTTAACATCCACTCAACAAAAACTAGGTCATTTCAGGACTAACACATAGTTCAATTTCATTTCAATAATTCGCTTGCGCGTAGGGTTTTTAGCAGTGGAAGGAAACCAGAGAACCCGGAGAAAACCAACGAGGTTGGACAGGCGACCCTACAATATGTCACGAACAACCGAGTAATCAAAACCATGTCAGTTGACTCAATGACAGACCTTATGATACAGCGTGCACATGCTTACCATTCGGCCATCCAACCCCCCACTGAATTAACACATTGGCTGTATACAGTATATCAGTTTCTATCTTGTAATTGTTATGCTAAACAGTCACAGACACATAATTACTGTCCTTTCGTTTGTTATAAGCAGCAACTTTTTCCACATAAACTACAATCAAATCTCATTTGCTTGTAAACAGTTGTCAACAGATATTCTGACTTGCACCTCTACTGCTCTGTATGCCCAAAGTATTTATCCACAATGTTTTATACATTTTTAGATTTAGCCGCACATTTTCAATCTGGAATAACATATACAGTGGACTCCGTCAATTCCGACATCGGACAGGAACGATACAATATGCCAGATTACACAGCATGTCGGAATACTCAATTGCTGTAATACCGGAAGTATTATTGTACCCTTGAGTATCCACAACTAAAAATATGATAACGCTTTCTGTGCGATCACACATTATGTGACGGGACCGCTGACTGATGTCATAATTCAGAATATTAATAACCTGAACTACTCAAAATTTTTTGGGTTGAAATAATAAGAAAATAAATTGGAACATGAAAATGATGACAGTATTCAGATGTCGGAAGTGACAGAGTCCACTATATATAGGAATATAATTATTAGATACATACTTTCTAGCTAGTACAAATTTCTTTATGACAGTTATTTTATGTTTAATCTGTGCCATTCGCTCTTCTTGTAAACTCTCATCAGCTAATTTAGCTTTACTCATACATTTATATGCTTCACCTAGAGCTCCTAAAGCTTTATCATAATTCTGATATTCATCTATTTCAACCTGTTAATATACATACAACTTCTGTTAAAGGAATTCTTATCATTGATAGATAGCAATTCACAGCTAATATTATTATTATTTATAAGTGTTTATATAGAGCTATTTCCACAAAAGTGCTCAATGATGCTTTACAATAAACATAATATGATATTTAAAAAAAAATATAAAAAAATTGACAAAACAAATAAAGGATTAAAACATAAAATGTGAATAATATACATAAAAGCTGAGTAAAAGGAATTAATGTATAAAATTATAGATATAATTATCATAGAGATGAATAATTATATTAAGCCCTATTAAACAAGTGGGTTTTAAGAGAAATCTTAAATGATGACAGAGAAGTACATGCCCGAATGGAATAAGAAAGTTTATTCCATAGTTTTGGGGCAGCAACCTCAAAAGCCTTGTCTCCGATGCCGAAACTGACGAGATTAGCATTAGTAATACACATATTACTAATCAAATTGTATAAGTTGAAAACTCAGATTGTATTTAACCTTAAAAACTGTTAACAAAAAACCTGTTAAATCAAATATAATTTGAATATGTGTATAAAAGATAGGTTCCATTAATTTGAACAATGCATTAAATATTCTACAGATGGACTGGCGGCTTTGGTCGCTGGAGCATCCACAGGGTTCTACGAAGTCTCATTAATGTTTAAATTTTCAAAAGATCACATGATACATGTAGTATCTGCAGTGTGTGCACAAAAACTTGTGGACAACCAACGGACCGACAATATACGACAGTATTTTCATGTGACTAGATACAACCACATTTCTATGTGGGCGTATAAAAAATCAATCTTTAAATATATTTCCTATAAGACACATATTATTGTAATGGATAAATTTCTATTTCTCCTTTGTTGACCACACTTTGTGTCATACACGCTATCCAAATTATCTTTATTTCTTAGACATTTAATTCAAATTAATATACTATTTGTTGTATCCCAGAACAGTCTATGAATTTATGATCTTAAATTACCTGAGCACAAGCATCATAAAAACCAGCTAATGAATCTAATGCTCTTCCCTTGCTGTAGAAACCTATAATATTCTTCATGATCTCTGGATCTTTTCTCCAATCTAGTGACTGTAGATAGTTAGCAGCCATCACATAGATTTCACGTTGTCGTGAAACACCAGCGAAAAATACAATCTTTTCTGTATCCCCAGACTTTAATAAAGCTTTCATAGCCTGAAAATAAAACCACAATTAAATAATACTGCACTACTGGTCAATTCTGTATTAGTCTTGAGCACTGATCTGAAGCTCTGCGATATTTCCTAGAAATGCAAATGACTGGTAATAAAATTCTACATCCCACACTATATTCTGAATAAAATTTTTTATTTACTTGCTAAAGGTAAAGAATTATTGTGTTTATTAAGTCACTCCCACAGTTAAATAATGGAGAAAATTCCTTGTATACGTAACCATGTTAAGCAATTTCTAAACTGTCAGACTCATGAATATTCATTAAACTTGTATAACGCACATGCAGTGAGAGGGCGCCTCGGTCCTTGTGTTGATGTAGATTATCACTTCTATGTATGTAACAATGATAATGTCTGATATATAATTATAGTTAACCTTCATTTAACATAAACCATTGAACAGACTAACACGTCAAACTGTAACTTTAAGATATTACTCCACATTTTGGGGTTGGATCTGCAACACCCCAATAAAAGAATAGCAGAGATTGAACAAGCCGGTAGATCTGTGTAGCTGTTGGATCAAATACTGAGGTACGTGGAGAAAGTAAACAATAGTCTCTGCTGAACAGAAGTACAAACAGAACTATGTAGAAACAACTAGCAATTTGATCCTTACAGTCCATATCAAAAAGGGTCAGTCATGAGACCCGAAATGCTATGATTAAATTATCACATTTTTTCTAAACAAGTCTGTACTTCTGTTCAGTGGGGGCTATTGCATCTTTTATACAAATTAGGTGGTGAAATTTACTACTATATTTAAATAAGGGAATGAAATGGGGTGTAACGTCCTACTGGTCTGCTCCGAACTGGACTAATGAAGACGGGCATACGCCATACAATGTGCTATGAGGGAAATTTTGCCCTGATAGCGGCAATACGGCTTACTCTTATATCGAATTCCAACTGTCAAGGGATCTTTTACATGCATGCCAATGTGTACACAAGACCTCGGTTTTTTATCCCTCTGTCCTGCATCACTGACAAGGGGGAACCACGGCGGAAAATCTGGATGATCTTTCTCGACCAATGCAGGGATCAAACACCCAACCTCCAGACTAGCGAGCCAGTGTCTTACCCGCTTAGCCACCATGACCCCCTATTTAAATAAGGATATTACCTTTAGTTTATTGCCAGCTTGTGTATATTTTTTGGTTGCTATATGATACTGTCCTTGATGCATACACACTTCTGCTACAGCTTCTAATATTTTTAATCTTTCTTGTGGATTATTCTCATTTTCATCTTTCTCTGGACTCAGTTTCTCACATAATTCTTCTGTCATTTCTACATGTTTCTCCATACAGATCTTTAGTGCATCCCAATACTGACAAAAACAAACAATTGTTCATGAAAATGTCATCAACTCAAATATATTGAGTGAATAATATAACATAATATACATCAGAGAGAGAGATGGAGTTTAACGTCCACTCAACACAAAGTATGTCATTTTGGGACTAACATATGGATTAATTTTATTTCAATAATGCGCTTTACTTCTTTTACATTTTTATATCTGAACAACCTAAATGAAGAAGTAGAGAGAGAGAGAGAGAGAGAGAGAGAGAGAGAAATGAGGTTTAATGTCCACTTGACACAAACTAGGTCATTTTGGGACTAACATATGGTTTAATTTGCTTGCACGTAGGGGTCTTTGTCTGGTACAATCGGGGAATCGAAACCACGCTAATTGACTCAATGACAGACCTTATGATACAGCAAGCACGCACATGCTAACCATTTGGCCATCCAACTCTCCTTATATACTTCAGTCAACAAGATAAAACAACTTGTGAAACCATAAAACATTGTTGATTTGGAACTATATTTAAATGTTTACCTTTTTAGCAAGAGCGAGTAGGTCAACAGCTTTATCATACTGGCCATTCTCTAAGAAGAAATCACCACAACGTCGTAATAATTCAGGATCAGCTCGTTCATCTAAATCACCTGATATATGTTGTAATGCACCAAACTCTTTATTTTTAAACGCCAAATCTGTAGCTTTAGAAAAGTTACCTGCCTGTAAATATAAATTAAAATATGTTAAGTTCTAAAGAATCCATATGATCAATACATGTACAAATTATGTGAGATCTTTCAAAACCAACGAGGTTGGACAGGTGACCCTACTCCTTGTCACGTACAACCGGGGAATCAAAACCACACCAGTTGACTCAATGACAGACTTTATGATACAGCCACCCAACCCACCTTCAAAATTTAAAAGTTTATCTAAGATGAAATGGATCCTATAAGAAATTATTGCTGATTAAATAATAAAAGGAGATAACAATACTACATCAAGAGTCAAGAATGAAAATAAGAACTGAAGGATCACCTGTCAAAAGGACAACCTGTGGTCATAATTCACTTGACAACTGACCAAGTATTATATATAGCGGTTTGTTATACATGGGTTAATACGGTATAAAAATACATTCCCAAGACAGTTAAGTTATATTTATAGCACAGCTTTCATGAGTTAACAGGTATAACCAGAGGCTGTAGGCCAAGGTGTTAAACCTGTTAACGAATGAAGCGTGCTATAAATGGCCTGTAACATTGACACCTGATTAATGTGCTTGTTGTTATTGCACAGAAAACTCACCCCACTTCTCTATATGATTTCTACTAAAACTAGTGTAAACCAGCAAAAGTGTGCAATAACATTGAACATGTTTAGTTATTGAATGGTTAAGCTCCACCCAATCTACTAGAGGGAAAACAATCTGCTTATTTAACGAAAAGAACAAAGGAAGATTTCCTGTCCATGTTACAATAAGTTTAATTGTTTGAGTCATGAAGTTTAAAGTGATCAAACATTATCTGAAATAGATTTTGATACCTTGTGATATAACATGACAGCTTTATCTTGTGATCCTGGTTTCTGTTCATAATATCTAGCAGCTTCCATCATATCTTCTGGTCGACCTAATAATGCTAGATTTAATAACTGATCTTCTATATCATGTTCCTATAATAGAAATATAATCAACTTCAGATAATACAGGATATGTCCAGGTCTTGTAGATCTAACTTATCTTGACAATTCAATTTTTAGTGATCTCTTTCTGTTTTCAAGGAAGTTAGTTGGCGGCTTTTCAATCAAAATCTTAAGTAGCAGTAGGTGTCATGAACAATGCAGAGTATACTTACTTAAGAACATCCAATATCACTTATTAAATTTACATGTTCATATAGTAAACAATGAATCAAACTAAACTGAAAATACAGATAAATGAAATGGGATTTAAATGTCCTACTTTTCAGTAACAAATGAACCGGCTACTCTAATAAACATCTTACTTACCTTACATAATCGAATAGCACTACCAAAAGCTTTAGCTCGACTAAAGAAATGTATAGCTTCTCTAATCTGTCCCTGGTTTTCATATTGCCTAGCTAAATAATAACAAGCTGCTGCATCCCCGGTCTCATTACATATCTCTGCTGCCTATAAATAGACAATACAATTTTATCTGTATGGCTCTTAGCCAGATTTAAAATGTCATTTATAGATGATTTCTTTGATTAGCACTGGGCTAATTATGAAATAATACAACAAATTAATGTTAAAGTAAAGAACTTTTCAGATTAAGGATGATACTAAAATTCTAGGATTTTTCATGATCATATAAATTGAAAAGATCGAATTAGAAGGAAACAGTCGCTTTCAAGTTACAGAGAGAAATCTGGCAAGGCTATTCGCCACTCAACAGATTTTTAATTTCTTGTTTTATATGGCTATAAACTTTACCAAGAACTATGTTACGACATTATTAATTATTGGTTTAAGTCTAATATTACATATGTATTTTACCTTCGCCATTTCTTCACAATAACAATAAACACGAACAACTGAGAAATAATCCTGTGCTGATTCATAAAATTGTAAAGCTGTTTTCATATCTGATGTACTCTCTAAATACTGTGCCCACCATTTCCTTAATTTTCTATAAGAAGAAATAAAGAATAACATTACAATACTATAATAAAAAAATTAATCAGTGATAATCTCTTATCATTTATTGTAAAAATATGAGAGAGCTTTACGTTTGTCAACTAAATATAATGACAGTGGTTAAACATACAATATGCAAGAGCTAAATCTGCCTATTGTAGGTCTTTCTTTAGGTCTGAAATGTTATATAAACTATTAATTAGACATTAATTAACGTATCCAGACCCTAATCAACTCTCGATGTCAACGCTAGCCTGCGATATTTGTTGGATTATGATCCGATTTGCTGCATAACTTTCCTTCTCGATTTAACGATTAAATGGATAATCGAGACTATGATTTTTGTCGTACCGACTTTAGTAATGATGACCGAGGCTAAGCGGAACTTTTGATCGCTTATTTATCGGTTCATAGTGAATCAATTTGACTGAAATTTTCAGCAAATTGCCTTTACATTATCTAGTTTTTAACTATTATAGTGAGAACTGCCAACTCGTTATCTAATTTCCCATAATGTATCTTTAAGTAAAATTTACAAAAAAGAATGAACATTTTCTTCTTGAGAACACATGACCACAATCGGCTTGCTATGTGAAATTATGAAATAAGACGTAAGATCAGACATTCTAAATATATTATCTATGCAATGCAAGGGATAAGAACTTTCCGAAATAAGCCATCAAAATTAATGTTTACAGAACTGGACGGTTGTTCCTATTTGGCGGACGCCAGGATTCGAAAGCAGGACTTTGTAGATGCCAGTTCAGTGCCAAATCCAATCAATAGCCACAGGTCCCATGAAAATATAGAAATAAAGAAACCTACTTGTCTTTACTGTTAATGATATACTGTTCTAATATATCAGGATCATCACCAAACATTCTTGGTACTTCAAATCTCTGTGTACCAGACTTCTCATAACTGGTAAAAACAAAAGATGTAAACAATTAAAATTATATTAAACTCAGTTACTTAAGGTCTATCAGTCATATCTGACAAACAAATACGGCTTCATGAAATTGACTAAATATGATTTGTCACATAATACAATAAACTTACTTCTGTACAGCTAATGCTGTTTCACCAATATCTTCTAAATGTTTAGCAAAATTATAATTGGTTGTACGTAGATGTATTCTATCATATTTTTCAGCTGTTTCTTGAGCTTTCTCCCACTGCCCACTATTTTGATAAAACTCATTCAGAAGATCATATCGCTTACAGTTTTTTAGTAGTCTTTCAGCATCCTCCTACAAATAGAGAGAGAAACTAGGTCATTTCGGGATTAATAATTTGCTTGCCCGTAGGGATCTTTAGGAGTGGGAGGAAACCGGAGGACCCGGAGGAAACCCATGAGGTTGGACAGCCACACCTACTCCTTGTCACGTACAACCGGGGAATCAAACCCATGCCAGCTGACTCAATGACAGACCTTATGATACAGCGCGCATTTGCTAACCATTTGGCCATCCAAACCCCCTCCTACTAATAACCAATCATTTTCAAGATAGATTTCATCGCTACTACTTCTGTTAATACTCACAGCAATTTCACATGTAATCACCAAAACAAAGTTATATAAACTGATTAATCAGTTTTAGATTACACAAAATAATTAAGAAATTTAATTTAAAAAATCATACATCTTTCACTTATATTGAATCTTTTGATAAAGCTAAATAAATATACTAACATAAAGTCCCAGCTGAATAGCTAATACAGCAACTCTAGCATCCAACTCTGGTTCTTTAGCAGATTCTCTTAATGCCTTAGCACCTCTAGCATTTCCCATATTACCCAAACAAACAGTTGCCACATCTAACCGTCTGCTCTTAACACACATCTTAGCCATATTTTCCCACACAGATTCACTGTAACAAAGAATATACCAACAATCTTATAATTTAGGTCATATTAGTTAAAGTAACTGTGCATGATTAGCATTTTTTGGAAAATATCAATTTCTCACAGATTTGTCCACGCAAATATGTACTCAGAATGATTAAGATTTGATTAAACAAGCCAACAGTGAGGATGATTGTCCCCCGCCGAAATCCCAAAATAAATAGATGACACATATTAATTAATCACACATTTATTTTTTTCAAAAGTACCAAGCAATCAAACTATACACTAAGTTTTATCGCTCTCTATCAGACAGTATCAGATAGAATCAAGATTATCTTGTCCCAAAGCATCGACCAATGGAATTGATTAGCTCTGCTTAGCTTCAGCTCGAAATGTTAATCACTGAACTCAGTCAAGACATTCACCTAATAAACATCTACATCAAGTTTAAACATTCTACCTCAACTAAAAGCAGAGTTGTTATGTTCCAAAGTCTTGACCAATCAAATTGATTATTGCTCCTTAGCCTAAGCAGAAAATTCTCATCATCGAACTTAGTCAAGGTAATGATATAATGAATCTATACTCAGAGTTTCATCACTCTCATTTAATCATAACCAAAGTTATCGTGCCCCAAACCATCACCAAATCAAATTACTTATCTCTGCTTATCCTAAGCAGAAAATGCTCACCTTCGAACTCCATCAAGGCATTGACCTAATAAACACCCACACCAAGTTCTAGCTCAATTAGAATGAGAGTTATTGTGTTCTAAATTTTTGACCAATCAAATTGCTTATCGCTCTGCTTACCCTGAGCAGAACATGCTCATTATCGAACTTAGTCAAGGTACTGATGTAATGAAATTATACACTAAGTTTCATCAATCTCACTTAATTAGAACCAAAGTTATCGTGTCCCAAAGCATCAATCAATCAAATTGCTTATCTCTGCTTACCCTAAGCAGAAAATGCTCATCTTCGAACTCCATCAAGGCATTGACCTAATAAACATCTACACCAAGTTTGAACATTCTAGCTCAATTAGAAGGAGAGTTATTATGTTCCAAAGACTCGGCCAATCAAATTGCTTATCGCTCGGCTTACCCTGAGCAGAAAATCCTCATTATCAAACTTATTCAAGGTATTGATGTAATGAAACTAAAATTATCGTGTCCCAAAGCATCAACGAATCAAATTGTTTATCTGTGCTTATCCTAAGCAGAAAATGCTCATCTTCGAACTCCATCAAGACATTGACCTAATAAACACCTACACCAAGTTTTAACATTCTAGCTCAATTAGAAAACGAGTTATTGTGTCCCAAAAATTGTGACGGACAGACAGACAAACACATTTTAATAGTCCCCTGCTTTCTTAGAAAGGCGGGGGACAAAAAACAAAATCAAAATATCAACACTACATAATCTCCTGGCTTGGATTTAGTCAGATCATAAAAATGCCTTTAGGATTGTTTACATTGAAATCCAATTTATCATATCTTTCTCAAAACTAAACGTAATTTAACCATTTTTGAACTGATATTCCTATTAGAGGACCAACTTTTATAACATTGTAGTTTGCAAGGGATTCCTTCATTCCTATATAGCTCAACTCACTCTCAGACTCTTAGAGTCTATAATTGGCATGTATCTTGGTAAGGCAATGTAACTCAATTTAAATAGTATTGGCAAACATTCAGAAACTGTTATGGAATGAATGGTTGTCTTTATTGGGTGATATAATACTGAACCTACCTCTTAATAAGTTTAATAGCTTTAAACGCTTCATCCATATTCCCTATAGTTAAATAATAACTGAAATTCATCATGGCATCCCTAGTTGATTTATCACTAGATTCTAAACCAACAAAATCTCTCATGATACGTCTAGCTACTAATTTAGGATAAATAGGCATGTCTTCACCATTATCAGACTGTTGATTTTCATCCTCTAATGTTTCAGGCTGAAACCAGAAAAAAGTAGAAATAAATAACCTGCCTTGTGCATGACACTCATCATAAATAAACAACTACTGGAGCCGTTTTTTACACCTTTACTAGTTAACATTTAATACTTAAATTAAGATAAAGTATGATAATGTTTTATCCTGAAGTGTTAAACAGAATTTAACTCAGTCGATCAGCAGAGGCTGCCTCCAGAGAAATTAAGCTAAACTTACATTTTGAACAAAGTAAAGATGAGGAACCTCAATACCAATGAGAGAATTATGCTGTATACTAAGAGGAAAACTGTCTTGTATCAATAAACCATTCTCAGGTGTACAAAATAATGATACTATCATCTTCTCTACCTGTTTATAAAAACACAAAATCAGTTTATTATGGTATAAATTTTAACAACTTGAAAACAAGAGAGAGAGTGAAATGGGGTTTAACGTCCACTCGACACAAACTAGGATTCGAAACCACGCCAGTTGACTCGATGACAGACTTTATGGTACAGCGTGCACATGCTAACCATTCAGCCACCAAACACCCAACTTGAAAACAAAATCACAATCCAAAAATAATGTGCAGTGGTCATGATTGTTCATCCTGGATGTCAATTATCAACTAAATTATTTTATTCTTTTCCAAACACTATTGGCATCAAATTTCTTAATTATCAATATATAAAATTGCTCATCAAAATGTAAGCATTATATACAAATTGATACTTGATCTAACAGTATAATATATAGAAATAAATTAATAAAAAAAACTTACAGGACAGTCATCGTCAGATTTATTGAGTGATATTGATCTTTTAAATAAACTACTGTCTTTAGTGATTTTAACAGGAACATATTTGGCTTCACATACAACTAGTTTAGGTTCCATCATATCCCAGTAATGTGAAATGGGATAACGACCAGCAATGTCTTTAGATGCTTGATTTTTACCCCTGAAACAAAAAGATTGTCATACTTTATTTTAATTTCAGCACTAAATGTAAACTTGTAAAGATTATATATTTAACGCCCAAAAGACACAACAAGCCAGACTGAAGAATAAATATGAAGTTTAACACCATATACAAGAAAAAGTTATAAACAACAAAAAACAAAATTATCTTGATCACAAAATATTTGTATTGATCAATTTCAACTTAATACCATTTCAAGTTTATATTGATCTTACACCACCATCTTTAATTATGTGTCTTAGATTTTGATATCTTTTCATATAAATCAGTCCATTCTTTATGAAATATTTTTTTTTTATAATTGGTAGGGAGGGTGACCCACCATAAATGTGTCTTAGATTTTGATATCTCTTTATATAAATCAGTCCATTCTTTATGAAATATTTTTTTTTTATAATTGGTAGGGAGGGTGACCCACCATAAATGTGTCTTAGATTTTGATATCTCTTTATATAAATCAGTCCATTCTTTATGAAATATTTTTTTTTTATAATTGGTAGGGAGGGTGACCCACCATAAATAAATATCTCGAAAATTATGCCACAATATTTATATATATACTAAGCCTTAAATCAGTTTCACACAATTATAGTCACTAAATAAACGAGCATGTTGTACTTAATAAGCTATGACCATTAATCATCTATAAATAATAGACTGAAACTGGTTCCAAGTTTTGTCCATAACATCCAGACACTTTTGAGTAAAATATAGGTTACGTGCCCTTGTTTTGAAATTAGTCTCGCTTAACTAGTGTACCGACCATTCTACGTCTGATTGACAGGTCGGGATAATCAAGACTACCTTTTTACGAAACATAACAGAAAGCTGGAACAAGAAATTGAATTTAGAAACACGCACGTTAGCCAGCTCAACTATTGTTTTAAGAAGCTTGTAAAAGTAAAATTAAACTACTGCTAGTATCATGTTCCTGCTAACAAAAGTGATTCAGAGATATTATTTGTACTAAACCAAAAGATGCCGCTCTTAACGGTACAGTTAATGATAAAGCAATTTAAAAAATAAAACGAACGTAATTTCTAAAGCTGCTGTAATAGCCAAGAAGCTAAATTTTACTGCTATTCAAAATCGTCAACAATAGATTTTTTACGGCTGTAATAGTTGATAGATTTGTAGAGAATTGCACGTGCCATGGCTATTTATAGTATCATACACTCCATCACTGATAGTTCAAGACAACCACTGAAGCGTGCACATTAGCCGTGTCGAGACCAACTTTCTGTAGAGTGCACGGGTCACCCTATATTTGGATGTGTTTAATCACATAATAACATGTCTTAACAACTATTTAGCCTATTGTGCCTTTAATAAAGTCAATTTTTGAGAAACAAATTTGATAGACTAGTTGAAGTAATTAACCTGAAATAATTACACTGATCAAATTACCTTTCAGCATCATTTATATCCTCATCTAATTCCTCTCCATTTTTGGGGCCTAAATAATCATCTTGTTCACCTCGTCCAGACTCAAAATTAAAATACTGGACAGAATCGGTTTCTACATCCCAGAAATATAACTTGGGATCTATAGAATTATCTACCTGTAAATAAAAAGTTGAAGGTTTAAAAGTCTTTGTACTGATTTCAACATTTCAAACACCATTTTGTTCTGGAAGGAAATCTACAGTATCTAAGTGTTTAGAAAGCCCTGTTTATATTATCTACCAATTATTTCTGTAATTAAATTTGTACTTACTCCTTTTTGTACTAAAACACTGACTCTATTACCAGTACAGTTACATTTAGCTGATATTACAGTACCAAAACCTGGTATCAAATCAGCTAAAGCTTTAGCATTACTGTGAGCCTTAGCTTCCCTGAAATAATAAATATAACTAGCTACAATATAAACTTAACACATGGTTAATTCAGCATTCCTTTTGCCTACATGGCTCTTCTTGTGGAGACAAGAAAACCTCATGATGTTGGGTAGATGACCCGATGTGCATTAATAACAGATTTGAAACCGAACATACCCGTCCATTAGCCAAAAACCTCTAATAATAAAATGATAGTAATGAATGATAATACAGTAAAAATGAAGGAATGAAATGGGGTTTAACGTCCTATTGTTCTGCTCTGACTCGGCTAATAAATGAAATGAAATGAAATGGGGTTTAACGTCCTACTGTTTTGCTCCGAACTGGGCTAATGAAGACGGGCATACGCCATGCAGTGTGCTATGAGGGAAATTTTGCCCGGACAGCGGCACTACGGCCTACTCTTACATCGAATTCCAACTGTCAAGGGATCTTTTACGTGCACGCCAATGTGTACACGGGACCTCGGTTTTTATCGTCTCATCCGAATGACTAGACAGTTGTCCTTGTCAGGCCCTCTGTCCTGCATCACTGACAAGGGGAAACCACGCCGGAAAATCTGGATGAACTTTCTCGGCCAATGCAGGGATCGAAGACTCGGCTAATAAAGACGGGAATATGCCATACAGTGAACTATGATTTATGAAGGAAATATTGCCCAGACAGCCGTGCAGTGGCCTTCTCTTATATTGTATTCCAACAGCCAAGAGTTCTTTTACATGCACACCAATGCATATACGGGACCTTGAGGGTTTTTTTTATCTCACCTGAACGATTATACATTGTCCCTTGCCAGGTCCTCTTGTCAAGGGGGATCCAAGCTGGAAAACCCAGATGAACTTTCTCAGCCCACAAAGAGATACATCACAGGACCTCCATGTTAGCAAGCCAATGTCTTTGCCACTGCGGCTCCCGATACAGTAAGAAGTAATAAATAATAATCATTGGCTCCTGAAGGCGGAGCTCTTACCTTCTTGATAAATCATATACTCTAACTACACCAACATCTGTAGCCACCACTAAATAATTACCACAGATATCTAAACATATTGGTACACCTTCCATATCGATAAAACTTAACACCTGTTTAACTGTACCCTGTAATATATATAAACAATAGAGAAACATATCTGGGGTTTAATGTCCACTTCATTATTTCAATAATTCGCTTGTGTGTAGGAGTCTTTAGCAGTGGGAAGAAAATGGAGGACCTGTAGAAAACCCATGAGGTTAGACAGGTGACCTTACTCCTTCATGTACAAGCGGAGAATCAAAACCACACCACTTGTCAATGTCTCAATGACAGACCCCATGATGCAATGCGCATGCGTTAACCATTCGGCCACACACCCCCTTCCAGATCTATAGAGGCACTAAGTATCTAGACAGAGCAAAAAACTATAACATACACACTTATGGAAGAACAATTACTAATATATTTTGGCTATGCTTCGAAGAGTATTCTCTTTACGTTGAAATATAATCTTCAAAACGGCACAAAAATATATTTTGGCTACGCTTCGCAGATTATTCTCTCCTCAACGTTGAAATATAATCTTCGAAATGGCGCCAAAGTATATTAGTAGCTGGTCTTCCACAAGTTTGAAAGTTAATTCATAATACTGACCTGAAAGGTTCGAACTTGTACTTTATTTTGTTCTATAGTGTAGACATTTTGTTCATATAGACAAATCACCATCGTCTCGGTTACAAAAGATCCTGTCGAAATAAAAAACAAATATTGAACTATTGGGGCAGTGTATGATAAAATGTAATTATTACTGAGATCTATATCATTCCTAGTAAACTAAATCAAATCCACATATCTTTTCTTACCTGTGGCTCTTATAACAGATCTATCTGCAGCATATTCATATATTATAACTCTCTTTCCATTCCATATAGCTAAGGCATCCTAGCAAACATAACAAAATAATAACAATACAAAAAAACAGTGTACATAAAAATATTTGTGAAGAAAATAAAGAAATACTTTAATATCACAAATGTAACAGAGTGATTTATACCTGAAGTTGACGTTTATATTATGTTCGTTATTTATTTTTGATAAGTAACCTGGTGTGACAAAACTGATCTATAACTGAAGTTGACGTTTAAACTCTCGACAACTTCAGTGAAGACACGTTCTTAATAATCATCTAGTTTATTCAAGATGTTTTTTTAACAAGCTACACATGATCCACGTGTAACACTAGACTGAATTTCAATGAGAATGTATTAGTGGTCAGTTCATTATACCTTGACCTGACAATGACTTTCAAAGAAATATGCAGTTTAATTACAAACACCATAATTGATAATAAACAATACCATATATGATTATCACTCTTGTCCACCTCAGCTAATTGTTAGAGCCCTTATAAGCAGACGTTTACTGACAGCAAGTCAGACTTGGAATAGAGCTCCTCTCGATTTGTGTCTATTTCATGTTCTCAATAAAGGTCTTATATACATTATGATATTCTGTTATCTGTAAGACATAGTGTTACACATTTTTGTTAATACAATACAACAGTTTAATGTACCTTGGTTGTGTAAGCCCCTTTAATCTGTATATCAACTTTTATATCATGATTATTACCAGTAGAAAATATTTCTATAGCTAAAGAACTTGGACCATATTGTACAACTGCTGTCTGAAATAATAAATCATAATTTAAATAAATACAGATTCACTACCAATAATGTTCTTTAAGAGAGTAATTTTATATAACAAGGATCTTGATGGTTTGTGTTGTTTGGCTAGCATTTGTATAGATCCTGTGACATATAAAGTGAGTAAATGATATGCGTCAGTAAAGACCATTCACAATAAGGTAAACACAACACAAATTGTAAATGAAAGTATTAGACTTGTATTCTACAGTAAGGCATTATACAATGGCGTGGTACTAAATGCACATGCCAGAGAAGGCTTCGTCACCCAGGCATGTGCATAATATAGCCTAAAGTTACTATATATAGTATATTGGCGATGAACAAATTTGTCTGTGTCATCACTATCGTGGAAACAAATATTAACCAATCAAGGTACTAGTACTACTACTACTACCACACATGAACATATATATATTTTTGCATGACTTTAAATATATCTGAACTGCAAGTGACACACACTAACATATTGGGTTTTGAAACTTTTGCTTATCATCAATTGTCGTATATAGACATGAATTTTCAACAGGTAACAGCTAATCCTACACAATTAATCAATAAAAAATTTGTATGATATAAACTCACCTCATCTCTAAAACTAGCACTCATGACCTGTTCACTGAGCATAAACACATTAGCAACAGTATTGGCAGCTATAAAACCTTTATTAGGAGCCCACTGTAAAATAAAAACATTCTCAAATACTGGTTTTACACAACAAATTCATATGGTGAAAACATTCTTATAAATAAAGTATTAATGCTGGAGACAATTCTTATAAATAAAGCATTAAATGGTGAAGACGATTCTTATAAATAGAGTAATAAATGGTGGAGACAATTCTTATAAATAAAGCATTAAACGGTGGAGACAAGTCTTATAAATAAAGTATTAAATGGTGGAGACAATTCTTATTCTTATAAAGTATTAAATGGTGAAGACAATTCTTATAAATAAAGTATTAAATGGTGAAGATAATTCTTATAAATAAAGTATTAAATGGTGGAGACAATTCTTATAAAAAAAGTATCAAATGGTGTAGACAATTCTTATAAATAAAGTATTAAATGGTGGAGATATCTTATAAATAAAGTATTAAATGGTGGAGACAATTCTTATAAAAAAAAGTATCAAATGGTGTAGACAATTCTTATAAATAAAGTATTAAATGGTGGAGATATCTTATAAATAAAGTATTAAATGGTGGAGATATCTTATAAATAAAGTATCAAATGTTGAAGACAATTCTTATAAATAAAGTATTAAATGGTGGAGACAATTCTTATAAATAAAGTATTAAATGGTGAAGACAATTCTTACAAATAAAGTATTAAATGTTGAAGACAATTCTTATAAATACAGTATTAAATGGGGGAGACAATTCTTATAAATAAAGTATTAAATGTTGAAGACAATTCTTATAAATACAGTATTAAATGGGGGAGACAATTCTTATAAATAAAGTATTAAATGTTGAAGACAATTCTTATAAATACAGTATTAAATGGGGGAGACAATTCTTATAAATAAAGTATTAAATGGTGAAGACAATTCTTATAAATAAAGTATTAAATGGTGTCGAACCTGTACTTGAGTAATTTGACCATCAACAACAGGTGGAGATTGTAATTTCCACATACTCTCTGCGTCACCTTCTTTACCTAGACTAGGAGAATATTTCCACAATGCTATGTTACCCATATTTGTACCACCAGCCAAAGTACCTGAATAAATAAACACAAATTCCATCACATGCATACTTTGGATGGGAGGGGCTTGGTGGCCGAACTTGTGTGCTTTGGATCATGAGGTTTGTCACCGAGTCAAGTGGCATGGTTTCGATAATTCGATCCCAAGGAGTAAGTTCGCCTGTGTAAACTTGCTTGTTTCCTCCTGCTGCTAAAGACACCTACGGCCCTACGCACAAGCAATCATTGACATGTTAGTCCGAAAATGACAGTTTCTCCCTCCGTCTTAAAATCTTGTGTTGTAGAATTTCCCAAACAAAACTGTACATCATCATATTCTGATTACATATGAATCATCACTTTTAAATATATTAGTTATATAAAAAATATAATATTTTTTTTACCTTTTTCATGACAATAACTGATACAGATAATGGTTTCATTAGCATCGTAACTATTGCTAGAATCTAGATTTAAAACATAATTATCTTCACTAGCTAAATCCCACATTCTGAAATAAAACAATCTAAATTTTAGTTTACTTGTAAAATAGGACCAATAACAGTAATAAAACATGACATGTGGTTGAAGGGGGGAGGGGTGCAATTCAATGTAGGTATGATTGAAAATCGATACAAAGGTACAATATTATGATCATTATTTATATTATGGTATTACCTGACAACCATTTCACCTGAAGCAGTAGCTAATAAACCTTTACCAGCCCACAATACAGATAAACCACCACTTTTACCACTTAGTTTAGCCTGAAACAATAGCCATAATAATCAATTTCACGGAAGAATATCAGTGAAGAGCATGGACTGACAACTTTCAAAAAATTGGTAAAGACTTTAGGTGATCCGTAGCTTTATGTATTCATGCAGTGACGTGGAATTCAGGTCTTTCACAATTTAGTGTTGATGTGGTTTGAGTAGAATCATAATCAAATACAAAATTCTCATTTTTCCTAGATAGTACTAAAATACAATACAAAGTGACTATCGATGCCACAAAGATGAAATGTTCTGGGGAGCGATTTTCCGCTGTAAGGTGCGCAAAAAACACATTTCCTGAATCTACATTTGGGTGGTTGAGCGCTTTAAAACAACAATAACAGAATGTGGTGTTCTTTAAAGAGTATGTATGGCCTACGTAGTGCATGATTTGTTGCTATGTATAGTAAATTAGAGAAATAGTCTGGTTTTCAGATGCCAAAACTACAATGTACATGAAAGAAAGATAACTCACTTTTAAAACCTCTTGTGTTCCACCATCAGGTAAAACAGCATGTTGTGTCATCTGTAATTGACTTGTTACAGTAACTAATATACTTCTTTCTTCATAGAATAATAATTCTTTTATACTAGCATCTAGACAGAAAGACTGGGTACACTGACCATTTTCATTTACATAATATACACCACCTACAATATAATTAAAACGTTCAGCTTCAGTTAACAACTTCTCTTAATATATTAAAACATCTAGATTTTCACATGACTGCCATAGACATATAATTAGTAATCAGTGTCGATATGGGACACTTTCTACTATAATGACATTGATAAAGTGTCAGATGTAAATTTACCAATGTCCGGGAAAGAGAAAGGTCTCTAGGTTTTTCAATGAATAAGTTTATTTATAAGCTATGAATGTTTGTTTCTTTTAAGTATTTGGTTGCTATGTCTTCATGTTAAGGCTTCTAACATAATAGTCCTTCATTTCGGAAATATCCTTGTGTCATTCAATTTATCATAGCTTTGATGAACATGACGTAAATTTACCAGATGTGTTGATAATGAGGTCGGGAGTGAGTCCTGCATCCATGTAATATTGTTTACATACAGGTACCGGTAAATGGCAGGGAAACATGTCCTTGGCCATACTCATAATCAATATGCAAGGCAGACAAATTCTATAAGCTTACTGTTAAACATTACCGACAAATAGCGTCACCAATAATTCGCTACATAAGAGGTAGAGTTGAAACTGTATATACAATGACAATGTGCGAAAACAATACAATAAAACAAGCAGTGATAGATTTCTACTGTTCTGACAATATTTCCTATATAAAGTAAGTAAGAAATGAAATTAAAATCAGAAGTTAGTATAATATTACAAGAATTACAAGTTTAGATTTTTTCATTACCATTGTTACATTATTACGCCCAAGTCTACTATCATTCCTTCCGAACATAACAGTCTGCAAGGTACTTACCATTTCCACCTCCAATAAAGAAAGCGAGAGATTCTGAGGGTCCAAAGGACTGCAGTTTAGAGTTTTTACTTCTTTTCCAATTAAACATATCCAAGGCTGACTCATCTCCACTGACAGCAGCTCTAGCTAATGAACTTATATCACTAAAATAGAAAATAGCTATCTTAAAGCATAAGTGAGTCAGATGGCCAATATCATTTTTCTAATTGAAATTTGACAAAAATGTGGACTTAAAAGTGTTGTTTAGATGTTAATCTAAATCAAAACATCTAGAGCTTGGTGACTGTGGATGGAAATGAAATATTGTTCTGGTTGCAGCTAACAATTTTAGAGAAAACAAGATGACAGCAAGGAAAATTCAGATAGCCATAACCTCCATGGGGATTGAATGATTTGAGTAAATTTTAAACTAATATAATTTTTAGCACATCTATTTGTGAATGGTCTGAATATCTATATTTACACAGAGCAGCTGATTCCCTATGGATTGTGGACAAGACAGCCTTATTGATATCTTATCTAATATTATAAATATAATTATAACTATATACTAACGCTGATGGATCACCACCTATTGTAGGCGGTCGGTATAATATAGCTGTTAATGATTCCTGTATATGATGTTGACACATTGGATTTTGTTGTAATCTACCTTTACTGTCAGATTTCCACACATGTAATACACCACCCTACAAAATATAAATATCATTCAAACTATATATAATATACCACTTGTTAATGAGCCTTTCTGAGGAGGTAATGGCTGTTTCTTATGGTCATCTCGTGTAACTAACAACAATGGATTCAATTTGACTGAGAGGTATTTGGGAAGGCTGTTCGCCACTCTACAGATTTTTAATTTCTTTGACATATGGGTTGAGTACAGGGTTTCCACTTCAAAATTTTGACTACAGGCCATATTTGGTAAGGCACACAAATCTGATCATTTTTTTTAAAGTTTTTATTCATGGTACAGTATTGTGTTTTCACCATACATTATCTTTTACACGGTTTTATAATATATTTCTTTAATATGTGTTTACGTGTCTTTACATCTTTATAATATGTCTTTATTTGTCATTATAATGTGTGTTTACTTGTGTTTATATGGGCTTATACAGGGGTAGAAATTCACACGAATCTCCGAATCTGATTCGCGCAAGGATTCTTGCAAGAGCTTACACTGCAAATCTATAAGGATTCGCGTAAAATTTTTCTTAAAAAAAAAAAAAATATCTCGGAGAATTGTCGATTCCAACTGTCAGTCAGGGTTAGTTTTCTTAATCGACTGTATTTTGTAGGATTTAGCCGATTGATGTTTAATCTAGCGAAGGAAAAAAAATCAATCGGCCACATGGTATCATAAATCAATCTACTTGTCTTTTGGCTAATATTACAACGCATTAATTATTAACAGTCATACCTTAGTGCGAATCGGCCATATGTGGTTCATAATCCGAGTAATTAGCACATTTAACGGTGATTTTGATAATCGGGTAAAAAAATAAAACAAGCTTGCTGATAATTCATATTAGGTTCAGTAAAATACGCCACGTGGTGAATGAAGATGATCTCGGCATGGTTTGCGAATCGCGCATCTTCCACGCTCCGTCCGTGTGAATTCCAGGTATTAAAATAATAACTGGATCATAAATTGATGGATTCACTGACCAGTTGTTAGGTAAATTTAAATCTTCATTGAATATAATCCCCCGATAGAACACTGAATACACGGAGAGAGAAACTGGGGATATTTTCCCAACAGAATCTCAAATGCCGAATTCCAATGACACGTGACATATTGGTTGGAATTAGGTCAATAAACCAGTTCTAAATAGCATTTACCGTTACGATTTTGTATTTTATGTACATGTTGACAGAGACTTAATTTTAAAAATATTATTGAAGGCTATATCATAGTCATACCGAAGTTTATTTTATAGCAATTTCAGTTATGGTTGTCACATGATCATTGTTTTGTGCGGTTTGCCTATCATCGACGAATGAATAAAAACTTTTGCAAGTTACGTGATTAGTTGCGTGATGGACAAAAGACTACAAGTTGTGCTATGAAGTAATGCCATGGTGCTGTATCAGCTTATTTTGACTACGACATTTTCTGGATATTACTTTTGACACAATTTAAGTGTTTACCAAAAACTCCATCTGATTGTTTTACTTTTATCATTGTTGTTGTATTTTGGTGTTTTAGATTATCACAATAAACTGACACAATTTTGTTTTTTAGACAGTATTATTAATTAAGATTCGGAGGATTCGCGCAAATTCCATATATGAGAATCCTCATAGAGTCTGACAAAAAATGACGAATTTCTAGCCCTGTTATAACATGTATAACTTCTTTGATAGTCATTTGGGGGGTTGGATGGCTGAATGGTTAGCGTGCGCGCGCTGTATCATAAACCCTGTCATTGAGTCGACTGGTGTGGTTTCGAATCCCCGGTTGTACGTGACAAGGAGTAGGGTCGCCTGTCCAACCTCGTGGGTTTTCTCCGGGTCCTCCGGTTTCCTCCCACTGCTAAAGACCCCTACGCGCAAGCGAATTATTGAAATAAAATTAAAACCATATGTTAGTCCCGAAATGACCTAGTTTGTGTCGAGTGGACGTTAAACCCCATTTCTCTCTCTCTCTCTTGATAGTCATTTAGTAATTGAACACAAGGTACAATTTTATGAATACACAATTATTGTGCAAATGCAACATTTTGATAAGGATACTCTCATAGTCTCATCATTTGCTTGATAAAGACAAGAGTATACTTTGTCGAAAAAATTGTACAGCAATAAATTCAGTAATTGTGTATCCATCAAATTGTACCTTGTGTCTTTATAACACTTGTATATATGTCTTTTTAGGTCTTACAAATTATACAGTACATTATCATTAATAACTTCTTAAACAATCACCATCAAATCTCAATATATATTCAGGTCATGAATTCAACAAACAAAATACTTAGACACTAGATTAATGTTTGTACTTGAATGTACTGCAGAAAGCCGAATGGTAATACATTGATTCAACAATAATATATCTTGCCAGCACTACCCTGAACATTTAATGAACTCACCTTATCACCAGAAGAGAGTCTGCTCCCATTAGTACTCCAATGTAATATTGAAACTTCTTTTTTATGAATATGAACGGCATCACTGACTTCATGATCTTGTTCATTCCAGATGGTAATTTCTCCTGTGTCCCATCCTACAGCTATGATACGTTTTGTTGGATGCCATGCCACAACCGAAACATGACAATGCTTTTGAACTGCACTGTGCTCTATTTTCTCTCCCTAAAAAGTAGAATAAACAAAAAATTACTTTTATAACCACAAGAAAACCGAATAATTACTAAAACTAACAAATAATAATTGACCAGTCAGTTACTAGAAAGAATCCTGATCGGTTAGTGAAACAAATTGTTTTAAAGAAACATAAGAATTTTGGAGATCTTGACTGGTTAATAAAAAAATAATATTCAATTTGACAATATGGCTAGGGGGGTGTTAAAATTAGATAGCATGCAAAATTTGTGATCTGGGCCAAGATAGCAGAAATTTTATGATTTTGTTCGAGTTTAACACCAGTTAAAGGATTAAGACTTTCAAATATGATTTGAACTAAGTTGGATAGTTCTTGGATTTTGATAATTATTCTATGATACTCTATGAAATTAAAAAGAAACATTCAGTAAGTGTATTTTTATTCATTTTATAAACTTATAAATTAATATTTTAGTTGCATCAGGTAGATCAATTTCAATTTTCTTAACAGAACCTTGTGGCTACCTACAAGCCAACATTTCTACAAAATGTTATTCTGGTGGTACATGTATATGACCCATAATTTTGACCCTTAATTTGTCTCTTTAAAGTTTTGAAAAAAACTTCAGCCAGCTACTGTGGGCCGATCAACTTCATTTGAACAAATCTGAATAAGTACCACCCAAGCAAGGTCTGAAGTATGACCTTGTTGTTGTTGTTCTTAATGTTTAACATCCACTTCCACTGCAGGTGATATTGCAGACAAGTTGTCTTATTTTTCATTTCTATTATCTTAGCCCACAACACAGGGGTCTTTCCCATGGGAGGAAACCGGAGTACCCGGAGTAAACCCACGAGGTTGAGAAGGTGCCCCTATTTCCAAGCCACATACGCTCACACAAGGTATCAAAACCTCAACCGCAAGCCAGAGGTGACCGGCCAGCTAGAGATCGACGTGCGACACTCTAGGCCATCACAACCCAACGTTATGACCAATAGGCTTAGACTAATGTACCTCTTCAGTGAAAAGTTGAACTGCTCCACCATTTTCATCACTATAACAAGTAATAGCCAATAAAAGTGAAGATGGTGACCAACTAATATCTGTCTTGATAAAGTTACTATCACAATCCAGTCGATGGTCAAAATACACAGCCATTGCTGGCTTTTATCTGAAAAAAAAGAGAAGATAACTATAGCCAATGTAATTTGAAAAACGATTTTTTTAAATTTGTCAAACGGTAATAGACAATTTTCTTTTTTTTGCCATTGTAAGGTTTAAAATTGATCAAATATTATCATCTAATTATAGATGAGATGATTAAATTAAAGCATTTAAGTTATTATTGGGCGCTGTTGCACTTTTATACTTCTATTGTCAGGGTATGGTGGTAGTGCACCAAATTTCAGCGGAAACAATCAATAACTTTTCATTTTCAGACCTTTTACTTTTGATATTTCACAAGATATGCCTGACAATGCCATTTTGTTTATTTACTATACTTGAAGATCAAAATACTAAGATGACTTAATACACACTAAGCTTCCTCACTAATGCTCCAGTTAATAATAATAATCAGAAATGAAATGAAATGGGGTTTTACGTCCTACTGTTCTGCTCCTAAACTGGGCTAATGAAGACGGGCATACACCATACAGTGTGCTATGAGGGAAATTTTGCCTGGGCAGCGGCGCTACGGCCTACTCTTATATCGAATTCCAACTGCCAAGGGATCTTTTACGTGCACGCCAATATGTTCACGGGACCTCGGTTTTTCGTCCCATCCGAACGACTAGACAGCTGTCCTTGTCAGGCCCTCCGTCCTGCATCACTGACAAGGGGAAACCACTCCGAAAAATCTGGATGAACTTTCTCAGCCAATGCAGGGATCGAACATGCGACCTCCAGGCTAGCGAGCCATGTGATTCCCAATAATAATCAGAGTTGGTGCTTTACTCTGTCCAGCCGTTATTCGATTGACGGCCTGATAGTTTGTTCGTTCAATTGTTTGCAAATCTGAAAGTTCCTTATTTCATTCCCCCCTTAGTACATGAATCTCCTGTTATTAAATTCATGATCTGATAACCCCTTTCGTTTGATGGTCATGAAGTAAGATAAAAGGCTGGGCAGCCTGTAGATCTGATGACAGTCCGATAATTAAATGTTTCCTTATTCCTTGTTTTTAATAGACCACTAATGGCCTGGTAATCTGTCAGCCTGTTATTCTGATTATCCCTTAGTATGACACTCCCTAGCTTGATGCTAGTTACAGCCAGTAAATCTAACAGGTTGCTCTTCAAATTTTTCCACAGTACAACAGTTTGATATGTTTCAGGGATGGCTTGGAATCTGTCTGTCCATTCTTTTGACCATCCCTTTGTACATTGGTCTATTTGTCCAAGAGCCTCCGATTATCTAACTCCAATACCAGAAGATCAATATCATTGGACGATGTCAACGTCATTTTAAATAAAATGGTGGTACAGATCGAAAATTAAAGACGCATGATTAAGTCCGTAAATTAAAAGCATGTAATTTTTGAGTCTGTTTAGTTACACAGTTGACGGCCCAGAGAATTTGATCTTCTGAAACTGAATTGGCATTTATGTGTGAATATTATCTTGATTTTATAGGTGACGGTCAGACTGTAGTGGTAAGAAATTAAATGAATGTTTAACGCCCTACTTTTCTACACCAAACGGGCTAATGAAAACAAGGTTACACTAAGACTAGAGATGATCAGAATAACAGACTGACTGATTTCAAAGTCATCAATCGACTGGCTATGGAACACCAAGAACAGACAGTCCGATTGCACGTCACCATCAACACCACCAATACAATAGGCCTACAATTCACAAAATGCAGTGTTTTAATCAGAAAAAATAATAAATAGGCTAGTCAAAGGACTCAACTCCGTCCAGAAAGGAACTTCAATTAGAGCCTGTTCAGTCCTAATGTAAACTCACTGCATTAGCATTAGATTAGGCCTATATTTATTTGTTTTTTATTTTCAACTAATTAATTTCAAATAATCATATTGCCAATACCAATTTTCTAACACCTTAAGAGTGAAATTTAAAATAACGAACAATTGACATTCTTAAAATAATTCAATATTACCTAGATAAGATGAAAACACCAGTTACTGAAACATATTAATTGAAATTTGTTTTCATTCCAGCACCATGTTGAAGTATTTCTACCGGAAACGCTACGAATTGTTGGAAATTATCCGAACGGAGTGATTAGAAATATTTTCTAATTTGTGTTTGGCTTAGCCTAGTTATCGATATCTCGTTATTAACAGCTCTGTTTGGTTGCATAAACGTTGTCTCTTTCCAAATTATCAATTTTTGAAACAATTTCAATAAAAAATATGTAAAATAATACACACCGCTTAGTGTTTTGTTTCCTTAGCATTTATTTGTTTACAATAAGGGAAACCACTCTATTTGACCTAGAGGTGTAGACTTGATCGCAATGCATTTCTAAACTCTTGCATAATGCCATCTACATGTAGCTTTGTATGAAATTAGATCCACTATGGACCAGTTTGATGCATTTCACTTATTTACATTTCTCGATTTCTGTCACTAATATAACAACGTGAGATTAACCAATTAACATATATCTTGCTTGAAGAAGCCCACTATTGTTATTTTTTGAAACAAATGTATAGGCTGATCTGCTTGCTTCTTATGTTTTTTAAAGAACAAGTCTGCCATATTGGTGGATAATTAATTGATTTATCCGTCGTTAGATTAATGATATAAATTGAGCAATGTAAAGTTAAAGATGCTTCAATAAAAAATATCAAAACTGTGAGATTTTGGCCCCCTCTGTGATCAAGTACGGGGTAGTGTACTTGGAATTCTACCTGTTCAATTACAATAAACCAAACCCCTATTTAAACTTGTGAGGAAATAATGCAAATAGAAATTGAGCAATGTCAAGACGCTTGTATAAAAAAGATCGATTCTGTGAGATTTTTGTCCCCTTCTTTGTGATCCGTTACGGGGTGGTACTTGCAATTTTACCTGTGCAATGCCAAAATCCAATAAACCAAGCCCCGATTTAAACTTGTGAGAAAATAATAATATGCAAATAGAAATTGAGCAATGTAAAGATGCTTGTATAAAAAAGATCGATTCTGTGAGATTTTTGTCCCCTTCTTTGTGTGGTGTACTTGCAATTTTACCTGTGCAATGCCAAAACCCAATAAACTTGTGAGGAAATAATGTAAATAGAAATTGAGCATGTAAAGATGCTTGTATAAAAAAAGATCGATTCTGTGAGATTTTGGCCCCCTTCTGCTTTATGATCCGTTACGGGGTGGTGTACTTGTAATTCTACCCGGGCAATGGTTATCTATGAAAATCCAATAAACCAAACTACGATTTAAACTTGTATGGAAACAATGCAAATAAATTGAGAAAAAAAAATGAAACTTGGTCCTGTTCTTTACGCCTAAATGTCAAATCACTTCACAGAAAGTCTAGTATTTCGTAATTAAAACAATGACACTACAGTGACATAGGTCTGGGTCAAACGATGGTTAGATGTATTTGATAAGGCCATGTATATACGGTCCATGATGAGGCCAACTTCAACGGTCACGAGATGTAAACAGGGCTATCGCCAATCCCAACCCTAACCCTATCCCCAGACCTAACGTTTACCCAAACCTTAACTTACATTCTCGCCAAGAATCACCCGTCCTAACCTTATTTATATCTCAGCGACCTTGACGAAAATTGAGCTGGCCTTAACAAATAGATCTAGCCGTCCAACGAGGCGCTTTATATGAGGACGACTAATTCCTAAAGAATTCCATCATTTTTCCTGTAAACTTTCTACGATAATCAAATGATACCAACACTGTTTCTAGTTGGCCTAATGCAGTTGAATTTAATATATATGTACATAATGTTCGGGCAACCAACAAGACTATAAACCACCGTATAGCGATATATCATCCAATATCATTAATAAGGACAATATTTCAAGACGGCAATACAGTATTATACTGAAGAACATACCTAGTCTCATATTATACTTGGACATACTGTCCCGAATCTGTGTAAATCTTCATGCATGTCCGTATTCTTATTTTGGAAACACACCAACGCATATCGTTACTTCTATCCAAGCCCCCACCCCACCCCCGATGTTTACGGATCAGTCAAGTTTACACAAAAGAATTAATTAAATTTGCAATAATATTAAAAATCAATGTCAGTTTTATTTAGGTTGATGCCCTGATTTTTATTGTAAAGTGGGATTCTTCCTACATTTTTAACACATTTAAAGTTTATAGATAGGGTCAATATTAATATACAGCTGATTTGATGTTCTACTGTCGACAGTTTAAGCAAAATACGAAATTATATAAATAAACACGGAGTTCAGGCTCTCACTATTAACATACCAGATTACCCTTTATTTTGACCCAAATCAACTAGGTTAAGCTTAGTCGTGGTTTAATTCTGTACCCGATTTGGCTTGGTATATTTCTTCAACTCTCGGCTATTACAAAATAAGTTTCATATGAAATCTGCGCACAAAATAAATAGTAGGGGTCCAGATCGGGAAAACTCTTTTCTTCACATGATAGTGACATTTTGAGCTTGTGTTATAAAGATTAAAATCACCGGAATCATAAAAAGTTACAGGAGTCAATGTTGAACGAATTAATAGTCCGACCCCAGATTATTATTTGGAATTGTCTCCCTTTAACTATTCGGAACCATTAAGCCAATGAGGTTAACCTGGCCAATACTCAAACCAGATATTGTATTCATTTACTAAGCATGGGTACTATTTAAATAATCCTTTCTTGTTCCGAATTCTAAACCCCCCGGTTCTTCGAGCAGTTGGAGACTGTTTAATTGTCATAAAAAATCCCTTTATGTATATCCTCTATTCTTGTGGTGTCATGTGGCTTTAAAATAGTTTAAATTAGGTATGAGGATGTTCAATAATTTATATAGTCAGTTCTATAAAAGCCCGTCTTGATACAAAGAACCAGATTAAAATTTTGACACTAATATTGACTCCCCGCGGTTAAATATGTACAAATCTAATAATGTCTCTTATGATCGGCTTAATTCCTAATAACCTGTGCATTATTGGAAACAAATAAATACTAAGGTCTTAATTCAAACTTAAATTATATTTTAAAAGACACGTGATTAGGCCTCTATATTTCAAAACAAAACCTTTCAAATCACATATTCTAAGAGAGGGTCTTTGAAACCATGGATGGAAAAATAATAACTTAGAGATTACCAAAATGTATATTTTAAATCTAAGAACAATTCCATCTACATGAAAATATTTGTATATACGACGTTTACATTACAAACGGAACGGAACGGCTAATTTTAGTGTAAACGGGTCAAAATAGTCTAGAGGACATCAAAGAGCATGGTAATTTTTGTACTTAATGACTTACGAACAAGAGACTATACATTGATCGGGTTAAAATGGTAACAATAAGTTATGTTCAAAAGCTATAACATCAAATTTAATAAATTTACAACTTGTTGTAGAGTAAAAAAATAATGCGATGTCTTTGTCCATTTATTTAAAGCACCGTAAATACTTCTATCCTTATCTCTGAAGTATTTTTATTTCATGCGAAGCGAATAACCGACAAAGCGAATCGTCTAAAATATTCCAAAGAAATAAACGAAGCAGTTAACGCGACTGTCCGAATTTCAAATCCATATGTTTATATTCTTCGTTTATGTTACGCCCAGTATTATCCTAATGTCGATAAAGAACAGTATTATCGAATGATCATGCATAAACTAAAAGATGGATTTGTTTCGGGTGATGTGGCCGTTTTCGTTCCCTTTGATCCCGCAGTGAGTGAACGGAATTGTTTCATTTTCATTTCATTGATCCTTACTTTGTTATTTTTTGGGGGTCGCGTCAAGGGTGGTCCACTGGCCCCTTATCAATTCGCTCGAATAATCACTGTGGTTGCTGGAAAAAGTAACGGATTAAAGGAAGCTGTATTATTGGATTATCGCTCTGTGCGCTATCAATCACGATTCCCATTCTTTGACTTTCATCCGAGCGTCCACATCATTTACCGGATAAATGAACTTTCATAGAAAATATGAACCACGATTTACCATATTATATAGAGAATTTGAAAAAAGAAAATACATTTGTTATAATGTCCTGAATTCGATTTAATAAATATACAAACTATTTGTTATTTGCTTGAAAATGGCTTACTGTGTATTGCAGATTACAGATACTGTCAGAAATTACAAATGAAGTAAAATTACTGATTCTGAGCAAACTTAAATTTTAAGTTTATCCAACAACTAATAATATAGATCCAAATTAGGTTTTCGATTTTTTTTTGTCTGATATGTAAAACTATAGACGCGCCCTCATCCGTCCTAATTATATTGAAGTGTATAATGCCCTTATAGTATCTATATACCCCCCCCCCCCGCCCACACACCCTCACACCCTCACACACACTCACCTGCTAAGGAAGGGAAATTAGAAAGAGTAAGGCGGTAGACAACGGGATGTCTCTGTAAAATAAACTTTATTTACACAAAACAATGTGTATTTGTTTGTTAGACGAAAACAACTCATATAGTACAGTCTAATCATTGGTGAATTTGCTATTAATGTATTTTTTATATGACTGATTTGCTTATTTTCCACAACATTACACCAACAAAACTGGTGTTAACCTGGACATCACTACAGGTACTCTCGTGGTCATGTTTTAGGCTATTCAGTACGTTGAGTTCATGACCTGAACTAGTTTTTTGGGAGGAAGAATAATAAATTAAATACCCATCAGGTATATTTTCACCTTGATTTATTAGAAGGTGTCAGCGGAAACATCATTATCTATGTACATGTTATCATAGTAAAATAATATCCCATAAAAAATTATATATACATTGGTTATTGATTTAGAGATGTTTTGGAAAATCTACAGCCCGATAGCAGCAAATTGTGGTCAACACTGACCAAAGACCATTTCCGAAGTCTTTGATCCTCCACATTATTTCACTTTTAAATAGCTCATTTTATATGCAGTTTGTTATTTCCCTCAATATATATTGTGTTTGTTGGGAGGGGGGGGGGTCTAGTGGCTGCGCTTTAGGGATATCTATATATCCACGTCATTGATAAAGTCCGTCAATGTCTAAAGTGAAGTGATTTCGACCCGACACTTGTACGTGACAAGGA